TGATAAGTTTTTTAATCACATGCTGATATGCCAGCTGTCACGATAGGATCTAACAAACGTGTTTTGAATGAAGTTACAGACAAGTAAGCGCTACTGGAGCCGCTGTAGGGAAGAACCCAAGGACCTTTCTGGCCGGCCCTGCAGAATTCCCGTGCGGCAGAACGCGCCCTCCCGAAGGGTCAGCCCATGTCCCTCAGTGCTCGTGCGAGGCGGTACGGCCGGCACTGCAGTCAGCGTCAGAGCATCTTCAGCCCCTGAAAGGGGTCCCCAGCGCCCGCCCCCCACAGTCACTCCCACCGACCCCCACCAGCCCCCCGGAAGCACTGATCTGTCTCCATAGATGTCAAGGGCTGACCTGTGTCCCCCCAGAATTCCTGTGTAGGCCTAACCCCCGGCCCTCAGAGCGGGCCGTATCTGGAGACAGGCCCTTACACAGGCGCGCCACTCCCAGGGGGCCCGCAGAGGGTCCTGGGGCGTCCTGACTGGTGGCGGGGGTGCGAGGGGGGACCTGCAGCCCGCTGCTCCAGGTGTGACTGGCATCGTCTTCTCCTCGGCACCTGCTTCGGCCCCCTTCGCTTTTGTGCCGCACCTAAAACATTGGGGCGCTTTTTTTCTAAAATTCGGGTAAGTGTCCCCTCGTCTGTGGCAGAGCGGGGATGATTTCCAGTGGGAGCCACCAGGAAATGACCCCGAGGAAGGGGCCCTGCCTCCCAGGCCTCCAGAGGATGCGGCCGGCCGCCCACAGCCCACCGCTGCCCGAGTCGGCGGCAGCCCAGCGAGGATGCGGTTGTTCCCCGCACTGCCTTCCGCCTGTCCCTCCCCCCCGGGGGTTCCTCCACGGGCCCTCGGCCCACACGGGCCCTGGGCGCTCGCTGTGCTGGAGCCATGAACGAGCCCTTTGTCTGAGGCCCTGGCACCTCGAAGCGGAGGCTGTCCCAGAGCTGTGCCGTGACTGCCGCTGCCAGCCCAGCGCTGCACCTGTGGCTCACAGGGGCCGGCGCTTGGCCAGCAGGGGTCAGCGACAACTGACTGCTCACCCCGCACCCGCCGTACCGGGTGGCACCCGCCACACTTGTCCAGATGGGGCCTGCGGCCACCGAGGGCGTGGGGGACCTGGGCCCACGCCAGCCCGGCTACGGCACCGTGAGCGGGCACCAGGCAGCGCCCCCTTCAGAGCCGAGGAGTCCTGCCTGGCACCTGTCTTCCTCATTTTGCCAGTCACTGTTGTTCCCTGGAACGCGGCGGTGTCCGTGCTTTTGTCGTGGCAGCCACGTCACTGGTCTGCTGTGCGGCAGGCCGACACCACGCAGGTGCTTCCCACAATCCCCGCACGGTCACATTCCCTGAATGGCCTGGCCCTCCCGCCTGCACAGTGACCAAGTGGCAGGTCTGTGGCGATGACCAAGGAGTCCCATCCACATCAGTGGGGACTATACGACCTCAGTAACGAAGGCGAGTCCTCTTACTGATGCAATTTCACGGCAGAGCAGGGCCGCGGGGCCTCTGACCTGCCAGCAGCAACCAGGGCCTCACCCATGTCTCTGTCACAGTGGGTCCCAGCTCCCAGGACACAGCCCCACAGGCCGCTGGCTCACGAACGAGACGCTGACACCTCACAGCCCTGAGGCGCGAGGTCAAGGCACCGGCAGGTTCTGTCCCCGGGAAGACCCAGTTCGGGTCACAGATAGGACTGTCTTCACGGCAGGGGCAGGGAGCTCCAGGGTCCCTGTCATAAGGTCGGTGACCCACCCCTGTGACCTCATCGCATCGGGAGTTAGGGCTTCAGGGCGGGAACACCGAAGGGACAGAAGTTCAGCCCGGGTACTGTGTCTCCACCACCCGTCTGTCTGTCTGTCTGCCTGCAGTGGGACGGGAGCCTTCTCGGGCTCTACAGCAGAGTCACAGATGGACAAACTCCCGTCGGTGCCAGGTCTCCGCCTGTTCTACAAATTCCTGCTCTTGGCGCCCTCACACCTGCGCTGCACACAGCTCCAGGGCGTAGTCCGTTTAATCTCGACGCTTGTCACGTAATCACGTGAACACTGAACACGGAGTCCCCAAGGTGATGGGGAACCCCCGCTTCGCTGTCAGCCCCGGCCAGAGGGTGCGGGAGCGGGCAGGCTTCTGGTCACGCAGCCAGCGCCCAGTACCGTCCCAGGGACCCACGCGGCGCTTCTCCGGTGACCGCGTGTGCGCGTGCCGGGCGTTTGTAGACGCCACCGGGTGCCATCTGAAGGGCGTGTCGGAGCTCGGCCGCGCCATCTGAAGTGGAACTGCTCACGCAAGTGTTCGGGTGGCAGTGTGCGCGTTCTGGAAAATGCTCCTGGGGCTCGTCCAGCGTCCGGAGACCGACAGAGCGGCCAGGACAAACCCCTCCCTCCCTGGGGATCTGAGAGCCCGTGGGGACGACTAGGAGGCGCCCTGCCGGTCCTCGCCTCCAAATGCCTGCGGCAGTCGGGAACTCGGCTCATGGGGGGCCGCTGTGGTTTTGATGGGTGACTGTCCGATAATTCCGCCCTCCTGTCTCTCACCAGTTTAGACACATGGGGGTTCTCTGTAACACAGGGCTCAGCGCCCGTCTCACCTGCCAGCCCCCTCGGGGCCCACCCAGCGGGGCTGGTCCCAGAAGAGCCACCGCTCCTCCAGACACCTGGCCGCGGGCCCAGGCCTGCCCCTGGCCCCACTGTCCCCTGATCCCTCCACAGGGTGGCCTGTGGGCCTTTTCTAAGAAAAACTACGTCTATTCTGACGGGTTCGTGCATCTCGTTATTAGAGAATGACCTCATGTCACTCACTGTTTAATTTTGCCTTTCTTACCAGGAAGCTCAGGACGCAACGTTTGAAAAAAGCAGGTAAAACACCCTGGGCATTTAAACCTCTGGGGAGGTCAGAGTGTGGCCCCCACCTAAGGTGTGCGTGTCCGGTCAGAGAGAATCACCTCCGGACACTGTGGCCGCGGAGGGTTTGATTTTGCATGTTCCAGTAGGAGAACGCAGTGTTTTCCAGTCGTGAACTCGAGCTGGTGACACACAGGCACTGTCCCAGGTGCACCAGGGCCCTCAGGTCACCCGAACACATTCTGTGGAAGAGGGGACACGAGCACAGCGGCTGGGAGAAGACACGGCTGGCGAAGGGCAGGGGTCAGAGGGGAATGGCAGCCTCAAAGGCCCCTAACCTCCGCGGTGAGGGTGCCCAGACGGGCTGGGGGGCGCTCAGTCTCCAAGCTGGACGTGTGGCCATCGGCCCAGCAGCAGCCCTCTCAGCCCGTGAGCACATGGACACAGGAGGCGTGGGTCTGACGGGGCCACGCAGCCGTTCATCCGTGTGCAGCTCCGGCAGCGTGTGGTGTCCTCACTGCTGGTGGCAGGCAGAACGACCCTGCACAGCTGGCCGAAACGCCAGGTGTCACAATTTCAGAGCCAAATGTGGCGGACCCCATGGGGTTACCCACTCTCGACAGAGCTGTGCTTCAGCCGGGGAGACCACACAACCAAAGGGTCCGAGTTTGGGGTCTGCTTTTTCCCAGAAAGTAAGCAGATCAGGACAGAGTTGGTCTTCAACGCCAGGCTAAATATAAGGAAAGCGCCCCACAGGCTCGGCCTTGGGATTCGCCCGCCCTGCTGCTCAGCGGGGACGCCGGCTGGGTGTGTGACCAGGGCCCAGAGGGGCAGGCGGACAGGGAGCCCCCCGCCCCCTGCGAGCCCGTGCTCCGGGAGAACTCGCAGTGACAGCACTGCCTGCCTCTCAACCCCCACGGACACAAGCCCTCCAAGGACAAACCACATCCCTGAGCGATCGCGTCCCTGTCCACGACCGAGCGGCCCTCGCCAGGAGTCCGGCCGACCCTTCCGCTTCTGGTCGCTGTGCCCTCTGGAATTACTTGTGGCAAAAGAAAGAAGCCCCAGTGAGCGCACAGAGAGGGCTGACCGGGACCCCCCGAGCCCCAGACTGCGGGCCCGAGTGTGCCGCCCTGCGGAACTTGTTCTTTCTTCTGACTGGGGGAGCGTGCAGTCCGGTTTGGGTCACCCACAGAGGAAGGAATCTAGAGTTGTTGCTGCTTCTTTAATTATTTTTTTCCTTTTAGGAAGAGGGGGGAAGGTAGGGAGAAAGAGGGAGAGAAACATCTACCAGTTGCCTCTCCGACACCTCCAACAGGGAACCTGGCCCGCAACCCAGGCCTGTGCCCCGACTGGGAATCGAACATGTGAGCCCTCAGTTCACAGGCCTGCGCTCAGTCCACTGAGCCACACCAGCCACACCAAGTGGTGGGCCCCTCCCTCACCCCCAGCGCGCCCTTCACTCCCACGGGCCAAGCACCGTGCTCCCCCCCCGCTCTGCGCCCTTCCCCCTCCGCCTGGCAACTCTGGTTCTGCACGCGAGGCGTTCTGGGAGCAGTGCGTCCGGGGAAGACGTGGGTTTCAGCAGAAGTTGCCCCCGGCTCCAGCCCTCACCGCCCCCAGCTGTGCTTCCGGAGGGACGTGTGCATCAGGGTGTGTGTGTGCACAGGAGAGTGTGTGGGAAGGTGCGCATGTGTGCGGGACTGTGAGCAAGTGTGCATGCACAAGCCTGTGAGAGCATGAATATGTGGGTATGCAAAACACGCGTGAGCGTGTCAGTGTGAGGGCTGCATGATCCTGTGTGTGAATGTGTGAGGGTGAGCTCTGTGTGAGCACGTGTGTGAGCATGTGTAAGAGCCTGCTGTGCATGAGACTGAGCATGTGTGTGTGTGTGAGAGCATGTGTATGTGAGTGTGAGCAGTGTGAGAGTGAGCGAGAGCGTGTGTGAGAGCGAGCGAGAGCGTGGGCGGCGTCTGTGGGCCCCTGGCCCACGGCGGGAGCGCCGCCCTGGGAGTAGCAGGCACGGCGCGCACAGGCCAGCCCCACCGCCGGGGCCGAGCTCGGGCACTATGCCTCCTGTGGACTTGGACGATGACCGGGCTGGCTACTGCCAGGCTGTCCCAGGCTGTCCCAGGCCCCCACGCGTTTTCTGGGAGGAGAAACCACCTAAACACAGCCCCATGTCAGTTCCACAGTAGATGGCCGCCCTCCTGGACCACACCCTCCTCCTGGCGGTTACCCACCAGGCAACTCGCAGAGAGAGACACCCAAGGGTGTCAGGGACCTAAAAGAAAGGGCTGGGGGGCTGGGAGGCGTCTTCACCACTGCCTTCTCCCACAGGGCTGCAGCACACCTGCGGGCACGAAGAGGCAGGCCAGGAGGGTGCAGGAGGCCGCCTGAGGGCAGAGAACACGGGCGTGGGGCAGGGGGAGGCGGGGAGGCTGCCCAGGCAGGGGGCGTGGTTTTGGGGGAGAACAGCTGGGCAGGAGGTGGGCCAGGGGTCAGGGGAGTGTGTCTGTTTCCCACGGGGGCCCACTTGGCTCACAGGAGCCCAGGACAGGTGTGGAGGACATCAGACGAGGCTGTCTCCCAGGAGGTCACCCAGGTGGAGCAGCATGGCCAGGTGTGGGCTGTGGGCCCTGGCTGAGCCCGTCCAGTCCCAACGGGGTCTGCTCCCCGGTGCCCAGGTGCAGCAGAGCCCCGGAGGCACACCTGGCTCACAGGTGCCCGGAAGCAGGGGGTGGGCTTGGGAGGAGTCTGACCAGCATTCACACCTGCTCACAGCGTGCTCAGGTGCGGCAGCATGTCCAGGGCTCGGGTGCGGCTGCTCGAGGCGGCAGCTGCCTCCACGCCGCGCAGCCACTCGGTGCACCTGCGGACCAGGCCCTCGTCCACCACCCCTGCCACCTCCTCCTCGTACTCCACATCGTCATACTTGTGTCGGTCGTTGAGCAGCGACACCTTGAGCACGCGGCGTGGGTCCACCGGCCGTGGGCTGGGATCGGGGGCCCGCCAGCCGCGGGGAGGCAATGGGACGCCGGGTGGGTGCCCATCCAGACCTCCAGGGCTGCCTCCCCTCCGAGGACCTGAGCCCTTGGCTCGGGGCCCAGGGCCCAGTGGGAGTGTGGCGCCGGCCAAGGGCACGGGGAGCAGCCGGCGGGGCCGCACCAGCAGCTGCTGCTCCAGGCGGCGTCTCTGGAGGGCCGGGGTGGCCTCAGGGGTCAGGCTCAGGGGGAAGCGCCCCGTGGCGGCGGGTCCGGGCACCGAGGCAGCGATGTCCATGGGCCGCGAGGGGCTGGACCCGGAGCCAGCTGGGGCCAGGGCACGCCGAGGAGCCGGGCCAGGGGCACGGCGCGCAGGGGGCTTCCTCAGGGTGGCCGAGGGCCAGGAGCGGGACAGCACTTCGGGCCGCGCTGGGGGGCGCTGCTTCTCCCTGGTGGCGGCAGGCGGCAAGGGCGCGAGAGGGGCGCAGGTGGGTGCAGCTGTCTTCCAGGGCCTGCGGGGCGACGGGCGCACAGTGGAGACCCGCGAGGCCGGGGCTGGCGGCGGCGGGAACGGCATGTCACCGCTGAGCCTGCGGAGCTTCAGCGCTCTGGAAGGACGAGGATGGGGGCCTTTAGTCCACAGGGTGTGGAGCCCGCCTCCCTCCCCGCCGGTGGGCGGAGCCACCACTTGTCCTTGCTCGCGCACCCCTCCGTCCAGCCGCGTCCGCGCTCTCCCCCCTCCCGGCACCCTCACAGGGGTCAAGAAGCCAAGGACCCATTTCTCCCCTTCACCCTGGGCTCCCAGCCGAGCCCCCAGCGCCCGCTGTACCACCGCCGCCCACTGTGCCCTCTCGAGAGGAGGAGCCGAGGCCGGACGCGGCTGTTGCATCCTGGAGACGGGAGACTCAGCGGGACAGCGGGGGGCGGGGCCAGTGGCAGTTCAGCAGAGGCGGGAGTGGCCCGGGCGGGCGCCAGGCGTGTCCTCCCTCCTGGGCGGGTCCTGCCCCCTGCGGAGAACCCTTCCCAGGCTCCCCCAGCGCGTCCAGATGGCTGCGGGCCCTGCGCCCTGCAGGAAGGCGGTGGGACACACGGGTGGGCCACGGCACCCCGGTGCATCACTCAGCTTGTACTTTGTGTTCTGTCAGGGCCGCAGCTGAAAGTCAGTCCTTTCAGAACCAAAGCCTAGTCATCCGCCGACGGGCGAAGCAGTCATTCTAGTGACATGGCGACGAAATGCTGGAAACACGAGACAGCACGGTCCTTCTCGGATCACGAAGCGGGGTCTTCGCTGCCGCAGCGGTGGCTCATAATGGGAGCACCTTCACCGCCAACTTACACGAAGTCTGTCCGAGAACAGTTGTCACTGTTAACGTATCGGGAATGGTTTGCTCGACATCGATGTGACCTGGCGGCCAAGAAGGGTGGACTGGAATGCACGTGTGTGCACAGTGACTTCACTAGTCAGGGGCGCCACTGGGCGTGTGTGCTGTGTGGCTGTCACACTCAAAGTGACTGAGAAGAGCAGTGAATCTGCACTAGACTTTGCGTGAAGCTCGAAAGTTCCTCCACAGACTTCCCGGTGACTCAGGCCTCGGCTACAGGCAACGACTGCCTGCCGCTCCAGCGTGTCTGGCGCAGTCCGGGTCACCCTTTCTGGGCGGGTGCACCCTGTTCACCCGGGGCTGGGAGCTCCCCCGGGACCCTGGGCCCTAGTGGCCACAGCGGGGTCCCACGAGTGCAAAATCCAACAGGGCACCTGCACACCACGCCTGGCAGGGAAGGTCGCCTGCCCCCAGGGTGTCCACTGTTGCTGGAGGCGGCCTGGGGCAGAGGGCAGCCCTGGCGACTCTCCAGCACTGTCCCCTCGGCCACTCCGCCCTGGGCCCTTCCCCGCCCTGCAGTGGACACCTTCGCCTGGAGCCCCCACACGCCTTGTCGTAGGACCCTCGGCACGCCACGGCAACGTGCCCCGGTGCTCCAGGGAACTCCTCGCTCCCAACTCACCAAACAGCAGCCTCCGGCCGGCACACGTGGCACACCTCCAGGACGGGGCGCGTCTGCGTTGCCCTCTGCTAACCCTCGCCGCCTGGCTGCCCAGATTTACAGTGTTTGCTGTGAGCCCACCTCGGTCTGGCTGCCAGACCAAGGCCAGCAGGACGGCTCACGGTCTCTGAGGGCAGTGAGGGTGCAAAGTGCAGCCACAGACGACCCCCCGCCCCTCCCACACCCGCCTGCCCCACCCCAGCATCCCCTCCCCTCCTGAACAGCTCTCATCCTGATGTGTCCCCTCCAAGACACTGTCCCAAGGGGGTGTACCGGTCCGCCTTCTCTCCTCTCTGCCCCCCACCAGGCTCCAGCCCCCCAACAGGCCCTCCTCAGGGGCCCGGCTCCTGCCAGGCACCCGGCTCCTTGTCGACCGCCCCCCTGGCCCTGGGATGCACAGACTGTCCGCTAGGACGAGCCCCGCCCCCGGGCCGCCGTGCTGGGCTGGAGGGGGCACCCGAACCCTGCACCTCTGGGAGCTCGTGTGCTTCCACGGCCCGTCCTCCTTCACGAATGAGCACCGGGAAGGACCACGGGGGCAGAGGTGGTGGCTTCCTCACTGCGACGCAGAAAAACGGCACAGTGTCTGAACGAAATGTTATTAAATGGAACCAAAATAACACCCGCTGAAAAAATTGTAAATTTGATCCAAAAAAGGTATTTTTCCAAGAATCGATTTATTGCAAAATTGTAAAGATTTATATATTATTTTTATTACATATAATAAGCAACTTTTAGTTTAAAGTAAAAACTTTCACATTTAAAGTTTTTTAAAAAATATTTTTAAAAATCTAGACATTTTAAAAGAACCAAAAAGGGTGAACACATACCAGGCAACATAGATTCTCTTTAAATACTCACATCTCAAATGCTGTTTAGAAAAGATTAAAAAACTGGCTAAACATCATTCAGACCGGCAATGATTACGACCTCCTTGTCTTTGGAAGAGACGTTAATGACACATAATGACACACGGTTACAAGCATTCGACAGTTTAATCACACATGGAGTTTCACCGGTGTAGAGCTCGGCCCTCACCGTCACCGCGGCGGGCCGGGGACTGAGCGCCGTCTGGGGGAAAAACACGCTTCACCAAACCCGAACAGCAACTTTCGGACGCTCCTTCTGACCAGTTTCTGACCTTCAACTCAGTAAGGAGGAGCAGCATTTCATGACCGCGTCCCTGGTGGGAGAAGGAGGCGGAGAGAGCACTGTGACGACCTGCCTGCCGAGGGCCCCGCGCAGACGGCCCGGCGCGGGACGGCTCTGCCACTGGTGCCCCTGCCCGGCGTCACCTGAACAACTGGGCTGGGAATGATCTCTTACCGTCTGAAACGCCCATTTTATGGAATCTTTACCAGCACATACACTCATGACGAAGAAATAAATTTAAATACCAAAAACCACCTAACAACAAAACTAATTTTAAAAAGAAGTAACAGGCTGGATTTTAAAAAGTAAAATGTCTGTAACTGCACACTAAGAATCATAAAAAATTCGTGTGGTGAAATTCACCCGCCTTCTGACACGTCCCCCAGGCAGCCGTCTGCAGTGTTACCAGCACCGACTCTCATACGCATTAAACGCTGCCCTGCGCACTGCCAGCAGCCGGCGCCAGCGAGCCGAGGGCGTGGGCGGCCCTGCTGCTCTCTGGTCCGGCTCTAAACCTGGGGGTGGCCTCGCTCCAGAAGTCTGGCCGTGGCTGGGAGCGCCCGCTGCAGGGGGCGGCAGCTGACACCTGTCCAGGTGACCCGCCCCTGTTGGGGACAGCAGCAGATCTCCAGCGAAGCCCCCGGGCGCAGAGAGCCCCCGGGCGCTCCTGTGCCGCGGCCAGCACACTGCACTGGGCCCCGGCTTCCCCTTGTGCTTCCCAAAAAGAATGGTCCGTCTGAGACCCATTATAAACAGAAGTCCTGCCCATCCCCTGTCGTCGGCGACGGCCTTGCGCTCTTCGTACACAACCTGTCTCCGACCTTTACACAGGAGCAAGGCTGTGCCGTGACGGAGCAGTTTTCTGAATCTCAGATTTAAGATTATAATTAGTTTTGCTTTTCCCTCTGTGACTAAATTAAGTGCATTTCTCTGAAAACGTATAAATAGCAGTTACCTCTTGACACACAGAATAAACATGTGTCTAATGGCTTAAGACAAGCATTCGTGTATCAGAATTAACTGTAAAAAAAAAGGTGAAATGTGTTTGCTGGAGTCTCCAGGTGCTATTGGCTGAATATTCACCACCACGGAAGGACCCAGCCTCTCTCGTCACAGCTCCCTGGCCGCGAAGGGTCAGGTGGTCGAGCCCCACCTGTCGGCCTCACCAGCAGCAGGGAGTCCCACCCCTCTGGGCCGCGCCTTCCAAAGGGCTTCTTTCTATTCACCTCATTTAAAACATCGTTTCCTTTTGAGAAGACAGTCAACATAAAGCATCCTCTAAGCAACATTTAATGTGAAAAGGAGCAACACTGACATGCTTTTGCGAAGCTGACCAGAGCCAGACGGGCTCAGACAGGCTCACCTTGCGTAGGGGATGTAGGACAGGCTGTACCTGCAAGAGAAAGCACCGCTGCTGAACGGCAGGCTCGGTGGGGGCGCCCGGCACACTGCCCGGCAGTCACCCTCCCCGAGAGCGGCCCCGGGCCGCAGCCGCAGCGTGCCGGACGCCACCGCGCCCCGCCCAAGTGAGGAGCCGCACTCCAACACGCGACTCCGGTGCACGCTGGAGTCTGAGCTCGTCCTAATGCAACGGCTTCCCTTCCAAAGTTGTTGTTTTAAACAGAAACAAACAACTGAGAATAAGGCGCACTCCCCCTTAGGGTGAGCCCGTACTAAACACACATGATGTAAAAAACAACATGTCACAGAAAACGACCGAGGGGTGTTCCTCACGGCCCCTCTGTAACACGGAGAGGTGCGGGTGACACCCGCTGACGGCACACTCGTCGGCCGGCCGAAAGGCAGGGACGGGCCCGAAGGACAGGCGGACCCAGGCTCGGGAAGATTCGGCAGGGCGGTGTGCTGACCACGGAGGGAAGGAACGAGGCTCAGCCCTGACGATGGAGGGAAACACTCGGACGTTTTAATGTGTGGGGACACGCGTGACAGGGCAGCGTGCGAGGAGGGCAGCGTGCGAGCCCCCAGGCACCCGCGGAGCCTGTTGCTACAGGGGACTGGACGTGTCCCAAGGCGTGACAAAGGCCCATGAAAGGCAGAGGGGCAGACGCCCAATGGCCGTCACCGCAGACTGCCCCGGGGTCGGTCCCCGGTCGGGCACTCATTGCTGAGTGTCGGGCAGACCCAGGCTCCCCCAGGCTCCCCTGGGACGGGCCTCACTCTGCGGATCCACATGGCCTGGCCTACACGTCCTACCGTTTCTCTCCCACGCAGCAGGAGACGAGTGAGGGCTCGGGGGTCCCTGTGTCATGCAGCAGCCCCCCCGTCTGCAGGCACCCCGGAGCCCTGCCTACGCCCCACGGGACATGCCACCGGAGGTGCGCCAACAGCGCTCACAGGCTCACAGGCTCGGGACAAAGTGCTGGGCACGGCCCCGCCACCGCAGGACTCACCAGGTCATGGACAGGAACTGCAGGATGCAGAACAGCAAGGCCAGCCCCTTCTTATGCCACTGGCGACAGCAAGAAACAGAAAGGACTCGTGAGGCCCCAAAACACATTCACAGTGACGTCCTACTCTTCCCCTCAGAAGTATGAGGTGACAGCGCCGTTTTATTACATTTCAGTGTGACGGATGTAAAATTCAGTAGATATAAATCGTAACCAGCCATAACGTGCATTTCCTTTCTGAAATTCTCTGTGCCCATTAATCTAAATGCCACTCAACATAGGGCCGCAAATACATGTTACTGAGTAACTGGGCGCAGGCTGAAAATGTTAAAATTCTGTAGCATTAGGTCCTGTAAGTTGATGTTAATGTTTCTAGAACCGATATTTAAAATCCCGCTTAGTTACTAATTAGACCCACATCCTTCGTAGAATGGACAGACTTCACTCATTCCCACTGGTCCTTTTCTTATTTTTGAAGGAGAACAGACTCTACTGTGATCTTCTGGAATAATGTAAAATCCAGTCTCCAAGACTTTTTAAATGACATAGTTTCAGACTTCCTTGTCCACCTTAAGTTTTCATTTATTTAACTTTTCATTTAATCTACTGCTTACAAACAAACAGGCTGCTAGCCCATTCCAAAATCAGAACCCCGTTTTCCACAAGGACACGCAGAGACCGTTTCTCGAGCTCATCCTCGGGAACAAGTGCAGGTACAAATTCCCACAGAACCGACGTTCAGTCCTTACGTGTCCGACATGAAAGGAGCGTCAGAGCCTCTTTGGAGAGAGCACTGCCAACACGGGGCACCACCCTTCTCCATGACGTGTGGCCTTCCGGGCACACGTGAGCTGTCTCAAAGCCTCTGGGGAGCAGCCTGGGAGCCCCCCGCCCGGGGCACAGAGCTGGGAGCACAGACGGGGGGCCGAGCCATGGCAGTGGGTCTTCCTCGGAGCCCAGGGCCAGCCGGCCACCTGGTCCTGGGGGGCTGGGTTAGCCCGAGCCCCTCGTGCAGGTTCTGTCCGTTGCCTGGGTGTGATTTCCACCCTCCCCAGCGGCTGCTCCCACACCCTGAAAGCGGAGCCTGTCTCAGCACAGCCCCAGAGCGCCTCGGGCACCGCCTGACCCAGGAGCCGCAGACGCACTGTGGACGGCAAGTCTAGCCACCAAGCGATGCCACCATACACTTAAGGGACACCAGTCTTTGGTGGGTTTTAAGGAGCCAGACTCTGAGCGCCTCTGCAGTGACGCGCAGTCAGTGAAAAGCAGGCCTGGCCGAGGCACTTACCCAGAGAGCAGCACACAGGGTGAACACGAAACACAGCTGGAGGGAGAGACAGAGAGAGACCTGTGAGTCTGCGCCCCCCAAGGCTCGGTGAGTACAACCCAACCCCCCGTCTGCACGGACAGCTGCAACGACCTGGGGGGCGGGGGGGGGGGGGCAGTGACAAAGCTGTTCTCGGGAGCAACTGTGTCGGTGCACGGTAACGACCCCGTGAGCACGGTCGGTGGTGCCCCTGCCTGGCCCTGGGAAGGAGCCGGCTGGGGCGACCTGCACACGGGGGGCTGCATCATCAGCACGCACGGGGGGCCCCCAAGGAGGCAGGGCAGTCAAAGGAGAGGCGGGATGTGCGGAGACCGGAGCCCTGGGGCAGAGCGGCCTTGGTGAGGTTAGTCAGTCCGTACTCTGGCCTAGCGCCCAGCGACCTGCTCTCGGGAAGGGCACAGCAGCTGCCCACCCACCCTGAAGGGCCGCGCACCGCACACACCAGAGCGTGTCCCCACTGGGCTCGAGGCAGCGCGCACCTCGAGGGCGCTGCGTGTCGGCGCCTCGCTCCTTCGTCAGCAGGCACGTTGCTGCGTCGGCAGCCGCGAGGCCACACCAAGCGTTCCGCCAGCTGTGTTACGGCAAGTCACTGCCGAAGTTCCGCCACATGAGTAACTAACTGTCTCTTTCGGGAAACAGTGTTTCTAAAGGGCCGCCCGGCCCCCCCACACACACACTTAGGTGAGGCAGAGCACGTCACTGCGTCACCGAGATGGGGCTCGGACGTCCTGAACAAGTTAGGACCTCTGTGACTCCTCAGTGAGCCGTGAACTTGTCAGTCTAACACTGCTGGCCGTGTCTGTCAGCTAGTCCAGCGCAAGGCAAGGGACAGAGCTGGGGACAGGCTGCTGAAACCAATGCCGGTGCTCTTCGAGCCGCCCCCAAAGCACCCACGGCGGACCCTTAAAGACCGCGTGTGGGGCCCCGTCTGTCACTGCGGATGCGCATGTACGTGACGCTGGACGTGCGACACAAGGCCCGGCCCAGCCCGCCCACCGTGGGGGTGGCGGTGCAGGGGCCCAAGTCCTCGGCCCACAGCCGGGAGGACGTCATCATCACGGGCAGCAAGAGCAGTGCGACCGAGTCCTCACAGAACACGGGCAGTGGCCTGGGAAACGGAGACGCACAGACCAGGCCAACGCGAGCCTCCCAGCCCCCGGCCACTTACGATCATGACGACCGTGGCGAGCCACCGAGTGCTCTCGAACATTTTCTTCAGCTGCTTCATGGGCCCCATCAGAAAGCACGTGCTGTGGGGACAGACGGGAGGGCTGAGGACGGACGGACGGCCGTGTTGTCTGTGACGAGCGCGTTCAAGGAGAAACCCTGGCTACTGAGTGACGGTCTCTCACTGACTCGTCTGTGCTTCCCTGACACTGGTGTGGATGCCGCTTCCCGGTGACCCGGAACTTCACAGCTACAAGTGAACAGAAGCGACCCCAAGTGGACGAGGGCGTCTGTGTCCACTGCTGCCGCCTCATCAGCGCCCACGGCCCACAGCGGAGCAGTGAGGGACGCACGCATTCACGGTCATGGTCACGGTCAGGGCCCAGCTCAGACAGTGCTGCCGGTGCTGCCCCCCGCAGCCGCTTTCAGACCCACCCGGACGAGACTCACGGTGCGAGCCCGAGAGCAGACCGCACTTGGCCTTGGCTCACGCGCAGTTGGCTGGACACTGTCTCTGATCTAGAAAGTTCCTGAAGACACAGATGCTGCCTCCGAAAGCCAGGTGCACACAGAGGCAGAGTCTGCCCATCAAACGACACTCTGTGAGTACCAGTGCGCACAGGGCCTCCAAGAGGAGTCCCCAGGGCTGGCCCCTACGCGTCACCCCAGCCCCACACTCTGACTGCTCCCCCACTGGGTCGCAGGACTCACAGAGTGGGGACTGGGGCCCCGGGGACCTGTCTGGTGGGGAGCCTGCCTCTCACATCACTGTACGGTAGGGGATGGCAGTGCCTGCCTCCCAGACCCGGGCAGAGAGGCCCTGGCATGTGGTGCGACCCCGTGCTGGCCTGCCCTACTGTAGGGGCCCGACACCTGTTGACCTGGCAAGGACGGGCTTTGGGGATGAGTTCCCCGCGGGTCAGAGCGGCAGAGTCCTGGCCGAGGAGGAGTGCGCCTGTGAGGAAGTGCGGTGCAGGGGCCGGCACGCACCTGGCCAGCGCAGCGATGTTCCCGAAGGTGTAGAACACTGCGAAGAGCTTTATGCCGCCAGGAAGCCACAGCAGCCCGGTGCCCTGCGGGGAGACACTCGCGTCAGGCACCCCGCCACTGGGCGGCTTCGCCCCGAGGCCGCCGCGGCCGTTGGGGAAGCGTGCTGCAGGGCGGCTGGTCCGGTGACAGCACCGGTGCCGTCACTCACAGTTGTGACCTGAGCGGTGCCCCTGAAGAGTCACAGCCTGCTTGAGTGTGACAGTGATTGGTTACAGAGCGACATGCCTGTGACTTTGTAATAAAAGAGTCTGGAATGAAAGAGGGGCGTTATTTGTGCCGGACCCTGTGTATAGTCTCTAATTATATCATTTCAAACAGTTAATTTTCAATGTCATTGGCTAAGCGAATCGCATGTAAGTGCGTGTGAACAAGCAACAGCTTCCTCTAAGCTCGAGAGTAAATCCCTCCTGGCTGGGACACTCCTCTCGCACACCCGGCACAGAGGTGGTCGGCGCCCGCTCTCCTGACTCCGCAGCTCTGGCTTCTCCTGAACGACAATCCACAGCCCCCAGCGCTGCTCTCTGACCCTTCGTCCTGACCTCCCACCCTCTGCTCAGGCGTCAGCTGGGCCCCTGCCCCCATCTCAAAGTGACCCAGGGAACGCACGCTGGCCGTAAGTGGGGCACAGACACCGCACAACACAAGGCTGGACTCACCAGGATGGAGAAGAAAATGCCGCTCACGAAGCAGATGGCGAACCACTTCAGCCTGGTGTTGAAGCTCAGGGAGGAGCCTTCGAGGACCTGCAGGGGAGGGGTCGCGTCCTTACGGGAACCAGGCGGGCCCCCAGCCCACACACGGGGGGGGGGGGGGCGCCTCCCCTGAGCGCTGCGGGGCCCTCTAACAAGTTCATGGACCCGACTATGAGGGAGGCACGAACATGGTCCAGGGACCTGTGTTCGGAAAACACCACTGCTGTCGGGAGGTGTGACCCCAGGTCTGTGCTCACATCCGGAAAGCCCCTACCCGCCAGGGGCAGCACGGACACCCCCGTGTGGACAAGATGACACAGAGTGAGATGCTATAGAAATAGTGACGGTCACAACAGCGGGAAGAGTGGCAGCGCGACGAGAAAATGCTGGCAGGTGCTAAGGGAGGGCGTGGCGCCACATCTGTCCAGGCCGCCAGAGGTGCAGTGACGGGTCCTCGGCAGGAACTGTGTTGTCAGGAAGCCCAGGGGAAGGGCAGGGGGTGGAGCTGAGCGCAGGTGAGGCCCCGGCTGCCTGTCAGAGTCAGCGTCAGTGAGGCCTGAGCAGGGCCAGCCCCTGGGAGCGCCTCCCGCCCAGGCTCATTGGCTGGGGGTGCAGTGGGGTGGCTGCAGGGGCTGCAGGGTATGCAGAGGGCACAGCCACCTAGTCACGGGACACCAGGGGTGGCCCCCATTAGACGCAGCCGACTGACGACCTCCACTGTAGAGTTCACTGCTAACCAGCCCGAGAAAGCCTCGGTGGCCCCCCAGCCGTCGATGAGGCACAGCTGTGAAAGAGTCATGGACGCCATGCGCATGCTGGCCACGCTGCGAGGAAGCAGAAATCGCTCCGTGGGGCTCACATGGGGCAGCCAGCACGCACTGACCGCTGACCGGCGGACACACTGAGACCACCACACGCACCACTGGGACTTGTTTTCCCCACACGGCTGCACCCCAGCATCAACCACAGGCACCCAGGAAACTAGGAACACCCAGTAGGAGCTCACGCACCAAAATGAAAACTTCTCACACACGTCACCACACACACTTAAAATAAGACTGCAAGCTTGTGGTGTGTTTTCATGAATAAGGAAGCACACACGGAAGTTTTATATGCAAAAGCCCAAACTATCTTCGGCTACATCCTTACCTGAGTCGATTCATCTGTGAATCCTTACGTAGCATGAAAAGTAGATAATAAATATTCTGTCAAAGTAACATACACCACTTTTTAACAGACTTCAAACGTTTTTAAAACTTTGGCTTAATCCAGGCTTCCTGTTTCCAGCCACATGACTTGTTTATAGCAAAACCGATCAGTGGATTTGAAACAGCAATGATCTTGCCTGTAATTTTCTATAAACATACGCATTTCACTTTTTGATCAGGAAGAATGCCCATCAAGTACATTTTAACTGCGCAGGACAGAATGAAGCCCGGAGACTGCCCACGACATAGGAAATGACCTACTTGCTGCTTCTGGAAAAACGGGGACAATGTCCTAAGAATGACTTCTGAATGGCACTGTGGGTCCACGGTGATGTGAGGGGGGCGGAACAGAGAGGAAAAAGCACCCATCTGTACCTTTCCCACAAGCGTAAACTGCCCCACTGTCAGTGAGTTCACCCGTTGGTTTGTAATGGCCAGTTCACACCTCTCTCTGCACGCCTGCCTGTGAAAGCAGGTTTCGCCCTTGAACCCGTCTGCCACAGGCCGACTCTCCAATGAACCAACACCGGGGCAGTCAGAGGGCTCACAGAGCCCCCTGAGACTTTGTTTTGCTCGGGGCTCCCTCCCTCAGCAGTGAGGAGACCTCAGGTCTGGACTGACCTCCCTCGACCCCAACCAGGGACCATTTCCACAGGAGAAATGGAGCGGGGGTTGGCGCCCCTCCAGACTGAGCCCCTTACCGACACCACCGCAGACACGAGTAACTGCCCTTCGTTTCTGGCTTGTTGCTTTAACTGGCTCCTCAGATGCCTGATAGTCCCGGCCTCCCTCTCCCAACTCAGCTGCACTCCCCACACTGGGAAATGGGACAGAGGACACAGAGGGACGCAAGGAACAAGCCAATGCCCATCTAAGGAGCGTAGACATGGTGAAGGCAGGGTGGAGAGCGGGGAGGGAGGGTGCGTCGCTGGGATGAGACCTGGGACACTCTTGCCAGAGGCCTTGATGGGAAGTGATGCTACCGAAGTAACGGGCACCCTTTGGAGGGAGAGCCTCCTCCCAGGCCCAGGTCTCGGCTCGAGTCCCACAAGCTGGTGCTGGTCACCCTCGTCAGACCCTGTCTCCACAGAGCTGCCCTCGTGAGGCCCATGGGTGCCCCACCACACAGGCCAGGTGCTCTCCTTGACCAGCCACACCCCACCACTCACCCCTGCAGGGTGAGAATCCTCCAGAACGAGAGCAACTTCCTGTCCTTTATCCAGTCTCAGCCCCTCCCCATCCACACCGGACACTCCATCCATCCCCTGAATCACGACTCCTCCCAGCGCCTGTCCCTTGTCCCTCTGCTACACAGGCTGCTCCTCTGGGTCCCCCCTGTGCCCCTCTTCTCCCTCAACCAGCTCCCCATGTCCACAAGGGAACAGGAAATAGCTGAGGTATCTATGTCACCTTCTCCCCTCTGAACTGTGGCCTCAGCGAAGGTGGCACCATCACCTCCACGTCCCCGAGGCTCCGAGCACATCGGCCCAACAGCACTTCTCACTCTCACACTGGCCAGCGCAGCAGGCACCTCACACGTGCCGCCGGGAAGTGTGGCCGGTGTAATCAGGAAAGAACTTCACATTTGACTGTAACTAACTCAAACGTTAGAATAAAGAGTCGGACGTGGCCCCGGGTGGCGTACTGTATAGCACAGGCCCAGGACACGAAAGGGCGGTCCCATACACGCACTGGCGGACCCTAGGGCCCTGCCGACACTTCTCGCCTGACTGTGGACGGTCGGTATTTTGCCACTGGCAGCGGATCCCGGAGGGCATCTGCCTGTCTTACAGTCGGAGAACCCCCCTCTCCGGGACCCTGCCCACAAGATGCACTGAACAAACGTAACGAGGATGTTGGTTAGGACACAAAAGGGGACAGATAAAACATCCTTAGACAATCCTATTCGATTTCAAACGCTCCAGTTCTGCGACAAGCAGACAAGAATTTGTCAGCGTGCAAGTAACAAAAACACTTAACCAAGCGGATTCGCTTCTCGGAACCCTCTCAATAGAGGAAGTAACCAGAGCCCATGCCTCAAGAGACTACTTTTAGTTCAGTTCTACTTCACTGGACTTCACCCCTAGCCTCCCTCCCAAAAGACGCCCCCCTCCCCCGCCAGCACTGCGTTTATCTGAGGGGCAAAGGGAGGCAAGGCAACTGAGGTCCTGGGCCCCCGGCAGCTCGCAGGACTGGGGGCCTGCACCCCAGCGGCGCCGGGAACCAGGCGGAGGCTGGGGAGGGGCAGCGCGGGGCAGACGAGCTGTCTGGAAGGGAATACAAGCAGCAAATGGGCTCCTCAGTCGGAAAGCCCAACGGGGCGCCGGGGGGAGGTTCCGTTAGCGAGGCTCTGCGAATTCCACGAAAACGTGGGAAGACCCCAAATTCCTTCAGGAAGCAGAGGGAGTCCCCCGCATTTACAGCGCGGGCCGAACAGGCCCCGCCCCAGCCCTCTGTCGCCCCTCGGCCCGTCGCTGCGGCTGCCCCGGGGACGGACGCGGGGTTCCTACCTGCGAGGTCAGGCCCTGCTCCTCGTCGTCCTGGCCGCTCAGGACCCGCCGCAGCTTCTCCATGGCCCCGCTCCCGGGCCGCAGCGGCGGACACTCGCCCGTCAGCGATTCACGCCCACCCAGGAACCCGGAAAGCAAAAGCCCCCGGCCAACCGGAAATCCGGGTTCCTGCTTCCGGCGCGTCGGCCCAAACTGTGCGGCTGCCAGCCCGACGCGCGCATGCGTCCCGGAGCCGTGCAGCTGGCTTGGAGCCCTCCCGTGGGCGTGCCTGGGAGTCGGGTGGGCGCCGCAGGAGGCTGCGTGCCAATCCCCTGCGACGGACCCCGCAGGCGCGCGTCCAGGGCTCGAGGAAGGAGCAGACGCGCGAACCCGCTTGGAACGCCGGGCGCGCGGACCCACGTGCTGCGCTCGGACCCTTCTTCCGGCACTTTGACGGGGATTGTAACTGACCTGAGCCAGGTGGAAACAGGTCTCAGGAGACCCCCTGGGAAAGCAGGTCGTACCTGTCCTCCCACAGAAGTCCAATGCTCAGCATTTGTCCGCAGAAAATCCTTGTTTTTGACCTATTTATACTACAGTGTGAGCACTTAACGCTTTTGTCCTCTACTGAAAAAGATCAGAAAACAGGTGATAAACATCTGCTGTAAAACAATAAACCACTATACTTCTATGTAATAAAAAAATACATCTGTAAATTCAAGAATTTTCCTTTCAAAGTATAGTAACTTGAGTTCTCCATATGCAAGAAGATGAGATAAACCAATAACTCTAAAAGCCGGAAGAAAATTTCCAAGGACATACCAGGTTGGATCACGTGAAACTGTCCATGCCCAACTGGTTCACTCTGCACCTGAGTATAAGAACTCTCATTGGAAAATACCTTGAAGGTGTAAGAATGGGGACGCGGGGTGTAACTTCTTTTGAAAAAGAAAATGAGCCCAGCGGTTTCCTGAAAACTTCACGGAGTTCACGGGGGCAGAATTCTCCTGGAGACAGTGAAACGAGCAAGTGTCTAAGCTTCGGAGCCATTCTGCGGGGGGATAGGGTCCCGGCCCCCCATTCTGTAGCTGTGAAGTGCTGGGGAAGTCAACTCAAGTTTCTTGTTTACTTTCTCAAATGTGAAAACAAAGGTGGGAATGTCTCCTACCTTCTGGGTTGTTACGAGGATTAAGTGAGACAATGCCACATTGACCCTCATTTCTCACGGGTTCCTTATTTGTAAGTTCACCGACTTGCCAAGATGTATTTGTAGTCCCAAAACTAACACTTGGCAGGTGCTTCCACCATCATTCGAGGACCATGCACAGAACAGTGAAAAGTGGGACTTGTCGGAGGCGCAGGTCCCAGCTGCAGTGACCGAGTCGGCACTCTGCCCCTGGCCCCACTCCTGGTGTAAACAAGTGCCCTTTCATGGTCTGCTTAGTGCCACGCTCTGCGTTTTTGTGCTTTTGTTTTGTTGGTGACTTCACTGTTAAGAGGACCCCCAAGCCCACTGCTGAAGTTCTGTCTACTGTTCCTAAGAGCAAGGAGGCTGTGGCAGGCTTTATGGAGAAAATACGTGTGTTGAAGAAGCTTCTTTCAGGCCTGAATCATGTGCTGTTGGCCATGGATTCAACACTAATGAACCAACCACAGTCATTAAATAAGGTTAAGGTTAAGGACTGGTCGGTCGAGGACCCTACCCTGGGTTTCCCCAGGAGCTGACGCAGGTTCTGCCACAACTTGATGGGCCAGAACTACCCCGAGTGACAGTAAGTGGCTGTATGGGCAAACACTTTAGGCTGGGCTGCCACTTGCCCGGTGCCGAGTAACTGCTGGTTTGTGGTTATAATGATTACTGCTGTCTCCTTGTGTATCATTTCTGCTCTGGATCCCCATCCTCCTTCCTTCCAGGCCATAAACCTGGAAAAACATCTGACCGCTTCCTTCTCTCTCTCCCCCTTCCTGCTTCTCAGCTCTGGGGCTTTCCAGAGCCATTGGCTTTGCAAACACGAGGCAGCTCAGGCACAAAATGGGGAGGTGTGCCCGGTGGTGGGAGGCAGGGCGCTGGGGAGGCTGCCTCGCCCGAGCCGTGTGCCGAGCGCAGCTGCCGTGCCTCTCCCCTCTGGGCCAGCCAGAGGGAGTCCGCAGAGGGTAACCCGAGGTCAGCCCCTCCACCTGACTGCAGGAAGGCGGAGTGAGCCGAGGACAAGTCCAGAGTGGAGAGCAAGTCAGCAAGGCCCAGGTGGCCCTGCCAGGGGAGTGGGCCATGAAGCTGGCGAGCGTGGGCCTTTCTGCAGCTAAGCCCACCCCCCGAGAGTGACCAACACTCCCTCCCACGGCAGGAGCTCTGCCCCCCCGAGGGACTCATGCCCAAACCCCAGCCCTACACCAGCTGACTTGGGTGCCAGGGGCTTGAGAGCAGTTCTTAGGAGGGAGGACCATCCCAAAGGTGGAGGGGGCCTTCCCCAATGGCAACACTGTAAGCATTGAAAGCAGATGATACAACACCTTCTAAATTTCCTCTTCCCATCTCTAAGCTTTCAAACAGTCTGTGGGAATGTTGAATGTGTCAAACACTCGAGTGACAAGGACGCAGACATTGAGCCCCCATGTGGTCAGAAGTGCCTTAGAGTGCAGAACCCATAAGTGTGGGATAAATGGAATAATATTTAACCATTGGTCATTTATTGTCTCATTGGCTTGTCTTAATCACTTCTCCGAACATGATAGCAAATCTTGGCACAAAAAGTAACACAATGGCTTTTCTTCCTTAAGGACTGAGGCCCAGAGTGCTTTGTGAAGGAACAAGTCAGGTGGTTGCCTATCAATCAGCAGGTCCGTCACCATAGTTCCCGGAGTGCACACGGGGGAGGGGCGGAGGCAGCAGGTGCCGCAGGCAGGACTGCGAGTCAGGTGTGGGCGGGAAAGAGAGATCAGGGCTAATTGCTCAGAGGGAATGTGAAATGAGGAGACAGACACCTCTAGAAAGACAGCCTTAGTTCTGACTGCGCCTCTCATATTCCAAAGGCACCCCGAATCCCGTCTGTGGTGTTTCAGGGTTTCGGTTTCTGCTCTCACCTTGGAAACTCGTGCACGGCTCTGACAACCCTGAAGGCCAGCAGAGGGCGCTCCACCCTCACACTTCCACCCTCACCGCCCTGTGCCCGGGTGAGGAGGGTAGCAGTGGAAAGTGGCCAGTGTCAGCTCCAGCTGATCCCTCTGTTCGGGCCCCACTCGCGCCCACCCTGCACCCCACGGCTGTGGTGGTCGCCGTAACTCTGTTCATCTCCTCTGCTGATCCACTTCCCACGAGGGACCGGCTTCCTCAGAATAAATGCACGGCTGCCCACGACCCAGCCCCACTCCTCCCTCCAGACTTGCCCACCGCCCAGCTTGCTCTCCATGGCACGTGTGCACATGCACGCACGTGTCTGCATGTGCACATACACAGATTTGTGTGTTCACCCATGTGTGCATGCACACACATTTTATAAACACGCAGAGGCACATGTTTGGCCGGACTACCCTGCTCGTAGTCTGAAATCCAGAGTCCTGCCAGGAGGCCTTTGGCTCAGCCCTCCGGGCCTGGAGTCTTGCTGCTGCTCACTGCACACACCCCGGGGGCAAGCCTTCTTTCCCCACCAGCTCGCACTTGACCTGGGGTCTCCCCTTGCCTTCCAGACCTATTAAGACATGGCTGGGGTCCCCTGCCCAGCGCCTCCTGGCTGCTCTGTCCATCCCGAAGCAGCCTCACCAGTCACTGCTGACCAGCCTGGCCACGGTCAGTCATCGGACTCAACTGGCTCATTCAAGTCCAGGCCTCGTCCCCAGGCTCAGAGTCTAGCATGTGACAAAGTCCACAGGGACTTCTGGAATGAAGGAGCGAGCAGCCGCAGTTGGAGCATCCTGAAGAATCAGACGTGCACTGCCCCCAGGTGACCACCTGGGCAGCTGCAGGAAAGGGAACAAAGGTTGGTGTCGGCTGACTCAGTCACGTGCTGCGTGTCCCGTGCGGCCAGCTGCCGGGCTGGCCTGGAGGTGCACAGGTGCGGGAGAGGGCGGGGCTGGCCGGGAAGGCAGCAGTCTAAGAAACCGACATAAGTTCTACTCCCTGGATAAGAAGATGGGTTGCAGTTCGGCGTGAAGCGATCTATTTAGATCGTGGAGAAAAAGGAAAGAAGTGTTTTTGTGGCTGCAAGGCTCACACCTGGAAGGGGGGGCACGCACCACGGTCTCGCTTTGCACTCGGCAGGCGCTGTGTGACGAGTGCACGCTCTCCACGCCGTCCCAGTGCCGTCCTCTCCCTGTCACCACAACAGGGACACACCTCACCGAACGTCCACGTGCCTGTAAAAACCCGGGGCGAGTGCGGCAGACATACTGACGCAGACAAAAGCTCTTCAGGAGGTAAACGGACTCTGCTCGGTCTAGGTGTGGAGATGAGAGCCGCATTTCTCGTAGCACAGGGGGGTGACGTAACCGTCCCACAGGCCGGGGCGACCCAACAGTGTGAGCCCCAGCTCTACTGGCTCCGGAAGTCTCTCTGGAACCTCGGCAGCCGGAGCACGCCAGAGAGATGAGCTCGCTCAGCGTCCCGGGGCGCTCTCCAGCTTTGCCTGGGGCCGGCGCAGGGCAGTTTGCAGGGGCCGTGTCTTCAGGGGCCCCGCGGACCTCAGTTGGGCACCATGAGGCCCTCGGTCTCAGGTTCGGACTTGCAGCGGTTGCGCGGAGATGGGGCGGCGTGGTCCCCCTGGCCTTGCCGCAGCGCCCCCTCCCGGAGAGCGGGAGGAGCGCCTCCCACAGGGGTTGCGGGTGGCCCGGAACCCGCGTCTGCATCACTCTGTCCTCCCCTGCACGGCCCCCAGGGGCACGCACACAGTCCCCCCCCAGTGTGTGCCTGAGACACACTCCTGCACGGTGAACGTGCAGAGTGCTAACTCCAAAGGCTCACTCGGAAATTATCTTGTCTTTCCTGTTTTTTTCCTTAAACAAACCAAGGGTCCGAGGACAGTCAGTGACGTTCTCGCAGTCTTACAGCAGGTTACAGGCAGAGCAATGATGCCGGAACCAACACAGCCTTCAGTGACCAGAGACTACCCTCCTGACCGGCCCCGGCGGGGACAAGGGGACGAGCTCTCGGGCACCTTCCTGATGGGAAAGTCTGCCCTGCCAGCCACCTGCGTTTCCCACTCACGAGGACCTGTGGAGGCAGAAGTGAGTCGTGGGGAAGGGGCGTGTGTGCGCGCGCATGTGTATGCGCACCGGGGTCACCTGTGAGTCCTGCCTGCAGAGTGGTGCTCACAGACACACACAGGGGTTCCACGTCTCAGGCCCTTTCCTTAGCCGGCCCGCCCACCCACATGCCCACCTGCCCAGACAGAAAACCCGAGAGAGCCACCTGCTCCTTGTCCTGGCGTTTCCTGTGCGTGTGGCAGATGGGACGTCCCACCAAGGAGACTGTGTTTTGGGAAGTGCTTTATGTTGGATGACTGCTTGCCACTCCCAACCTCGAGTTCGGAGGCTGGGGCCGCCAGGTGGTGTGTGATCACCCCAAGCTGGTCCCAGCCCAGAGCAGGGCCAGCCCTTGGAGGGTGTGGGGGGTGCAGGTCCCAGATTGTCCCTGCAAGGCTGCTTGCTTGCTCCAGGGAGGCCCTGGGACAGTCCTGGCCTGCCCAGCCCGGTGCCCAGGTCCCTGAGACCACAGTTATCCCTGCTCAGTGAACACAAACCACTGAGGTCAGCTCTACACTGGATACGTGCTTATGTAACCGAGTAAAAGATTAGGTGAACTTGGAGCCATTGCTGGGAACATTCGTCCACCCGACACTAAAATGGCCGAGAGCCATGAGCTGGTGCCAGAGCCTCTCCTCAGACAGGGGGCCAGAGCCCAGGAAGTGGCCGCAACTCGGGGCGCGGCTGGCACGGTGGGCAGGAGGCAGCCGCGCCCTGCCCACGGGTCTGAGAACTCGACTGAGCAACCTGGAGCGTGAGTGCAGCCAGGACGGAGGGACTGCACGCGAAGCCTGGGGTGTGGACACAGGGCACGGCTCCAGCCAGTGTAGAGCAGGAGAGGGCGGGGAGGGACCGGGCCCCAGCCCCTGCGGCCCAAGCAAAGGGGAATTGCGAAACAAGGGCCTTTGGCCTTGCCAGGATTTCCTGTCGTTGGCACTCCTGGCACACAGCCCAGGCCTCCACTCCGTGCCAGGACTCCCGCCTGGCCCGCCAGCTCCGGCTGTGCAGGAAGTGCTTCGCCATTGTCACCTCTGCCCCTGACTCCACAGTAACAAAGACACCAGCGTGGCCCTGCAGGGCTGACATGTGGTGCCAAGTTCATCGTGGAAGTCAGTCTCAGCTCGCCTGTGTCCTCCGGCTCTCTTGGCGCTTTACCATTTGAGATGGGAACTGTGTCAGGCCTGTGCGTATTTTCGGAGAAGTGTCATGTGGGGCAGTTTAAGCACCTGAGTGCGTATAACTGGCTTTGAACGGAGCCAGGGTTTGCTTCAACCCAGCCCGTGTGTTCACACCTCCCTTACGCCGCTCTTCCCTCATACGCTGACCCCTGGACAGCTAATGGGCTCATACTGCTGTGTCCTCCCCCAGCCACCCTTGTGCCCTGCGGGACAGCCGCTCTGCAGACATGCCCCGGGGCCATACCAGGCGGACCCTGTGCATGCCACTCTCGGTGCAGACTAAACACATGCCTGCAGCCGGGACCCTTCCCACGCCTCTCCAGGACTGAGCTCTGCAAATCCCACAGAGCAGAAGCAGCCTGCCCGCCCCCCAGCCCCCATCCAGTGCGGGAGAAGCCAAGCTGTTGGTTGGTCTTCTGGGCACGAGGTTGCCACCCACCCGCTGCACACCCGTGGTTCTCAGTGCCCCTTTTGCTAAAGATAGACAATGGATGTGGGCGCCTTAAAGCAACCCCCCCAGAAAAGAGAAAAATAAAAATAAAACCAGTGTTGCTCTGGAAGAGCATTTCACCAGCTGGTGTCAGTGCTGCACAAAACACACAAGACTGTGCCCGCCCCACGCGCTCCGTGGCTCCGGCCTCCGTCCTTGCTGGCAGCCGGGGCCCTGCAGAAAGCCCCCAGGCCCCGTCCTGCAGCCCGAGCCGGGAGCCAGCTCGGCCCACTCGTCTCCGCTCCTCCCTCCTCCTCTCATGGGAAGGTCAGTGTCAGGGCTCCCCCAGGGCCCTGTGCAGGACACCTGTGCTGCAAGTGTCTGCTCGCTTGCAGGTTCCTTTTCATGGGAGGAAGCGTCTGGACTTGCTCACCAGGTGTGTGAGGGAAGCCCGTGGGACTTTATCAGGGCCTGTCCCGGTCCTGGGGGCGCCTGGCTTCCAGCAGGGTGACGACTACAGGTTGCCCCTTTGGGGACCCAGGTAGGCTTCCTGTGGAGGTGGGAGAATCCTCTGGCTCCTCACACCGCATCAAAGACAGAGATGAGACTTTCACACGGTGAGGAAAGGAGAACGGTCCCAACCCACAGGAGAGTGGAGGCTGGGGAGATGGGCGGGCGGGAGAGGACAATGCAGCTTCGACCTGACTCCCTGCGCTCCTCTGCAGCCTCACCACCGCTTCGGCTGCGCCATCTCCCCAAGTGACCCCAGGGATGGGGGCAGAGGCCAGAGCAGTGGGGACAGGAGAGGGGCCCTGGCCTGTCACGTGTATCCCGGCTTCTGGCCCAGCTCCCCGCCCCACCCTCTCGGGGCTGGGGCAGTGGGGGTGGGAGGGGCCAGTGTGGCACAGCCGGGGCAGCAGTCTCGCAGGCCAGGCAGGAGAGACACCAGAGGAGCTGCTCGGAGGGCACCGGGGAATGGGGGGTCCCGAGTGGGTGGAGACGTGGAGGCAGTCTGTCTGGGGCTCTCGTCCCTCACTGCCACAGGAAAGAGACTGTCACTAGGTTGCTGGTGAGGTCCCACACCCTGCCATGACTGCGTACTGGGACAGCCCTCAGCCAGTGTGGCCTATGTCCTCAGGACACGGGGTCACTCTGTCCAACTCCAGGAGCCCCTCCTGCCCACACTGAGGCTGTGTCCTCCAGCTGGCGCCTAGTGCAGTGCCCTGCCCTGGGCATGTGGGGCGGCAATCCCAGCAGCGCACAAGGAGCTCTGACCACCGCCTCGGGAAACAGAGGCCAACGCAGCTCCAGGGCCGGCCGCTTACTTCGGGCACGCGCAGGGGCAGACCTGGGGGCTTCCTCACCTCCGCCCAGGACCGCAGCCTGCCGGGACTGGGCTGCCCGCAGAATCACTCCGCCCCTGCCCCTACCCCACCTCCCGAGAAGGCCCATCTTACACAGGCCCCGGCCCTGCAGGAGCTCGGCACTGAAGTCACCTAGACGCGTGGCGGGATACTTTGTCACTCGTTCCACAAGGGTCTAAGTCGTTTATTGCCGGTAAGTTACAGCGCTTCAGAATGCGCACTGCATGGGGGCAGACGCTTTCAAACCCTGGATGCGAGACGTGAGGTGTGTCGCCGGCAGTCGGCGCTCTCACGTCACTGAAGGAAAGGTCGAGAACTCGGGGCGCGCAGAGTTAGCAATTTTGTTCTCTTCGGTTTCTTGTGACTGAATTTGAGTAGGTAACGTCCACATTACTGCAGACAGAGCCACCACCGGGAATTACTAAGTGACTGTGTGCCGGGACCCCGCTCTCTGAGAAGGAAGCACTCGGCCGTGGAGGGCGGTGGGAGCGGGCGCGGGCTCCCGGCGGCCTCTGCGGGAATCGTCTGCTGAGTACGAAGAGCTCTCTGCGCACGTCCCTCGCAGGGGTGTTCACGACCGTGGACTCCGTGACTCAGCAGCTGGCGATGACGCCCAGCCACGGCGCCAACCCCTGCCTCCCCTCCGTCAGGCTGACGCCTGTTTGGTCATCCTGGAAACGAGAACACAAGGAGAGTCGGGGAGGGGGGCGCAGCCGCACCGCCAGCGGCACAGGCCTGGGAGGGCTTTAAGGACACACGTCGGTAACACGCATCTCAGAGAACACTTCTACAAAAACACCAACATCCAATTCCTCGCGGTCCCGATTGAGTCTGCGCCGCAGGGTGTCACCTGCCCGGCCACTGCTTCAAGTTCCGCAGCGCAGTTTGCTCGGCGTCAGGTTTCACACTCACACCCCGAAATCCCAAAGGCCTCGTAGCTGAGACCAGGCCCCACCCTCCCCGACCCTGCACTCGAAAGAACGACCTGGGTCTGCGTACTTGTGCTTGATGAGCCGCGTCCCCTGGACCAGCTGAGCCACCTCATTGGTGGCGTGGCAAGCGAACAGGAGCCAGTTGCGAGGCTGCACCTTGTAGGCGAATCTCATGAAGGTCAGGGAGTAACAGCAGAGGGCTGCGGAGGTACCGGAGCGAAGGGAAGCAGGGGCTTACCGTCGGGAGGGCGGGTGTGGGCGGCACCCTGGGGTCGGCCGCCTCGAACAGAAAAGGGGTCTGTCTCTTCCGCTAAGACATCGGCAGAGTGAGAGTCACTGCTCGCGGGCACCTCGGATGGGAAGCCTGCCAGAGGCCTCCAAATGCCGGGGACAGCAGTTCCAGCCCCGGTCACTGTTCCCTAGGGCTATTTACCGTCCCTCACCCGAGGGACCTGCTGTGTAAGCCCCGCGACAGTTCTAGGGTCAAATATTGGGGTTTTGGGTAAACTTCTGAACTCGTTTCCCAAACACTGTGCATTTCAAGAGAGTGCACCCCTCCTCGGGGTGCAGGGAGCATGAGGGCAAACAGCACCTCAGTTCTCCCCGTTGTGTTTCAGTCTCCCTGCTGCCTGTGGGGGGGACGCCTTCCACACACTGTCACTTTCTGACGGGGACTGTCCTGTCTGGGGCTGCTGGAACCGTGCAGGTGAAAGCCCTCTAGGGGCCCACAGCCGCACACTCACCGAACGTCATCCGCCCGCTGATAATCTCCGGAGACTTCTGCATGTCGTTGATGGCGGCGATGGGGAGACCCCAGTTGGCGACTGGGCCCCAGAAGTGCTATAAAAGGGAGGGAAGGGAGAGGAGGGGGGAGGTGGAGCTGGGGACAGAGCGCCCTCCCCGCCCAGCCGGGTGTGCACCGAGGGAAACCAGACCCAGCGTCCACGCGGCGCAGGCTGGCCAGTGAGCTGTCCCGGTGCCCGCCTGCCACTCAGCGGCCCTTCCCAGGTGGGCCCCAGGCCAGAGAGGACTTGGCAGCTCGCCAAGGTGCAGCCAACTTCCAGGTTACAACTGAGCAACCTCTGACTGTCCCGTTTAGAGAACTGTAAAATGAGATTAACTTCTTACACAATCCCTGCTTGCCACAACTTAAAATTTGTGGTAACTTTTCTCTACAATTTAATGTTTAAATATACAAACACTCGTTTTTAAAACTGTCATTAGGATATTTGACAATGCATCTTACAATGCAGAGTCTACACCAGACCCTCTTTCAGAAGAAAGGAACCCGTTGTAAGAGGGAGAGGTGCTCTCGGTCGGGCGAACGGCCCTGAGATCTGAGAACCTGGAAGTCCACGCTCGGAACCCCAGCTGCTCGGCAGTCCAGACTGGAACACACTGCCAAAGTCATGGCGATAACCTGGGTTTCAAAAACGGACCAGCAGCTTCTCACTCCGCCACAGCGCAGCTGTCCTGAGAGCCCACACGGCAGGGACGCTGCGGTGCCCCGCCCACGGCGCCAGCGCCCCGCCCACCGCGCCAGTGCTGCTGGCAGAGGCGCTATCTCAAGCAAAGGGAGCCGGGTCCGCTGTCCGTCTCGCTGTTAGTACAGACATCTGCACAAGCCCGAACGGAAGGAGGAGCAGTTTTCTTACCGTACTATTTTGTGAGAGATCACCGAGGTTCAGACGGGGGAAACATGAAAAAAAGAAAACAGGAAGAAACGGTCAGACAGTGAGTGTCAAAGGCCAGGTTCCATCAGGTCACCCCAGCTGGACAGCACGCAGGTCTCGGCGACAGGGCGGCTGCGCTCTCCCCGGCCCCCGAAGGCCTAGTAGTGTTTCTAATGACAACTCGGACTTTAATTACGCCTTAATTTCATTGAAAAAACCTTACAGTGCTCCAACAGGAATATAATGCAAGTCACAAATAGGAGCCACATACATAACTTAAAATCTCCTAAAAGACAAAGAGGAGTTAACTTTATTAAGTCTATTTATTCCGACATATCAGAAGTACTTAAATTTGGACACAGAACCAGTGGAAGCTCATCAAGGTGGCATCGTCTGCTTTGTCCCTGGACCGGGAGGCTGCTGTGCGCCGACACCCTGGCACATTGCCGTCGGCAGGTTTCCAGTGCTCGCCTTGTTGGTGGCTTGTGTCTCAGCCTGCCCAGCTTAAAGTGACCACGTCCTTGAAAATGACAAGCTGGAGAGGGGCACAGCGCCGTGGAGCCCCACCAACGAGCCCCCACGTTCCCTCGCAGCCCCCGCGGTTGCCTTCCAGGACCACCAGGGCCGGGTCTGAGCACAGGCCCGGACCCAGCCACCCGACAGCGGCGGCGCTTCTTCCCCCACAGAAATGCCGTTCAGGGAGCAGCACTTAAGTCTAATGTCACCTTGGGGGCAATTTACTTTCAATTCAGTGCCTTCTCCTTGACTTATATTACAGCTCAAATAACACAACAGTACTTTCGATCCAAAAGTCCTACATGCAAGCAATCATGAAAAGAACACCGGTCGCTCCACATTAAATAGTGATTTGATGATTGCAAAACAGTCTGAGAACCACGTCCTTTTCTAAGCATCCCTGGAAAATAAAAAACCCACAACTCAGCAGCCCTTAATTCTACATCGGAGATGTCCAAGTACTCATTTACAAAAATCTAAAAATCCCATTTGTGCAGAGCCAAATGAGGAGAAGAAAAAAAAACCTTCTTGGTGTGTATAAGAATCTGTTCCAAAGAAAGATAAATTCATAAGCAACAAACTGCAATCTGGGGAGCGTAATGTACAACTGTATAAAAAAGTCCTTGATTTTCTATTTGGTATGCTGCTTTAATTTTATTTCGGTGAAGGTTAAAAAATAAAACCCCAAAACGTATAGGTAAAGGTTTTCTTGGGTTCACTCATGACCTTGACCTCTCGTGAAAGGAGAAACCTCTCTTCCCGGGTGAGAAAGACCGACGGGGGTGGAAAGGAGGACAACTAGCACTGAATAAGCTTTATCTTGTTTTTCTCCTTAATTTGGAACTGCGATGGGTTGCTCCGGTCTAAGCTCATTTTTATTTTCCTGGGCCCCCTTGTGTGGCCATGCTCAGGCTCCCATCTCCCCGAGGTCGCTGCCAGGACTGTCAGCTTCCTCTGAAAGTGCTGAGTGACCTGGGCAACATGCGACTCACGCCTGCAGCACCAAAAGGCTCCACCGGCAGCCTGGCACCACCATCTGCTTATACCGGCATGGCACGTGGGGTAAGGCTTTGAGACTGTAGCTCAGGGTGTCAAACTCATGTTCACCAGGGGCCACATCAGCCTTGCAGCTGCCTTCAAAGGGCTGAATATAACTTTAGGACTGTGTACATAGAACTACTCCTTAAGAGTTGAGCGAGAGCTCGGCGCTGCCTCTGTGGAGAAATAAGGTGCCGGGCCGGATAAAACAAGGTGGAGGGCCGGACCAGCCCATGGGCCTTGTGTTCCCACCTGTGGTGTGGATGCAGGTCTCCTGTAGGCTGAAGTGTTCACCTGAATGTTACCTATTCTCACCACTGTTATCTGATTTTCTAGTTCAAGTTAAAATGAGGGAGTGTTCTAACCAGTGGGCTGCGTGATATTCAACTGTACGTAGCGGGCAGAACTGAACTGGACGACAGGAAAGAGGTCAGTTCTGCCTCAGGCTCGCAGCTTCGTTTGGGAGGGTCAGTCCCACCACAGGGAAGTTAAAACACAGGCTGGGCAGCGGGCAGGAGCAGCACACAGAGAAGGGAGACCCGGGCGGGAACAGACGTGCAGGGCAAGGACCCAGCGCCTGACTCCTTTCAAAGCGATCCTTGGACACTGCTCTTTTCCTTTAGACTCTAATCTGCATGCCTGTTTAGCCCCACACGTGTGGGGTCCTGGGGTCCTGGGCTTCCTGTGAGGTGTAGAGACCAGTTTTCTCATGTGGCAAGTGAAGTGTTGAGTCCCCTGATTCCTGAGGTCTGTCCCAACTCTCACGACCTTAACTTGGGAAAGATTTCCCATTATTCCACTGCTGCGTCTCTCCTGGTTAACAAGGGCAAGTCCTTAAAGCTCCCTGGAAACTGGTAAGTTAAAATTAACAGAATAAAATATTGTAGTGACCAAGCATATTCACTGCAAACACCCCACTGATTTGGGACTTATAAGAGTCGTAGTAAGTGACCGACCTCACACTCCATGACCCAGGTCCTCCTTGAGAAACAGCCTTTGCACACGCATCCAAACACATCTGTGCAAACAAAACGCCCGTCCCCTCTCGGCAAGGGCGGTGGGCCCCTGGTGCCACCCATCTGCACAGCCGTGCCGCGCCCAGCCCGGGGCGTCCCACCTCAGAACTCACCGCCCACTCTCACTCCTCCTTTCCCAAAATTTGGAGACAGAATGACAGGAGGGAAACTGTCGTCTCCTTTTACTCCATCATAAGGTATCTGCGAAATATCTTCTTTAAAAATATGAATGAGAGAACCAGGAAGTTCCTGACCCAAGACCCTCCAAAGGTGAGAAGGAGGAGCCAGTAAGAAGAGGGGCGGAAGGCACAGAGCCAGTGCCGGGAACCCAGGGCGTGAAACACACGTGGTAACAGCAAAAGGGAAGCTGTCAAGCATGGCACTGTGTCATCAGGGATCAGTAACCAGCCCAGGGCAATGCAGCTGGACAGCCAAGGGCCAGGGTCACTCAAACCCACCACCGAGGGTTAACGACATGCACTCAGGAAACAGGGACACCTCTCCTCCCTGACGTATGGTCAACAGACCCTTCCTCTGTGGTGGATGCCAGGTGACCACCAGCACACTCCTTCCTGGGTGTGGTGTAAAAGCTTTCTGTTCAGTTACACCGACCAGCGTTCCCCGAGGCCACACCTGACCCCGGGGAGATTTGGCACCGGGTGCGAACCCTGGGCACGATCACTGCCGTGGGGACACTGCGCCACAGGGACCGGGGCGGAGCCTCCTGTCTCCACTGGGCTCAGCCTTTCCGACACACCAACCTGACCTGCTGCTCCCACCCATGGACTAACACGTCCTCGTCACCGTCACAGTGTTGCTTAACCACACAACCTTCTTTTTCTGTAAAGTCAGGAGGGCAGCTTGTCTTCCCAAACTTGCCCTACCACACGGGAGACTGAATTATCTTTCTTACCCTACCGCTCTGTGAAACTCGAAGTCAACAGCACTGCAGTGAAAGCCAGGATTAAAAAATAGCCCTTTTCCCACTGGTGAAAGTCAGCAGCCTCCAGCTGCACCCTTGGGCGGTCTCAACCGGGGCTGCTCTCCCTTCACGACTGACTGCACTGCTAACCAGCGAGCGACACAGCCCAGGACCCACACAGAACACCAACATCACACTGCAAGTAAACGATTCAACACTGCTTCCAAGTTGTATTAAATATTTTGAAATTACACTAAGCATCTGGGCCTTGGCTGGATGCTCAGGCGGTTGGAGGATCCACCCAGAGCCAAGGTCAAGGGTCCGATCCCAGGTCCGAGAAGAGTCAACCGGGGAAGGGTAAATAAGGGGAACAACAGATCCTTGTTCCCCCCCCCCCGCTCCTTCCTCTCTCTAAAATCGATAAATTAAAAAAAATTGAAATGAGCATCTGAAGATCAGAGGTGACAGGAAATACAGAAAGTGTGTCTTCTGGCCTTTCGGCCACGAACGCTATTTGTTTCTATCTGGAAAGGCAGAGTAAATGGAAAACAGAAGTGGAAAACTTTGTCCTTGGCGACACATTATTTTACACTGGTTGGCAGTGTACTCTCATTTGAAAACATTTTAGATCCTTCGCTTAGTCTTCAGGTTCGAAAAATAACATCGAAAGGCGAACTCAGCTCGGCACCGTTATTTCCGCAGCTCCCGGAGCTCCGGGGCGGCTGGGGTTCACCTTCAAGAGCGCGGGCTGCTCAGTGCAGGGAACGCGCGCGCTCGCCCAGCGCCAGCCCGGGCCGTCCCACCCGGCGCAGGCCCGGCCGCCAGAGGCCGCGCGGCGGAGCGCCGGCGCCCCTCGGCCAGAAACTGGCCCCGCGCTGTCCCGTTCCTCCTCCCTGGATCCCACCCCGTCTCCCGGGGCACCGGTCCGGCTACTTCGCTGCCCGCGCCCCGCTGTCCCGAGCCCCCGTTCCCCTGCCGCGGAGCCCCCTCGCTGCCGTCCGGAGCCCATTGCTCTGCCGGCCCCCGCCCCGAGCCCCTCATCCCGGGCGGGTCGGCCCCGGCCTCCAGGAGCCCTCGCGGGGTCCATCTGGGGGAACTCGTCACCTCATGAGGTAGTCCCGGAAGTCCTTGCTCCGGACATAGTCCGCCGCCTTCCGCACCAGAGCGCCCGCCATGGCTGCACCGGACCCCAGGCCACCCTCGATGCCCTCGCCGCCGCTCCACGGAGACCCAACAACAGCCGGCCGAGCGGACGAAGCTCCCACCGCACCCGCCCGCCGGTCGCGTCACGACAGCTCCGCCCCGCCTTACGGCCGCCGGCTCCTGGCCTATGGGAGGGCTCGAGGCGGGAGGCAACCAGCGGATTGGCTTGCGCGCGCCGCACACCTTCTCCCCGCCCCTCGGCGGCGCGCGAGGCGGGGCTTCTGTGGTCAGGTGGCCGGGCCCGGCGATTGGCTGGCGGTTACTAAGCTTTGGCGCTCGGGCGCGGCGTCCCCGCAAGGACAATGCGGCCCGGATCTCCCGGCGGCCGGTTCAGCGGCCGGTTCAGCGCCCGGATCCTCCACGCTTCCGCCTGGGCCCGCAGAATAGTGGGCGCAGGGCGGGGCGCACGAGGGCGGTCGCGTCCCTGTCCTGGGACAAAGGCCACCTGAGCCTAGCGAGGCGGGTGCATCGAGTCACAGAGAGAACAGCGAGGTTTCTATTGTTCAGGGTTTTATTCGGTTTTAATTTTTTATACTGGCCCCACATGTAGATGATTTCCGTTATTGAAGGTGAAATGTATGGGGACAGGGACTTGGACATCACAAACATAAATGAGAATATGAACATCTCTAGAGGGCGAACGTGTTCACATTAGTGATGGACATGCCCTGCGGCCCAGCAAGGCCTTTTCTAGAGATACGACCCAAGGCAGAAAGGCAGGTTTGTGCAGTTTCGTGCACACAGCAATGTCTTTAACGTACAAGGTTGGGAAACCATTTGCCTCCCTCCTTCGGGAGTCGAGTAGATCAGGGTGCCTCCATTTCATGGAATACCATGCAGCAGTTAGAAAGAATAAGGGACCTCTGCGTGCTGGTGTGGAAAGGTCTTTAATATTTACAAATAAAATATCAAGGTACAGAATTGTGTGTAAAGTAGGCTGCTCATGCCTCAGGACAACGGAAATAAAACTTCACATTTGCAAAGACAAGGGAGAAATGGTAGCAGTGACTGAATCTAAGGGGGATTAAGTCCTAACATGCCAAATGACTGCGTGTAAGGGATGGAGGGCAACATTTCACTGTACACTCTTGTCCCTTTCAAGTATGAGGAATGGATAGATGCTGTCTATTCAAGATAAATGACATTAAAGAAGAAATGCTTTTGAGAATTAAAGTAGCAAGCTGTTGATTGAGATTCATTTTCTTCTAGGATCTCTGTGGGTCATACCTGGCCTTGAACTTCTGTGAGGGTACCTTAGTGCACAATATTACGACCTTGAAACAACAGCAGGAAGGCTGCTATCCGCCTCCGATGCTTGGGGGTGGAGGTGGGAATGCGTGACCTAAAGAGAAGCAAAGGGGTTTTGATGATTAATAATATTAGTAGCTACCTTTTGTTGACTACTAGGCACTTGTACATTATTTCTTCTTCTCGTATCAACCCAGAAGGTGGGTGTAAGGAAACCAAATGGCTTCTTGAATAGAAACCAAACTGCTCTGGCAAGATCGGTGGAGAGGAGAGACAAGTCCCTCCTCACCTGCAACACCCCCCACCTGGCCCTCAGTGTGACAGCTTCTGGATCTCACTGTGCTCAGCCTTATCCCCTAATATTTTCTTTCATGTGTGAACAGTCGTTCTGAATTCGAGAGGTCAGAAGAATCACCTGCAGATTCTTAAGCATTGTCCCCCACCGCCCCATACATGCAACCTCAGCCTCAGAGGGCTGGAGCCAGCCCTGGGAGGTGAACCTGAGACAGCTGGGCAGCTGCAGCACCTGGAGAAAGGTCACTGTCATCACTGCCACCGCTCAGCCCGCTTCAGAAGAGTCTGCTTCCACATCCGGCTGCACTGGAGCCTTGGAGCCTCCCGTTGTGGTGCTCCCTTGTGGAGCCGCTGAGATTAAGTGAAGGAGCACGAATACCTTAAGGAGATAAAGTCTTCCGAGCACCTAGCCTGGGGTCAGAGTCCAGCCCCCTCCTGGCCTTAACCCTGCCCATTTGGGGCTGACCACATTTGGCATGTTAGTAAAAGTCCCTAGGCCTGTATTTTTTATCTAGGAAATAAAAACTCTAAAAAATAATATAAATGCTGTACCATGTCCCATATAAGCGGGAAGGAAAGTGGTTTCCTTAGGTGCCCAAGGCCACATCTGAGCCACGAGAGCCCCAGAGCAGAGGGGGCTTAACAGTCTGGCTCCTTCAAGGACGCACATCTCGGCTTCTCGAGGATTCTCGGGTGGAATCTCAGAGGCCTCTCGGGTGGAATCTCAGAGGCCTCGGTGACCATCTCAGTTCCTGAGCAATCATTAGTTGAGAGGTTTTCTAAGAACAAAAATTCCTATAATAACAAAAAAATGACCCGTGAGGTAGGTTTAAATATGATGTTCAGTGTTCACTTACATTTCCAAGCAGAAATCAAGTGAAAGAAGCCAGTCCCAAAGGCCCATGTGTCATGTGATTCCACTCACATGGAATGTCCACAGACACAGTGAATAGGCGGGTGGCTGCCTACAGCTGGGAGAATGGGGGGGGGGGGTGGATCGGTGATGGAGTTCCAGCTGCACTTTCCTCCGGGGTCATGAAAATGGTCTAACATTGTTCTAGGGACGGCGTGCAGCTCTGTGAACCTGCTAAAGACCGGTGGGTTGTGTGCCATTGGAATTATGCCCCAATGAAGCTGCTTTTAAAAAACGTAACAGTGATAAAAAAGAAAAACCTCAAACGGATGCATAGAAAAGCCAACAAAGCAAATCCCCTGAAACTCTCTCGTCACAGAGAAAGAGCAGTCACCCGTGTGCCCACCCCAGGTAGCCTAGTACTGAGGGGAATCCTTCTTGCCAAAGTCCAGCGAATACAGGAGGAAAGGCAGCATTAGAAGCACACTGGTTTGCTGTCCCCGTGGAGTGACTGGTCCAGAGAGAAACCGCCAAGGACGGATGCTCAAACCCCAGCGTGCATGGGTAGGGGTTAGGCGCTCACGGCCAGCGGAGGCCTCCCAGGGAATGCCCACAGATTCCCCTGGGTGGGGGAGGGGATCTGCTCACCCCCTGCCGGTGCCTCCTGCAGCCCCGCCACAGTGAGTGAGCGGCATGCGGGGACGTCCACCCCACATCTTGGACCTGAATCTGACTGAGCCTGAATCTCACTGAGCTCCACCTCCAGGTCCCACACAGTGAAAAGGTTGCAGGTGTGTGTGAGAGCGGCCCAACACAGAGCCGTAAATTTACTTAAAACATGGTGAGTGTCTCTTGTGATTATATGTCGCAATGTATTTAATGTGTGGCCCAGAGATGCCACAAGGTTGGACACCCCTTAGAGGAACAAGTCAAAGAGTCAAATGTGTGCAGTGAAGAGAATGGGGGAGAAGAGCAGGAGGGCTGAGCCCTTCCGTCCGCACACCACGCTGGGGGGTGGGGGGGGCATGTGCAGAGTGTTGGGGTTTTAGTGGCCACATTCAAATGTAAAAAGGAACAGGCAGAATTAACTATAGTGTTCTATTTAGTCCAAGATGTTGTTTCAATATGTAATCAACATAAAAACTAGTATTGAAATAGTTCATGTTTTTTTCATACCAAGTCTTTAAACTCTGGTGTGAATTTTATATTTACAGTTCATCTCAATTCAGATGCCAAATTTTTAGCAGTGATGCTTGATCTCTATTTAAATTTCATGGAATTTACAGTTTTAAAAAAGTATATTCATGCATCCAAGTTATTCCAAACATATTGAACAGTTTTCCCAAACGGAAATGAGTACCCCAAACTCATTTTCCTTTAACATTGCCCTCACATTGACAAAACTACTTCATCTTTTTTTTTTTCTTTAGAAGAATTTACTTTGAAGCCAAAGCAACAGTGGTTTCCAAATGACAGGTTCAAGTTAAGTAAATTGACCTTCCGTTGCTGCAACGGGGCTGTGTTGGCTTTGAGTTGAAAGGTTACTTGTTGCACAACCTCTTCAGTTTGGGGGTCGATTCACAGCTGATTTACCCAACGTGCGCGTCACTGCCAGCCATCCGGCCATTTGTGTTAGAAATATTTGTGAAATCATGATTGCTGATTTGGATTCCAAAATTTTCGATGGCCAATAAGTTCTCCTACCTGCCTCCCTGTCTGGCTAGAGCCCAAATCATCTCCGAAAGGAAGCATCTAAGCTTCGGATTTAGCGCATCCACAGGCAGAGTGACATCGGCATGAAGACAAAGCCGCTGCCACTTGCCCTCAATCCAACACTTGGCAAACATTCCCTTTATTTCAAGAACTTCATGAGTGGGAGGTAAAGTTGAAGTAAATCATTGTGAAATTTTTCCACAACTCAGCCAGCAAGCGCTGGCAAACGTCCCTGCATTCGGGGACTTGGTTTCTTGCTCCAGTTCCAGGAACCAATGGCCAGTCGGAGCGCGTGAACATGGTCAGTCAGACCGCGTGATCGTGGTCACTGAGCAGTTTAAAAACTCCATGCAGGGCACTCCTCGTCACGTCTGCCCCAGGAAATGGAATACAGAGATTCCGTGGAACAAAGCATTGGGGGACACATCAGTGCCTTCTGAAAAAGTGCCAATAGATCTCGATTTTCGGCCAGTGCAGCCAGAACACCATTCATCAGGATAGAAATTAGTGTTTTCGCCCCTAGCTGACACTCTGAAAGATTCCAAAATGCCCGCTCCCTGCCGCTGCTCTTTGGGCCTCAGGTTGGCGATGCTGCCGCCCACACCTGGAAGTCCGGGCTGGCCAGGCGGCTGGCCGAATCAGCCCGCTGGATCAGCCCGCCCAGCAGCCCGCTGCTCTTTGTTCATTCGTACCCTGCTCCCCATTGGAACCAGCGAGGGGCACTTTAGATCTCACTGTATCATTATGACTTTTTTAAAACTTCAGTGAAGTTTCAAGCCGTCAAAAAGTGTATGTATATTCTGATACACAATGTTGGCTTAAAATGTTTTTCATGACTGCAAATTTTCTTTAACTGCCGTGCATTGCAGGCCTGCCCTGCTGTTCTCTGTGCATGGTCAGCCCCTACTTTCCCCTGGTGCCCACGACGGTGCCTTCTGGCCACAGCAACTGTGCCACTCACCTCTTGCTGCACCTGAGTCACCCCCAGCCCCCCACGGTGATGCCTCTCCTTGGCCTGAAGCTGTGGGTGGAAGTGTGAACACCACCGACCTTGTGGAGGCACCTGTCTGAATGTGACAGAAACCACGGAGGTGAGAACCACTGGCAGAACGTGGCTCGTGTGACGTGCACACACAGTGGGGGTGATTGTGTCACTCAGATCCGTTGGGAACGTTAGAACACAGAATAAGGCGGTCTGTTTACGAGAACTCCTTCACCCACAGAGCGGGTTGAAGCTCACCTGGGAGCCGTGTGTTCACTTGGCCTCAGAGCGGCTTCCACACGGGCCGGGCCGCGGGGATCTGCACGGCAGTTCCAGGTGGCGTATTTAAAAGCTAATGTTTGGTGTGCCTTGTGCACCAACTTTGACCTAAGTCCACACTCTGGCAGTAGAGACGCAGCCCCACGGAACTCTGTGCTGGCCAAGCAGACTCTGGTGTCCTTGGAGGGCTTGCCTGAAGGGGACAGAGGCTCAGATGGCAAGGAAAGTGTCTCCAGATATTGCCACCGAGTGAGAGTGGGAAGCAGTGTGGCCGGCCCCCCATGCTCTCACCCATGTCCCCCAGGAGGAAGGAGAAGCGCACCCATACTTCGTCCCATACCCACGTCACAGAAGCCCTGAGACCATGGTCCGAACACAGCTCCTAGGGGCTAGACCCAGAATGCAAACCGGGAACGTGACTTCCAGCTGCCACAGCCAGGGTGCCTTCCACATTCACGCACTGCTCACATACTGTGCATCCAAAGTCAGTTTTCCAGGGGCTTGTGGGCGGGGATCAGGGACAAGGGGAGGTTTTCTCACAAGAGGAAGCCGCTCAGGTCTATGCATGGGCTCCAGCCCGGTCTCTGTGCTGCGGTCAGTTTCGTGACCTGGTTCAGTCTCGTCCATCGTCCATCCCTCAGGTGGTGCCGAGTGTCCACGAGAGCCAGGCCTGGTGCTGCATCCAGGGTCCAGGCAAACAGCCGATAAGGATTCTCTTGCCCACAGAAGTGGGGTTCTCATGGTGCCCCAAGAAAAGCCTTCCAGAAGACACATGTACAGGAGACTGGTAAGGGTTACTTGTGGCGCCGGGCGCAAGAATCAAAGGCATGCCACTGGGTTCCCAACGCCCCATTTCCATCCATCCCGCCACGGGGAAGGTCCAGCTTTGCCTTCATCAGAGCCAGAAATAGGACCGGTGTCCAGACATTCTGTGCCGTGCCAAGATCGGGTCAGCCAGGCCTTTCCCACCCGCTAGCTCAGCTTGCTTTTCTGGCTTTGCCTCCGCTGGGGCTGTGTTTGGAGTCCATGGGGCTGCTGGGCCACAGGCAGCCTCTGTCTCCACGGGGATGCACAGAGGAACAGGGTGAGCACCAGTTACCTGGCAAGAGAGAGAAGGGGCGACATCTTTTTAGGCTCAGGTTACACTATCTCAGGCTTGGGATGGACCAGGAGATTGTTCAGAATAACCAGTCAACTCCCCAGGCTGCTTGTGGGTCCACCGCCTGGCCAATCTATTGCCTGGATCTTCCAGGGTTGCGTCTCTTATCGACCCAGTCCTTTCCCCAGGCTAGACTGACCCGTCTCTATGGTCGCTGTCTTGGCTCCTACTGCACATGTGCAGAACACCCCCTTTATCATTCTATCCCTCCCCCAGGGATCTGTGGGGGACAGACTGGTGGTTCTCTGGGGAGTGTGTGAAGCTGTAACTTCCTAGCAAAGCAAGGGGGTTATGCTTCCTATTTTATCAGGCGTCATAATGCCCGAGTCCCTTCGCTCCCTCCCTTTATTGGTACCTAGCCGCCCACACCAGCACCGGGATCACAGCCCGGCTGGGGAGACAGGCAGAGAGCGCAAAGGAGTCAATGCCGGGTCATGCCGCGTGCTGGGAGGGAGACATGCAGGCTGCGGAGACGGAGCAGAGCTCTACCGGGTGGGCCGCTGCCCTGTGGGTGGGATCATCGGGAAGCCTCTCTGAGGAGGGAGTCCCCCTCCAAGAGCAAAGCCCCATGAGGCTTGGGAAGGGAGTTCCAGGCAGGGGCGGCTACAGAGCAGACCAGGGTCCCCTGTGATAAGAACCAGCTGGGAGTCCCTGGGAGGGGTCTGCTGGCCCCCACAGCATCCTCCCTGTGGCCTGGGGACGCTCTCCCTGATGAGCTGACACTCTGCACACACGTGACTCCTGCTGGCAGTGACAGCCATGGGCCACCAGTGCCTGCTGACACCGTAAGCACAGGGCACTGTTTCTGAGCAAGGAGCTCACAGCTAAGGTTAGGAGACACAGTGGGCCCAGTGCTCGTGTGCTTTCAAGTTTATTCGTTTGGCCCCCCTCCCCCACACTGTGTGATGGTGTTTGGAGGGGCCCTGGGGAGGGGAGGCCACGAGGGCCAGAGTCGTGTAAGAACAGACCAAAGCCCTTTGTGAGTCCATGAAAGGGGAAGCGGGGCGGGCACCCTGGTCTTGGACTTCCGGACTCAGAACTGCCGGAAAGAAACACCTGTTGTTCGGGCCCCAGGCTGAGGTGTTTTACCACGTGGCCCAGCTGGCCGAGCTGAGCCAGACAGGAAGGAGGGGAGTCAGGTCTCACTGTTTAAGTCCAGGAGCTTAGAGCCCCCCTGCGGCATAAACAGTGGTCCTCAACAGGGCCGATTCCGGAATCACAGGGAGACTTAAAAATACGGATGGAACCCTGGCTGGTGTGGCTCCGCAAGTCTGGCTTGGGCTCTCAAAGCCAAAGGTTGCTGGTTGGATTCCCAGTGGGGGCACATGCCTGGGTTGCAGGTTCCGACCCTGGTCGGCACCCTGGTCAGGAGAGACAGCCAATCCAAAGCAATGTTCCCCTCCCGCTCTCCCTCCCTGCCCCTCCCTCTAAACATAAATAAATGAGTTAACAAGCAAACAGATGGATTCCGGACCTAATGTCTGACAATCTCCTGAGCAGATTCCTGAGCCGGTGATGCACAACCATTTTCACCATAAAAAGCCTTTTTAAATCAAGTTTTTCCTTGCAGACCTGTCGTATGAAGGGTTTTATCTAATAAAGACATTTATTAGGTAACTTCTGCCCCTTGAACAGGGGCGTCTTAAAGGAGGCATTTAAGACTTTCTTCTGGGCGTGAGGGAAACCAGTGTTACTAGAGAACGAAGCAAAACTCAAACCAACGGGAAGTTTTCGCTGTGCAGGTCTGCGGCGCGCCCGCTCCTGCCTCTCCCAGCTCTTCTCCGAGTGAGCACAGATCGCAGCCCCTCCGCAGCGGCGGACAGCACCGGGGCGGGGCGCCCGAGAGCCGGCTGCCGCGTCCCTGACCACTGGCACACCTGGACTTTCTCCAGGAGGCGCATTCGCCCTGGGTGGGGGGGGGGGTGCGGGGAGGTGAGCGCCTCCGCCAGCACCTGCAGGTTCCAAGCGCACTTCTGCAGGAAGTTGCTCACTGCCCCTAGCGGCGAATTGTGGCAAGTGCAAGCACATGGAGAGCACGATCCAGAGGAATCATGTGACCCACCTCCCGAGGTCAACAAGGCCACCTCACCTCCGCCGGGCGAACGTGGGCTCGTAGTCCTGGTGCAGAACCTCCTCTACTCATCACTCATGATGGTCAGCCGTTCGTGCCGGGTGCCCCTGCGGCGGGGGCCTGGACAGGACGCTCCCGCGGGCAGGGCTGTGCCGGGGCTGCGCGAGGGTTCATGGCCCAGCGCCTGACCCGGATGCCAAGGATGGGGGCACTGCGTCCACGGTGATTTCAAGACTCTCGAGACCGGAACTGCTCTCCCTGCCTGCCCAGCTCCCGCTCGCTGGCCCCGCGGGGGCTTTGACTGGTCTGGGTTGTGCCACCACGCCCTTCCCGTGTCCTTGTGCCCTCTCTGTGCACTCGTGCACGCGCGCACCCCCACAGGGCTCTCAGAGCAGAGCTGGCGGCAATGGGCCCACCTGCCCCACGAGGTCTGAGGTCTGTCACCCAACAGCCGGTGACAGTCCCCCAAAGACTGGGGGAGGGGCTCACTTGCAGGGCATTATGGGAAACAAGGCAGAAAGCCAAAGATGTGAGGCGCGAAAAGTATTACACTTCATAAAACCCATGTTTATTTAAAAAAAACCTATTCAGAAAGTCTGGAAAGCGTAATAAATATCTGTACAGGGGCCGCCCGTCTCGAACACAAATCGAAAGCGCGAGCAGGAAAAGGGCCCATGAACGGAAGCGGCTTGTAAACAAAGTGCAAGGCCGGGATGCGGGAGAAAGCGGCTCCGGACCCGCCTCCACCCACGAGTTCTCGTCCCTTCCCACGGGGTCCCCTGAGTTCGGGAGGCCTCCCCGCTCAGGCGCTGCTCCCACTAGTCTTCTCATCTTCTCACTCTCGGAGGTGGGGGCTACGAGCACGTGGGAACAAAGGCGGTGCGATCCGTCCCGGGTGCTGCAGGGGCCCAGGAAGGACCGGGGCGTCCTCACACGGCCTCGGGGACGCCGTTTAGAGAACAACGCTGGGAGCTGACATGGAGAACCCTCACCACCTGGAAAGCGAACAGCCTTCCGAACATCGACAGGCGGGAAGCCAGTACACAGCCACACTGCAGGACAGAAGGGACGCCTGGCACTTGCCCAGTCTGCCTTGGGGGTGGCTTCTGTGAAGCCCCTCACACCAATGCAGTGAGCCAGGTTCTCTCAAACTGGGAGTCACGGGGGCAGGGTGACACCCTAGAGGTGCTGCGAATGGTCTGTTTTGTGGTGGGCCAGAGGCCTGAGGCCCACGGCTTGCTTTTCTTTGAACGAATCCTATGCTTTCCTGACCCAGGGCTGTGAATGGAGGCTGTGACTTCCTGTCACCTGAACGAGTCCTATGGTGCCATTCACCGAGGTAGGGGAGCTGGCCCAGGCATGGTGAAGACACCCATCGCCCCGTCATTCCCCCTGATGGAGTGGCTGCTGGATCCCCCAGGTGCCTTCGGGCAGGCGGGCTTCCCACTGGTACCTCGGTTCTCTAGGCTGCCTTTCTCACCTCGCCCGGCATGAAGGTGGGGACACAGTGTTTCACAGACTCAGCAGGGCAGGGCGGCATGGGGTGAGGTCGCGGGCCCGCCAGGCCTCAGGATCACAGGCGGGGTGGGGAGCGAGCAATCTGCCGGGTCCGGCTGTGCAGGCCGCCCCCAGTAGGAGCTCGCATGTCGGCCACACTCGCTACACAGCAGAGACGGATGGGGGTGGGCCATCACAGTAGGGATGACAGTGTGGACACACCTGGTGTCCCGCCACCCTCTCCGGACTCTGGGTCCTTCCATCAGAGTTCAGGGATAAGCCTCGTGCAGACAGGCCAGGCTGAGGGCCCCGGTGGGGAGCTGGGGACCCAGCGGCACCGAGACAGAAAGGCTCCGGCCGCCTCCAGGCAGGGAGACCCTGGGGCCTGTGGGCACTCCAGCTGTCCCTGTTCCAATGTGTGACGTCACCGGACCTGAGCAAGACCACTGGGGGCAGATGTCATTGGCACCTTGGGAAGCATTTTCCACTGAGAAAATGGGAAATGCCTAACAGGGCTTTGCGGGAACACAGGGGCAGGAATGTGTCCCCGCCTTCCATGTCCTGTGCGCTGTGACAAAAAATGCTGTGTGCACTAACTCAGCTCCTGTTCTGAGGTCTGAGAGCCCGGGACCAAGCTAAGAAGTCCTTTCCAGAAGGTGGCATGGGCATCTGTGTGTGAGGATGCGCAGAGGCCAAGGGGCAAGAGAAGCAACGAAACACTGTCTTTGTAGTGGGAGCCCAGCTGTGCCAACCAGGTGCTCCCGCAGCCCCACCCGAGCTCAGAGGGACAGATGGACGGGTGGCGGTGGTGGTTGGGTTTAGCAGCAACGCTCGCCTGGCTGGCAGCAGCACACCGGGCCTGTGCGTGCACCCAGCGACAAGCTGACGGTCACGGAACGCTGGTAAAGGCGGGTCCATTCGACAGAAACATGACAGCACAGCAGAGCTTCCACAAGCTGCGCCACCTCTCTGCTGCCAAAGCTTCCAGCTCCCCACTGGTTCCTTCTGTCCCCGTGGGGAGACACTGGGCACTGAGCTCGGGGTCCTGATGGGCACAGGCCTCCACAGACAGTGAGTGGAGTGAGGCGAGCAAACCCACTGCCACAGGGAAGCAGGCCCGGAGGCCGGCCCTCACCCAGCAGAGGCCTGGCGCCAGGGGCAGCGAGACAAAGGCTCCTTGGGTGGTCTTCAGGGGACAGGGCTCTGCTCTGGTGCCCTGTGCCCGCTCTGACGTCCTTCAGCTGCGGGCCCTCCCGGGACCTCGAAGCCTCCTGTGTACAACTAGGACCTCGTGTTGCATTTCCGACCAGGTGACTGGCTTTCTCTTTGGAAAAACATCTGTCCACACGAACGGGAGCCATGACGGTAAACAGAGCCGGCAGGAGCCCAGGTGTTTGGCATGGTGGCCGCGGTGCCCAGAACCTGTGTGGCTGGGAAGGAGGTGGAAAGGCTGGCAGAGTGAGGCAGCATTGGGAGGTCACCGTCCGGACCCTCTGGGCTGAACGAGGAAACGTGGGCCGAGCGAAAGCGCTGTGGTCGCCGCAGCGACACCCGTGATGCCAGAGCTGGGAGCGGAGGATGGCGCAGGTCCTGGCGCTACAGCCTCGTGGACGTGAGTCTCTTCATGCCTCTGCGCTGGGCCAGGCTGGACGACAGCACGGGCTCCAGCCGAGGGGCCTGCGGGGTCCTGTTGAGAGCAAAGTAGGTGGCGGCCATCGCACCCTGCAAAACAAGGGAGGGGCCGGGTGACCGCACTGCCACGGCCTCTCAGGAGTTACTCTCCCCCACGTCCGGGGGTGGGGGTCAGGCCCCTGCAGCCACGAGAGTGGTGAGCCCAGAGCCTTATCACTGTGCCCAGCACCCCTGCCAGCCTTGACCTGTGCCTGGGGCCAAGTCAGGCACCCCCACTTCTGGCTGGGCCTGCTGGGTCTGCACACACACACTTGTCCCCGGCAAGGGCCTGGCCACCGCCACTTGGCCACGTTCGAGGAGCTGGACTGACTTGGGAAAATGGGGCAAGTCCGAATCCTCAGGGTGGACCGCTCCTAACTGGGGAGCTCCAAGCCCCCCAGGCTGGGTCCACCCCCACTTCTCTGAGGAGGGCTCCATCCCCCACCCCCACCCCACCCTGTGAGGCTGCTGCTCTGATGGAGGTCCCTGCAGAGTGGCACCTTGGTGTGCTTTGTGCCCCGTTTCTGAGTGTAGGGGCACAGGGTCTCACAAACTGCAGAGAGGAGGGGCCCCCAGCAGGCCCCACAGCAGAGCAGAGAAGGCGGTGCCTCTCCCAGGCTGTGCGGGGGTGGGGGGCTCAGCCTGGGAAGCGGCCTCGTGAGCTCCTCTGGTGGGCGACCTGCACAGCTGGACCCGGGAGACTGCACCCCACCCCCGCCCGTGACCCTGAGGCCTGGCAGGCTTGGGGCTTTGGTCCGTCTCCAGGCACAGAGCCCAGGGCGGCCGCCTAGCCGGGGCCTGTGCTGCAGTGTGGGCTCCAGTCCTGCGTGTCCGTCCCCCCGTCTGGTGTGCACAAGCAGGTGCCAGCGAGTCGTGATGGAGGGGACCAGGAGCCACTGCCTTGCTACGTTCGTTCAAGGACACAGGACTTCGGGGACTCAGAAATCACAGGTGCACCACCAGGTCAGGAGAACCAAGCCTGGGGTGGTCGGGCGGCAAGTCTCCCACAGCACGTGAATGGACTGAGCAGCCGCCTGTGGGCGGAAAGCCGGAAGTTCCTGGGGATGAGATGCTCCCGCTGAGGGCAGGGGTGAGCGTGGGGTGGGGTGGGGTGGGGCAGGGCGGGGGTGGGCAGGAAGCCAGCGGGACCCTCGCCACGCCTGGTCCAGGGTTACCAGCTGTGTGGGTGGAGTCTCACAGGAACCCGGCCGCACCCAACCGGGACCTGCTGCCCGGGGGTGTCTCTGTGCCCCAGTGGCTGAGCCGAGTCCTCGAGACGAGGGCATTCAGCTCAGAAAGCTTCAGACATTTCCTGTCTTCACTGTCGGGGACGCTGGCCGAGCTCTGGTCCAGAACGGAGGAACGGGGTACTGGGAGCCGCGCAGCCCCGAGACCCTCCCTCCGCCTGCCCCTGGCTCCTCGCGGACAGTGTCTGCCTGTGTCTTCCTTTGTCTGCGTCCCTGTCAGGCTCATGCACGGGAGCTGTGGCCACGTTCACAGGTGCTGTGACCCACTCAGAGAGCTGTGTGTGCCTGCGCGTGCGTGATGAGACACGGGAGTCTGCCCGTGCGCCGGGGACCCCTTCCTGCACACTGGTTCCTGGGTTAGCGGGGAGGCCTCACAGGCCTCGTCGGGGCCCCGCCCCCACCGCTCTGCTCCCCTGGCCAGTACCTTCACCAGGTGGACGTCCTGCCTGCTGAGCTGGTTTTGGGACAGGTACTCTCGGTTCACGATCCACGGGTGTTTCAGGACCTGGACGGCCGTCAGGCGCTGCTGAGGGTCCACGTGGAGCATTTTGGAGACCACGTCCTGTGGGGAGGTCAGAGCAGGAGAGGAAGGGGGTGGTCTGGGCTGTTTCCTGAGCCCCTGAGCAAATTCCCTTCTCCCTCAACCGCTGTTCTTCCGTGAGTCTATGCGTTTTGGGGTCAAGTGCTTATTTTCAAGTTTATAAGCTTGTGGCTGGTTGTTATGTTTCAACCCTGAAAGGTTTACATTGTGTTAATGATGTTATGTCTAAAGAGAAACCACGTGTGCAGACGGTAAATGGTACATGCGAGCTACTGAAATACCACTTCCTGGAGATGACGTCCCCCCAGAGGGAGAAGCTGGACCAGTGAATGCCCCACGGACAGTGAGCCAGTTCCCAACAACGTATACAGCCACATCCTCTCAAGGATCACCCACTGACAGCCGCTACCAACAGTCACCAACCACGGGACCGACAATCTGTCACCGTCCCGGACGTGCCGCAGGCCCTGTCTGATGGACGGCGTTTGATATTCGCTGGTAGAGTAACAATAACAACTTCTAACACTGGTCTTGAACGCAGAGCCCACATTCCACATCCTTGTTGCACTACGTGTGCGCACAGCCACACGCGCACAGGCACACGCACAGTCGCAGCTGTGATTCGCATTCACGCAGCACTCAGCCCCTGTCCTCGTGAGTCGTCAGGATCGTCCTGGGAGGTGGGGGTGGGGAGAGGGTCACCGTCACTGTCCCTTGTAGGGAACTGCTTCTCAAGACGAGGAAATGTAGCTCAGCACCCACAGGGAAAACCAGTGGGGAGCAAGTTGGCACGCAGGACCACGCCCGTGAGGTTCTCCCGTGGGAAACGAGACCTGCCTTATAACTATGTTGCTTTGTGACTTGCTCTTGCTAAAACTCTCTCACCCTGAGTTCAGACACAAGCCCTTGCTGCATATCTTTAAGGTAACTTCCTGAAGTCTGCGCTAATTCTCCGGAGGACTGAAGTGTAAACAGACCCGTTACTCTTACTGTTCTCTTGCATTTGCAACATTATTCCTTGTTAATCTGTAAGAAATAATCAGTAACATCCCTTCTGTTGCTATCTGTAAAAAGTAATTACCTAAAGCAAACCTAAGTATAATGAATGAAAACTGTCTTTGATGCATGCTATTAGAAAGCCAATAAAAGCCTTTCAAGGCAAGGGTCGGGGCGCTCTCCCCTTGAGAGAGTAGCTGTGCCGTCCCTTTCCCTCCACGGGACTCGGTAGTCTGTGTGAATTTGTCTCATGTCTCACCCATAACGCCGTGCACACTGTGGGCCAGTGTTTCACATCAGTTCCTGTTTTGTTGATGACAGTGCTGATGTTTGTAACGATTAACCACATGCCCAGAGAGGCCCGTGACGAGCACCCAGGCCAGTATGGGAGCCTGCGCTCCGCTGAATGTGGACGTGAGATGAAGGAATCAGAGTGTGAGCAGGCCGTGGAAAGTCAGTGGAATTTCTCCACAGGATCTCTGGTCAAAAACCACACCCCTGAAGTGCTACCAAATACCCTTTTCTTCCACAGAGAAACCTGATGCCTTTTAATACCTGGTAACGTTAATCTGGGTGACTCCTGGGAACAAACGCTCTCTGGAAGTACCGTTCTCACTTCCCCCTGTGAGGCGTGGAAGCCCAGAGACCTACGCTGCCTGGCTCAAGCTCTTGTTGTGAGAAAGGCCTTCCCATGAGTGTGGAGGCAGTAAGAACATGGGAGCCGCTGGCTGAGCTGTTTCTGGAGGCCTGGAGGGCAGGCTGCTGGTGGGCGCAGCAGTGGGGGAGGCACCAGGGCCGGGGAGTGGTGCGGGCATGGCGGTGATGGGGCAGGAAGAAGTTGGCAAGGTCCTGGGGGCAGGGAAGCCTTCTGCCCTCGTGGCACACCCTGTGCCTGACTGCACTCCTGTCCCAGCACCGTCTTCTGGTCTCCATGGGACTTCAGAGACCACATCCTGGAGACTACAGCAGCCGTGCCCTGAACCAGGAGAGGTCCTGCGCTCACTGGGGACAGAGTGGGTGGGAAGGAGCAAGGGGAAGGTCAGGGTCACCTCTGCCACCACCTCCTCCGTCACCCCCCCACATCTCCTCCATCTCCTCCTCCTCCATCTCCCCATCTTCTTCACCATCACCTCTGCTGTCAGCCCCCCATCTCCCCCTGCCACCATGACGTCACATGATGACGGTGATGGCAGAGTTGGAGTCAAAGCCCCAGATGGCCCACTCTTCTCGCAGTCACTTTACGGCAACACAGGAAACGGACAGTTTGTGTTCTGATTTACTACTTGAGGGGAGAGGAATTTGATGGTGTCAACTAAAACAGACCGCGTCAGATGACCGTAAGGACCAGGGCTGGTCACACACAGGGCAGCTGCGGAGAGGCCTGGATGTGAAGTATTGGAAGAGAATGGAGACACACCCCTGGACCGGGGCTCTGCCTGACCGGCCTGTGGTCACTCGGGGCGGTCATTTTGCAGCATCGCTAACCATGTGAGGGTTGACTCTGTGTGTCAGCTTGGTTAGGCTGTGGTACCAGGATTCGGGCAAACACTAGTCTACGAGTTTCTGTATTTCTGGAGGCATCTCTTGGACGAGACTAACGTTGAAATGGGTGGAGTCTGAGTGAAGCAGATTACCCTCCATAACGGTGGGCCTCGCCCAATCAGTGGAGGGTCTTAAGGGAAAAGAGACTGAGCCCCCCGAGGGACCGGGAACTCTGCAGGTGGTGGGTGGCCTTTGGACTGGAGCTGCGGCCTGGACTCTCCCCTGCACCTGCCGCCTGCCGTGTGGATTTGGGACTCACCAGCCTCCACAATTACAGGAGGCAGTTTTTTTCAGAATAACGGCCCCTCTCTGTCTCTCTCTGTACACGCACCCCCATCTTATTGCTTCTGACACACCAAGACTGTAGAAATGTGAAAAGCGCTGTAAAATATTTACATATCTGCATTTCTAGTTGAGCTGCTTTAAAAAAACCCACGGCGGTACCGCGTCCACACCGTTGACACCAACGGCGTCCTCCAGCGGGTCTCAGAAGCAGTGGCTGCTGCGGGCAGCCTCACCCGAGCGAGCGCCCGGGCCGCGGGCTCACCTTGGCCGCGTCGGAGACGGAGTCCCAGTTCCCCCCGGAAAGGGCGTACTTCCCACTGCTGATCCGTGCCAGGATCTCCTCGGGGGTGTCGTCTGGGCCGTTTGCAAAGGGGGTGAACCTATGTGAGGAGAGGATTTATGGAAATGAGCTTCCATTTTAAATCTCAGATAAAGCTCACAACAGAATGCAGCCGCTCGGCTGTTACAAATGGCTTTTTCCTCCCCCTTATGCTCCAGATCCAGGATTCATGGTAACGCACAACTCATTCTCAATGCTATGTCTGTTTTCCTTACATGGTCAAGGCTAGGGGTCAACAGGGCAAGTGACAAAGGCCCCGTGAGTCCAAGAAGCTTTTCTGCACTGCTCCTGGCTTCCCTGGTGACAGTGTGTTGGAGTGGTTTGCCTAGTGACTCAGTTTCCATGGTGACGGCATAATATGATGGATGCGAGCCTGAGACTCAAAGTCTGAGGGCCCCCGGGTGATCTGTTACCAACTGCAGGTTCTCTGACAAACTGGTTTTTGAGCTTCGGTTGCAAAATGGGTGGAAACACGTGCTCCCAGGGACCTGAGCAGTGACAGGCACGGGCACTGAGGAGGTGCGTGCGGGGTGTTTATTCTGCCGCCCCCGAGTGTGACCCAGGGCGCGCGGGTACACGCCTCCCTAGCTTGGAGTTCCGTGTGGTTCTAACGGCAAGGCTGTGACCCCGGTTTCGTGAACAGGCACCCTGAGTGTCGGAACAGCCACGGGTGACACGGCCGTGCGACGTCAGGACCTCGGGGCTGCTTCCCTTTCACCGTCGGCACTGACCACCGACTGGTTACGAAACACTCATTAAGGCCACAGAAAGCCCAGGCCGTTCCCGCCCAGTCTCCCGAGGGCACGAGGTCCATGCTGCCTCAGGAGACAGCGCTGGGCGACAGCTCCCCCTTAGGCACTGGACGGACTGGGGAGACGTCAGGAACCAGGGTTCGTCGAGTTCTCGACCCTCACGGTGGGAAGGGGCCTCAGCCCTCACTCGTGCGTCCCCTCAGTCACAGGGAGGGCAGCGAGGCCAGTGGGGTCAGGGTCAGCCCGGGGGCAGAGCTTGCGATGAAGGTATGACCGCTTCCCCCACTGCCAGGGCCTCGTCACAGGAAACTGGCCCGCGCACACCTGAAGGCCACATCACCTGAGTGACTGGTTCTTCAAGACACTGTCTGACCATGACCTTTTATGGGTGCGACTTGGCTCAAGAGGATGATTTTAAGGAGCAGACGTCTGGGCCTTTTCAGGGAGTGGCCCGGTGTAGTGGTGAGGGTGTGGCCTTGAGCCAGAGGCCCGGGTGCTCTGTGGGTGGGCTGAAATCGCCAGCCCCCGCTCCCTAGTTCTGCAGATGCCCTCGAGAAAACACCGGGCCAAGTTCCCTGTCCTGTTCTCCAGGTGTCCTGAAAGGGGCGGGGAAGTCTGCAGGTGTGCCCATGCCCAGGCCCTGGGGACAAGTGGCCCGCCCTGTTGGGGCAGCTCAGGTGCGGAGGCCCCGGGGGAGGGTCTGCATTACCCCGCCAGCATGGTGTACAGCAGGACGCCCAGACTCCAGATGTCGCACGCCGCGTCATAGCCTTGCCGCTTCAGCACCTGCAGCGGGAGACGGGCGGCGAGTGAGCATCCGGCCAAGGAAATTCAAGGTCACAGCATGTCATTCTGATTGGACGATGGTCCAGGCAGGGTGGGGATAGGCCGGGTAGGACCCCTGAAGACCAGGCCTTGGGAGCCAGAGCTGCTGGGTACAGGACAGACAGACTGAGAAGGAAGCTGTTCGTTTTTAGGGCAGAAGAATTTTTTATTATGGAAAAGTAGACAGAACGTAAAATTGACTATCATAATCATTTAGAAAATTTATTGATTACAGAGAGAGCAGAGAGAGAGGGAGAAGGTTGCAGGGGGAGAGACATGGAATTGTTGTTCCACTTGTTCTGCACCCATTGGCTGGTTCTTGTCTGTGCCTGACTGGGATCAAACCCTCAACCCTGGTGTGTCAGGACAATGCTCTGACCCACTGCGTACCTGACCAAGGTTAACCATTTCTAAGCATGGCGTTCAGCACCACCACTGTCTCCCGAGCTTCTTCATCTTCCCAAACTGACACTCTGTCCCCACTGGACACCCCCGTGCCCTCCTCCTGCCCGGCCCCTGGTCCCCCACCCACCCCTCTGCCCGTGCGAGCCTGGCCTCCCAGGCCTCGGACGGCACTGTGGCTTATTTCACTTCAGCCCTTGTCTTCCAGGCTCACGTGCTGCAGCTCGGGGCAGCCCACCCTCCTTTCTGAGGCTGAGTGATACAGGAGAAACCACACTTCGCTCATCCCGTCGGCCGCTAACGCACACATGGGTGGCTTCCGCCTCCTGGCCACTGGGAGTGATGCCGCCGTGAACACGGCGGACGGGCACCAGATAAAGTCCAAGTAAGCTGCGTGTGAGCAACGTCAGAGGCTGACCCCTTCCTGACGCATTTCTGTTCAAGGTGACTGCCGGCCTGAACCCAGCTTCCGCCAGGCGCAGTCTCTCGCGGGCTCAGAGCGCTTCTTACCTCCGGGGCGACAAAGTTGGCCGTGTAGCAGGGTGTCATCAGCAGCCCGTTCTCCGCACGCAGCTGCTTGGCGAACCCAAAGTCGCAGATCCGGATGGATTCAGGGTTCCCAGACTCATCCACATACAGTATGTTACTGGGCTTCAGGTCTCGGTGGACAACCTGGAAAGGCAGGAGGGGTCTGCCTGACTGGGGGCTCGGACAGGGTGGGGGAGAGTGGGTGATCCGACAGGGGAGGGGCCAGGACTGGTGGACAGAAGTAACGGTGAGCTCAGGCAGCAGGAGCAGAACGACCTGGAACAGTGAGCATTTGCCTCGGGCCCACTGGGCCGCAGGGCCAGGTGTCGGTGCACCTGTGAGGGACACGGTGCTGAGGTGAGGCGCACAGAAGCCCTGGAGCAGGGCCTGCGCTCTGAGCAGAGGGACCAGCCGCGACAGCTGTGCCGGAGGCGGGGCAGCCACACCTCAAAGCCAAGCGGCTGTGTAGGGCACAGGTCTCCTGAAAGGGACCGAGACCGACTGCAGGGACACGAGTGGGGATAGCTCGGGACTGAGCGTCTCATCGCCCTGTGAAAACCCAGGGAGAGCACACAGGAGGGGAGTTAAAGGGACCCACACAGGCCGGCGTGAATCACAGTGACCCCAGAAATGGGGATGAGAGACCGCGTGTCCAGTTCCAGGTCCTGCTCCGGTCAACCACAGCCAACCTGCAAAATCCACCAGGCCAGGCTGCTGACTACTCCCAGACCATGGTGACCACCCAGGAGGACCCACTGTGGGTCCTGGAAGAACCCCTCCTGCTCAGACAGGACTGACCACACACACCTGGCTGGTCAAGGAAGCACGCCTACCTCTAGAGATGTGCCCAGAATCCGGAGACTGGGGGCAGGTGAAGAGGAGGGGACCAAGCCCCGGGGAGGCCGCATCTGGGACTGAGAGTGTGCGGTGGGGGCAGTGTCTGGGGGAACCGCTGACACTCACTCGTGTGTGGCTGAGGGCAAAAGTTCAAGCTGTCCATGCTCTGGTGACAATCTGTGAAGCAGGGCCACCAGAGCTTAGGACTTCTCGGGGATGGGGGCTGTGGAGCTGAGAGCAGCGCCTGGACCATGGTGGGGGCTGTGAGAACCTCAGCATTGCTCCCACTTTACATAAAATGATTTTATTTATTTATTCCTAGGGAGAGGGGAAAGGATGGGAGGGAGAGGGAGAGAAACATCAGTGTGTGGTTGCCTCTCGCACATGGGCCAACTGGGGACCGAACCCACACGCCAGGCATGTGCCCTGACTGGGAGTCAGGTGTGCTGTGGTCACTGTTATCTACAGTGTCACTTTGCATTGGTTAAAAAAATTCAAGTTTAAATGGAGCGAGTGAGGAAAATCCTGACGTTTCCCTTCAATGAGCCCACACTTTTGCCATAAATGATCCGGGTGGACTCACTTTCCTCCCTGACCTCCAGATGCCCAGCGTGCACCGGTGACGTCAGACACGGAGGGGCTGGGAGGCGGACGGAGGCCGCAGACACCCTGGGCACGCGCCCGCCCCGCCCCCGCCCGGCAGGCTCACCCCCTGCGAGTGCAGATAGTCCATGGTCTTGCTGATGGTGCACAGCACGTCGCTGGCTTCCCGCTCCGAGAAGCACCTCTGCCGCAGGATGCGGTCCAGCAGCTCCCCGCCGCGCATCAGCTCCGTCACCAGGTACACGAACTTCCCGTCGTCGTAGACCTGGGGGCCGGAGGAGGCGCGCATGCGTGTGCGTCGGTGCTGTGCAGGCGCCTGCGCCTCTGGGCCTCGTGGCCCCGGGGGAGAGGAGCAGCGGCAGAGGGCGCCGTCCCAGGAAGTGAAAGATTTGTGCGCAGCAGTCATGCGCAACTGGCCAGTTCAGTCCCAGCAGACATGGCTCTTGGGACAAAACCAGTGTCCACACCCGCAGCTGGTCAGGGACTTGGACATTGAGGCTGGGAGCTCACAGATGCCCGGCTGAGGTTCCGGCTGAAAGGAGCCCTGGCCCTGCCCACGGCCAGTGGCAGACACGTGGAGAGGACACTGGACGTTTGCACAGCCCCTAGGGCAGCTCGGTGCAGACTCAGTGCACCTAGCCCCCGCGGGCGCTCCCGCCAGCAGGTCCTGACCCTGCAGGTGGGGTGGGGGTGGGGGGCTGGCCCTGTGTTTCTGACACTCCAGGGGCCCTCTCTGGCTCTGAGAAGACTAAGAGCAGACAGACCCCGTGGCCCAGATAGGCCGGCGGTGGAACCAGGGCTGATGGAGCATGTGGGGCAGAGCTCGTCTTTCAGCAAAGCGAGACAAGGAGGCTTCCGTTGCACTAGCTGTAACGCTCCGGCTGTCCCTATGTCACACTGTGTGCGCCACAGGCACGAAGCATGGGACTGGCACTGTGGAGACCCTGGTGGAAATGGAGTAAAACTCCAAAACACCATTCTGCTTTAGCTTCCAGACCAATGAGTTTCCAGACCAGTGGGTGGAGAGGAAGGAACTCTGCTCTGGACTCTGACACCCCAGCCCGGGGGCCCTTTATGGATTGCTGGGGACACCCCAACCCCACCCCCAGGGGCTTGAATGTGGCTGGTTCCTGCCACGCTTGTCCCCAGAGGAGGGGCCGCTAATCACCCCCAGGGAAAAGAAAGGGGGTGAGCTCCCACCTGGCTGCCACACCCTCCCGTTCGTCACATTAGGAACGACAGTGGGAAGCACACATCCGGGCTGGAATCCACACAGCCATCTTTCCCCCTTTCAGGTTCTGTGACTTGGGGACTGGGGGTGGGGGACGTAAGCGATCGGCAGGTCTGGCCAAGCCTGGAAGGGCGTGGCAGATGCTGGCCTGGGTACCAGCCCCGAGGAAAGCCAGCCTGCTGGAGGCTGCGGGGAGACCACTCACGTCCTTGAGGGTGATGACGTTCGGGTGCTGGCCGTACCGCAGCAGGATCTCTATCTCCTCCGAGGGGTCTCTCTTACTCTTATCGATGATCTGAAACAGAGTGCCACTGGGCGTAAGACCCTCAGATGACTGTGGCCTGGGTCCCACCCGCCCCTCCTCCCGCCAGCTCACCCTTCCCGAGGTAACTCACAACGGCCTAGAAATTCCGACACCCGTCCCTCCCAGCTGGCACAGAGCAACATTTACAGAAGGACACCCGTTGTGAGGCCTTCCAGGGTTGGCTGCAGAGGGCAGGCTGTGGGAGCCGGCCAGGACGACAGGATCTGGGGGGCGGGGGGCTGTGCACTTTGCTGCGTCCAAAGTGAGCCTGTAGCTGCTGTGTCTCTGGCTACACACCGGCCGCAAGAGGCAATCAAGTGCATGGTTCTCACCAAGAGCCCGCCCAGGGGCAGGCGCCTGCGGGATCCCTCTGTGGCTGAGGCCTGCGCACTCTCATGCTTCTTTCCGAGCCCCCACCCCGCCTCCACCCCTACTGCTTTGCCCCGTCGGAGGGCAGGCATGGCCCTGACACCCTGTGCGGGCAGATGGCCCCAGGGGAGATGAGCCGCCTTGGAGCAGGGAGCCCTCTGTGGGCGTTCTGGGGGGCGGGGGATGGGCCCCTCCGTGGGACAGCTACTCTCAGCGTGGGAGAGCTGTCGGGCTGTTCTCCTCGTCAGCCCCCCTCCCCCGACTTAGAAGTATTCTTGAGGTTTGGGGGACCGGCGATCTCTCCACCCAGAGCATGGGGGAGGCCTGCTCTCTCCATCGTGTCAAAGACTCCAAGTGACTCCGCATAAAGCTCCGTCTGTCTCTCTAGGTGAGCGAAGCGCTGGTAGCACCTGCCCCACAGTGAGGGCTGCGCCCCGTCACCTGTCCTCCCGGCCCAGTACTGATACGAGGAACCCCAGGGGGACAGCTCTTCTCTCCCACCTCACTCACTGCCCACTGCCAAGCTCCAGGGGTGTCAGCACCCAGGACTGGCGGCACGTCACCCATGACAGACAGGAGACACACCGCCGTTCTCCTCTTGCTGCATTTCCTCCCACTGAGGTCCCAGCTGGGACCCCAGGACCGTTATTGAAACCAGCCAGCAGGTGGCGCATCGCTCTCACAGCCTCGCATCTCCTTGGGCTCGCCCAGTGGGGGAGGGGCTCCTTAAGGTCCAGCACACCTGCGGCTGGAAGGCTGGGCTTCTGCAGGTCCACAGGCTGGCAGAGGGGGGGCCTAGGATGGCCTCTGCCCCGGCTCCCTGCCGGGCCATCCAGCCTTCCTGGGCCGGGATCTTCTCTTTGACACTTGAGGTTAAAAATACAGGGTCTGGCCCTGGCTGAGCTCAGTGAATTGAGGCAGGCAAGGGGGGATGTTCCTCCTTCTCTTCTCTCTAGTAATAAATTTTTAAAAATACAGGGTCTGGCACAAACACCACCCCCTCTTTATCACAAAATCATGACTGTGTCATTCTGTAACATAACAGTGTCGCACTCAAGACACCGTATGGCATTTTAGGTAAACTGTTCACATTAAAACTAGAAATTATTCTGCCCCAGTTATTACCCTACCAACCACACTCAAGCAGGCCTTACTTCTGCTGGACCCTATCAGTAAACTTTAAAAAATTAGATTTTCTTCTAGTAAAATTTCGTGATGAAAGAAATGTTTCCTTAGCATAACCTGTTGCGTCACCCTCAGAGTGGAGAGACAAGAAAGAGGAAGCACTTTCCCCACGGCCTGGGGCCGGGGGCAGTTAGACCGAGGAGTGTCTGCAGGGAGCGGCCCCACGGGCGCCGGGCCCCACCCCCTCCTGCCCTCTCCTCTCGCTCTGCAGACCTGACCTGAAGCCAGAGGGCAAGGCAGGGAGGGCGCCACGATGGGGTCCCCCCATACGGGGGGGGAGTGGCTCTGCAGCGCCGTGACAGCGTCCTGAAAGGGAAGTCCCCACGGAACCCCAGCCCCGCCCCCGGCCACCACCTGTCCCATTGCCTGCTGGCCTGCACTGACGCAGGTCGGACACACAGACTCGGGTCGGACACATGGATGCATGTGCTGTTCAGGCCTTGCATTCTGTGAGCGGTGCTGACTGCTTTCCTGCACAAACCTTTTCCGTGTTTTTGCTTCCTTGTGTGTTCTTCCTGGAGGGTGCAAGAGGAATCCCAGCTGAGACGCCCTGCGGGGAGGTGCGTTCGCTGGTCCCCAGGCACGAAGCAGCCATCTGTGCAGGCCTGTTGTTCAGACACGCAGGGGAAGAGTCTGTCCTCTGTGGGGTCGGCTCCTTGGGGTCGTTGGTGCTCCACCTGCTTCGAGGTCAAGCCCCCGCTGACCGTGTTCCTCAGGTTGAGAATCGCGCTGTTCCGAAGCCCCTCTGATGCGGTGGAGGGAGTACTTCTCCCTCAGCGAGTTCCGAGCAAGGCCCCCTCTGCCTCTCTGTGCCCCGACAGTAACAATGATGGCCACCGGGAAGGAGCTGGAGGACCTGTCCCTCCGTCACTCTCATCTGGCAATGGCCACAGGGGGCGGGCACTGCCCGGCACTCTGCCCCGCCCTGCGGGTAAACAGCCTTTTCTCCGGCCGGCCCTAAGAACAAGCACTGAGGGTCTTGGTGATGCGCAGCTGTGACCCCCACGAAGTGAGCCCGGCCTCGCCAGTAGACGGCTGACACCAACGGCTGTCCTGGGAGGTGACTCACGGGCCCACGTCACACACCTGTACTCCTGGTGGCTGACGAAGGGGACATTCTCGGGCCAGGCTTCACCACGATCACACGCCTTTTCCTCTTCCCTCCGGCGCCGCGTTTCTCTGTCTCCCTCCGCGCCCTCCCCTCCCCGGGCACGCTCTGTGTGGCACAGCACAGCGGGGTGGGGCTCTGCTGTGGGGCCCGATGGAGCCGTGGGCGCGCGCCCTGCCCTGTGAAACGCCCTCCCCCCGCAGGCACGGACATTTCCCCTGACCCGTCACAAGGACCCGTCTCTCACTTGCGACGAGGCTGGTGGAGCGTGCTCTCACTCGCAGAGTGTCACGGACACCCTCCCTGCACAACTGACTTAAACAAACACACGGAAACAACGCCAAGGTCTCCTGCCAGAATAGACGAAAACTTCCACACCGATCAGTTTTCCCTCTAAAAATAAGCTCCGTCCGCGTGGAGCAGCCGTCTGAGCCGCACTGCTTCTGCGGGTGACAAACTGCACGCACGGCGTGGAGACGAGCACAGAAACACGAATGTCCTTCTGGATGGTCTGTGGCGGGCGCAAGTCGGGGCCTTGTCAGGAGAGACTCCGACCAGGGCTGGGTGCTGGCACTGTGTCTGGCACAGAAAAGGGCCCGTGAGGGGCTGCAGGGAGGAGTGGGAGCCGCCCCGGCTGCAGAAGGGGATTCGGCCCAGACAGGAAGGGCTGATGGCAAAGACGGCCAGAGGAAGGGGCGGAGGGACTGGGACTGCGTGGGACAGCTCCTGACCGAGGTTTCTCTGTAAGTAACAGGTACCCCTGACCCCACCAGCACTGGGACGGGGTGGGAACAGGACTGAGCTAAGGAGCACATCAGGGGTAGTAGGTGCCTGGGGGAAGTGTCGCAGGCTGGGGAGGACACAAGGGGGGGGGTCCCCGGAAAGCAGGGACCCAAGGAGCTGAGGCACTGGCACCAGGTCTCAGGGACAGTTCCAGACACAAGGAGGGCGAGCCCGGGTGTCCTGGGATCAGCCTGTGAGAGCCGCCAGGTCCCAGACCTGCTCTGAGGCTATGTGTGTTCTTCGTGGAGCTGCAGCTGCCCTGTCCCTCTCCAGAGGCCCTGCCCTGGGCCCAGGGCCACAGGGTCATGGCGAGGGCTGCCCTGCCCTGCACAGAGCCAGGGGAGTTCTGGGCTCTGGGTCCAGGACCGCCCTGAGGGCCCCACCCTGCTCCCTGCTCTCAGCCACAGTCCACCTCCGCCTCGGCACCACTGATCTTTGGGGCTGCACAAGTCCACGGGGAACAGTGGGGGGGCGGTCCCAGGCAGGACAGCGAGCAGAGTCCTGGGAGATGCCAAGAGTGACGCCCACCCTAGCTGTGAGTGACCGGGCTGCCTCTGGACATGGCCTGAGCCCCGGGGGAAACTGCCCGACTGACCAGGACCACCCTGCGGGAAACTATGCCTCGTAGCCATGGCCCTGGAGTCCAGTCAGATTCCACGTTCTCCGCCCTGCTGGCTACTCGGCCGGGACGTTTCAGAGGCGCCCACACAGCGAGAGGAGGAGGACACCCCTCCATCCAGGAACCTGGTTGCTGGGCTCACAGATGGTCGGGCAGTGGCCACGTAGCTGGAGCTCACTTGTAGTGACCCAGTGTGACATCCCGCTCACAGGCCAGGACCAGGGGCCACAGTCCTGCTTCTGTGCAGTAGGAACCGCCCTGCCCTCTTCTGCCTCTTAGACCCCAGGGGCAGGTGCGGAGCAGCTTGGAGGGCGAACGGGCCTGCCCTGAGCGCTGAGCACTGTGCCACGTGGGGGCCTTTCTATCCTGAAGCAGGTCAGACCTGGCTGTTGCCTCGGAAAACCAGCCACCCGTGGCCGTAGCCGCACTGTGACGTGCTGAGGGCCCTGGGTCATGGGGAGACCCAGCTCCTTCCAGTGCTCGGTCGTCGATTCAGGCATCTTCCAGACCATAAAGCACGGCCCACCTTGTCCCGGAGAGGACAGGAGTCCCGGTGTGTTCCGCCCGCTCAGGCATCTGGGGACTTCAGGAGGTCAACCCGAGGGGTCATCGCAGTCATTTCCCAGAAATTTCCATCAGGGCCTGGCCTCCACCTGCTCCTTGGGGACCCCGGATGGCCACTTGACGAAGCTGAACCCAGACTGTGCCTTTATGGTCACGGGATGTGGATGCCCGAGGGGAGTCACAGCCCCGCCTTTGTCAGAGGGGGCCCCCTCTAGAGGCCCAGCAGGGGCTGGCCCTGTTGCCTGCCACTCCGGCGAAGGGTGTCTCGGCCGAGGGGCGGGCCCAACAGCACACCTGGTCCTTTGCACTCCCTGGAGGCAGCGGTGGTTTCTGCTGGTCGCTGGTGAAGGAGAGGGGTTCTGTGAGAAACGACGCCAGTGGTAGGCAGTTCTCTGGAGCCCGAGTGAGACTAGTGATGCTGGTGCAAGGCGCACGCCAGAGTGGGCGGGGCCTTCATCTGGGGCGGGGCCAGCCAGCCCTCCCCACTTCCTGACAGGCCGGGATGTCCTTCCGGGATTCAAGTAAAGTCCGTGCTGCCGTTTCTCCCTCCAACGCCCCTCAATGCGCTGAAGACACCAGCCAGGCCGGAGACGGGGCTGTGTCAGTGGAACTCACGAACTGATTATTGTTCCTGTGTTTAAATGCGCTTGTTTAGGTTCGAGGAATTCAAGATACATTTGTTGAAAACCCATGAATCCCTGACCCAAGCTGAATGGAGGGGTCTGGGTTTTCCGGGGTGACATCTGCCAGGGCCAAGTGCTCTGTCAGTGCCAGAGACTCTGGGCAGGCGTCCCAGGAGACACACATGCCATTCTTGGCATGTCCACACCCTTCTGGAAAAGCCTGTTTCCACGAATGGGAGCAGAGCACAGGTGAACTGAGGTGGGACGGAGTCACTGTTTGGAACGAGTGTTTCGGAGCCCAGGACGATCACGGTGGCTGGAACTGCTCCGTCCATGCTGCTGCCCGCTGGGCAGGCCCCATCTTTCCCCAAATGTCCTCTGAAGGCCACGGGCGGTGCCACACGCCACACTTTTGGGATAAGCCAGATGGCAACCCCAGACTGGACCTGGCTCCTCAGGAGTCGGGTTCAGGCAGCTCGGCTGGTTAGAGCGTCTGGCTGAAGCACCGTCCCAATGCACCAAGGCTGCGGGTTCGCTCCCCAGGCAGGGCCCAGACGAGGGTCCACCAGTGAGCGCACGAATGAGTGGAACAACAAATCAGTGTCCGTCCATCTGTCTGTCTCTCGTTCCCCCCTCACTCCCTTTTTCTTTCTCTCTAAAACCAATTTAAAAAAACAGCCCAGTTCAGCTTTGTGGGAAGGTGGTGGACTCAAGTCTCTTGTACAAAGAATGTACAACTTAAGCTTTTCCATAAATTGGAATAAGATTTACAGATTTTAGCTGTAATCCACATTTCACCCACCAGAAAACGAGAAATGGAAAACCTCGCATTTCCAGACCACATATTCAATCCAGCTGTTCTCCACTACCGAGGGTGAAGCCGCCAGTCCAGCCTCTGCAGACGCTGCCAGTCTGTGCTGGTCTCTACTTCTGTGGCTTGGCTTTTGGTGACCGTGGCCACCTCCCCTCCACCCCCCTCTGTCCCTTCCTTTTTGCCAGTCGCTATGCCTGTCCCCAACTCGATTTTCCAAAACAGAGTGCCCAAGGCTGTCCCTCCCACGTGTACTGTCTCTATGGCCGTGAGTGGTCAGGACCCACATGCTGACTAGAACTGCAAACGGACCACCTGTCATGGCAAACGGAACACGGGCTGCTTGGAGTGTGGAGAGGGGAAGGGGGCGGGCACGGTGCCCGCACGGCACGGCCAGCCAGCGGCCTTACCTTCACGGCGTACTCCGCGTCGGTGGCTTTGTGCACGCACCGCTTGCACACAGAGTAGGAGCCCACCCCGATGTCTTCCTTGACCTCGTAGCCATCAGTGAAGTGCACGTTGTTCCCATGCAGCTGCTGCAGAGAGACCGGAAGTGCGCATCAGAGGGCGGGGCGACGCACATGGCGCGGGCGCAAAGGGGGTCCAATCGGTGAGCCAGGCCGTGGAGGCCGAAGGGAGCGGAGTCCTCTGACCAGCGCCGTGCAGCTGGTAGCGATGGCTCCTGACCTGAACCCCAACCTGCCCACTTGTCGGGTGGCCACCACTTTAGACGCCACAGTGCACCGTGTGGGCCGATTGGCCACATTCCCCCAGCGCTGAGTGAGGAGCTGGGCGGAGAAGGGACGGAGCCCCTGCAGAGCAGGGGGTGCGACTCTGACGCTGTACCCCACGGGGACCGGCGTCTGCAAGTCAGCACCTAACTGGAAATTCCTCCCATGACGCCCCGTCACCACCGGCTCCGCCCCACCTGCTCAGGGTCCAGACAGGAAGCCACCAAGACCGGGGCACACGGTCACACCCAAGTCCACTTCGGACACACGTGTTTTCCCAAAGGGTCATGGGGAGAGAAATACGAAATTCAGTGCCACCCATGTGCCCTGACTGACCGGGTTTTTAAATAAAATCTAATCACAACTTCTCTGCATCTGGTTTCATTTGTAAGGAAGAAAACTATAAAAACGCCACCTTCACAGAGCCCCCAAGGGCAGAGTTCAGGACAGGACAATGGCACCCACAGAGGGAGCTGCCTCCCTGGGCTCCCAGCAGGACTCTCCCCGGCAAAGACGCCCCCGTGGGCCGACTGCGGGCTCGGCCGCCTTCCTCACGCCCTCCATGACCCCTGCAGAGCGGGCGCCCGGGTTACCTGCACGATGGGGTGGACCGTGGTCTTGTGCTGGTCCTGCTGCGGGGGCTCCTGGGCCAGGTTGGAGGCCACGAAACTGAAGCCTCTGAACAGGTGGTGAGAATTGGCGCTGGGGGGCACGCCCGGTGAGTCTGCAGGGACAGGGACAAGTCAGCCCGGGGGCGGTGCTGAGGGGCTGCGGCGTGGGCACACCCTGGTGTGTGGGGTGTGTCCAGTGCGTGCGTGATGCTGTGCGTGTGACAGAGAAGGGGATAAAACAGGGTTGGACGTGGGGACCACGTGGAACCCCAGTGTTCTCAGTGGTGCCAGTGGAAATGACGGCAATGCCTGGAACAATGACCGTCTGGGAATGACCGACCGTAACTTACTGACCACGCTTGACGACAACCCTCCTCCACCTGGCCCACTGCAGGCAGAGGTGGAAAGCCACCAGGGACCCAGCGTGGAGCTGTGGGCACACGTGCCCGAGCCACGGAGCCCAGTTCTGAGACTGTGCTGCCCACGCCCAGCCTGCAGGGACTTCGCAGAGTGCACGCACGGCACTCCTGCTTTGAGGGACACTCGGCAGAGGCGCCCCATCCCCGGTGGCAGGAGCCGGAAGGGGCACCCCCCTTGGACCCTGACTTCTCCGGGCACCTCTTGAGCTGTGGGAAAGCCTGCGGCTGTGGGACTGGCCCCGGTTCGGGTAAAACCGCAGGTGAAGTGAGTGGGCAAGTCACTGCTGGGAAGGGAGGGTTTGCAGCCCCGGAGCAGCCAAGGGCGAAGCGCACTCCGCAGTCGAGAGCTCCTGGAGACCAATGAGAAGAGGGCAAAGCGCCCAGGAGGAACACGGGGGCAGACAGAAGGGCGATCGTCCCCCTGCCGAAAGGGCAGGAGTCCAGGCTCGATGTGGGGGGCGTGTGTCCATTCAACCGGGGAGACACCGGGCCTGGTGGACACGCGGAAATGAAAGTGGTCCTCACCCCATGGGCTGGGGGGCGCTCGCAGGGTGGGGCAGGCACCCTATGGGCGGGCGCAGTAGTGAAGGGTGCCTGAACGTCCAGGAGTGCACCCCACAAAACTGCCTCCAGAGTGCTCAGGGGGAGGATAAGGGTGGGGGCTGTTTGTGGTCGCCACATCCGTGACAGGAGGGAAGTGGCAACTGGGTGAACACCCGGCACCAGGGAAGTCACGGGTGTGACCAGCCACAGCGCACCACCGGGAGCGTCCCCGGTGTATGAGTGCTGGCGACTCCGATGAGTGGGATGGGGCAGTGGTGTGGACTGGGGCCCGGCTGTGCCAACCACGTCGGGTCAAGGGGAGAAAGCGAGCTTGGAACAAAGCGCCACACACATGCTCCAGAAGAGGGAACACACGGCACTGTGATACATGTTACATTGCTGTGAAGTCCCGTGTGGCAAAATAACTACAAACGTAGAAACCTATAATTACGCACACTTAAGTTTTCCTCATAATGTACCGATACGAAAAAACTCAGACGGGTGTTTCACGTGAGTCCCTGCAGAGTGGACAGGCAGGGCCACAGCAGTGCTCTGACCCCCACTTCTGGCCCCTCTACTTGGTGTGGGGCTTTCCTCGGACTCGGAAACAATGCATGACAAGGCGGGTTTAGCCCTCACGGGGGAGCAGGCACGTGCGGTACGGTGGGTGGGCTGCTGCAGGGAACCTGGGTTTTATTCCCCAGCGTGTCACTTTGGGGATGAGGGTGGCTCCTGGCAGCTGGGAACCCGAGCCATGAGCCAGTGGGCTCTCCCTGCATCTGGTGACGCCCACCCACAGCTGTTCCAGGGAGACCTCTCCCGGTGACAGGGCGCGGCAGTGGCAGTCTCTTTGTCAGCACTGTGGGCCACCAGGGGCCGACTCGGGTCTCCACCTGGACCGGTCACCTGGCACGCACCTTCCCAGTCCCCAGCAGGTACTGAGATCCGAGCGGATGGTGTTTGGGGATGAACTGCAAGGTGCCGCACTGGAGACACTCAGTGAGAGCCAGAAAGCTCGGTTCAGCGGTGTTCGAGTCACGGCTGCAAGGCCGCAGACACGCCCTCAGGAGACGTGGGTGCGGCACACGAGCTTGCTCTGCGCCCTTTTTTTCTTCTGCTGGCACAGACTTCTGGCTGTAAGGTCTAACCTGCCTTAAACCCCCCCCAGGTGCCAGGTGCTGCACCTTCTGCACCCGGACCCACCTCTCAGAGCCACCCTCCTCCGCCAGGGCTCTGGCCAGAAGAGCTCAGCCGCCTGGAGCATCGGGGCACGTGCGAAAGGCCCGGTGGACCAGGAGGTGCGCTGACCGCCCACGGGGGTGGGCGCCTGCGAGAGGGTCTGCTGCACTTTCGTCAGAGACGGGAGCTCTGTGGTCACCCGCGGCCTTCCCGGCCCGAGGCTGCCTCGCGCTGCACAGAGGAGACGCAGGCGCTGCCGAAGGCTCAGGGCCACCTGCCCGAGGCTAGATGGGCCCTTACGGGTCCCACAGCTGGCGTCTGACCCGGGTGGCCAGGTGGGACAGGAGGCAGGAACAGCACTAGAAGTGCTTTCCGGCCATCCGGGGGCGCTGTGCTGGAAAGCACAGATCTTAGAGAGGCGCAAACACGGGAGTGGATAAAAGGGACCCCACAGAACTGACCCCCGTTTCCCGAGAAAGCGTCCCTGCGGCTGGGGTGCTCTGGTGCCTGCACAGATGTCCCTCCCGGGTCAGGGGAGGGCACCCGCCACGGCCGAGAACCACAGGTTTACCCCCACTGGCGGTGGGCACACACCTGTGGGCGTCCGGGTGGTGAACTCGGGGTCGAAGTGGAAGGTGTCCTCGGGCCTGCCCACCGCGGGCTTGAAGGGCGGCTTGATCTCCTTCCTGTACAGCTTCTGCAGGGAGAGCAGCAGGTTGGGGGTGCGGGGCCCCGGGACGCGGGAGAACTCGAGGGGCGCGGGGCCTGTGGGTCATACCGAGTCCTGTCTCATCCACAACAGCGCCTCACATGCTCTGACGTATGTGTGAATATACATGGAGTTACACATCCCATTCAAATGTATGCGTCCCAGTTCACAGCATAAGGGTTTGGGGACATGCTGGGGGTTCCTCATTCTGGGGCACCGGTTCTCAACCTTTTATCAGCCAGAGACTCTGTCTTCACTCTGTGGACAGGACAGAATGTCTTGCCCTAGGTGACCGTGGGGACCCTCCCCAGGCCCTGGTGACCTTCCCCTCCTTGCAGCGGTCCCCTGGACATTGAGACTGGGTTGTTGAATAAACACCCGTCCTGCTCCCATCTCCACCACAGTGATCCCTTCCTGACATCTGTGGGGACGAGGAGAGGACAGGGGAGCACACACAGATACTACCCACTGAGCTAGGAAGGATATTTTAATGGTTTTTTCAACACTCGGTTAAAACCAAGGTGACTGCTAGCTCCAGAAGAGAAGATCCTCTATGTCCCTGTGGTGTTGACCTAATGCAAAGACGTGGAGACTGATGTCGGGAGGTCTGCCTGCCTCCCTGGGATGGGCGGCAGCCCTTCCCAGCACAGCCGCACCGTGCTGGTAAGACCAGAGACTCTCGTTTTTCCAGCTCCGAGCTCGCCACGTCACCCCCACTCGGGGCACCAGGGCCACAGGTGCCAGCCTTGAACAACCCCCCCCCCCCGTTCATTCCCCAGCAATAAGCACCGGTGTTCCACGGGACCTCAGGCCCCGGGCCCCACATCTTGGCCTGGCTCGATCTCAGCAGGTCAGTGTTGGTTTTCCCAAAGCCCTCCCTCCACATTTGGTCTCCTCCACAACCGATTAGGTTCCTCCCGCCCAGCCACAGGGGACATCGGACCCTCGCCTGCCTTCGGCAAGAATCCTGGTGGCTCTGTTCGAAAGCCATACCCCCCAACCCTGGTTTTCTACCCCCGACACCCCCTGCTCCCTGGCTGGAACCCACTTATGCCCGTGTGCTCAGAGTGGACCCCCCCCCACCATGGGGAGGCCCCAGCCATCTTCAGGCCCCGTGAAGAATCGCCTGTGGTCTTTAACAGGTGTCACAAGTAACTTCATCTTCAACAGGCCGGGCCACTTTTTTCTTTAACAGCTTCCACGAGAGCATCGTGAAGGCCGTAAGAGGGGGGAGATGCAGACCCTGGGGTGCCCAGAGGCCCCGGCCCTGGACAGGCTGCACAGCCCTGCCCAGCGCCCCTCCCCACGAGTGCCCCAGGGGCTCTTGCTGGCTGAGGGGGGCCCTGCTCTGTCCTTGGCAGCTCAGATTTCAGTCTCCAAGCCAGGGGTCTCTGCCTGTGCTGTGGCACCCCAGTCGAAGAGTGCCCCCTCCAGGTGACAGACTGACACTGACCGCTGGTCTGCACGGGTCTGCTGTGGTGTGACCCTCCACCTCCCGGTCCCTGTGTGTGGTGTGGGGCACTGCAGCCACTTACATTCCAGTCTATGGTCACAAAGAAAGGGTGACGCTTGATCTCCTCCACTCCATCACTGCCAGCACCTGTCACAGGACAAGGCAGGGGGAGCGTCAGGGCCGAGGGCTTGGCGGGGTGTTGGCTGTGGGCACTCAGCCTGGGCGGGACCCCAGGCGTCCCACCCTGACCCGCGGCTGTGGGGACCCTTCTCAAAGCTTTATTATGGAAGTGAACCCAGACTTGGTTCACCTTCCTGTGAACCTGGGTTCAAACAGATGTTGAGGTTTTTTACGGTAAGAGGGGTCAAACTGGAGGCAGCTCCCAAGTGCGCCTTCCGTGGTCCGTGGGGTTCCAAAGTAAGGACGTGCACTGCACAGAAGCAGTGCCCCAACTCAGGGACGACAGAAATGGCGGCTTGCAGGCAAGTGTTTGCGCCGCCCGGGCAGCCACGGGGTGTCTGGACCACGCTCGAGTCCTCGAGTCCTAGGCTGGGACCCAGGCGAGAGCATGTCCCCATCAGTGGCCTCAGGAGTATGTGGAGCTGGAACGGGGCCGGGACAGGGGCCCCGCTGACCCCTGCTCGGTGTGCCCGCTGCACGCACGGGGCTCTTACCCAGCCGGTTGCACGGGTTGCGCTTGAAGAGGGCGCGCAGCAGGCTCTGCGCCTCCGCACTGAGGAACTGGGGCATGCCCAGCTTGGCCCTGCGAGGCACAGGTGGAGTCAGGGTCAGGGGAGCGACCGCCGTCCCCATCCTCTCTGACCTGCTCGGTCAGCACTAACTGACCCCGCAGCGTCAGGACTGGGCAGCGGCGCCCAGTGTTTGGCCTTTGACCCCATCACACTCAGAGGTTAGTGAGGGCACCGAAGGGTGTTTGTTTGTGTGGCTGTGCCTGTGATGTCGACCATATTAGAAATTAAAACTGAGAAAATTTTAATTAAAAAAAATAATAAAGTCACTAAAAAAAAAAAACCCTAACAGTCCCAGGAACGAAGTCACTGTAATGGGAGTTAACGGTGATGCCCCGTCAGCAACAAGGAGCCTTGGCAACAGTGGCGACGGCCCGCCCTGGGAATCTCTCCTGGGCTCCTTGCCCCCGTGGGGGTCTCAGGCCCCCGGGACCTGGGGCCACAGCTGGGAGCTGCCCCCCTGGGAAACGCTGTCACCCCCAGAGACCTGTCCGGAGCCCACCGTCCACCCCTGGGGTTTGCTGGAGGGGACTCTTCTAGCTTCAGGGAACACGAAGGCCGTGTGCCCCCTTTGATGAAACAGAGCTGAGCAACAAAAACCCTGGGCTGGGGCCACGCACTGTCCTCCACGACACCAGCAGGGAGAAGGCCTCTCTGGGGTTTCGCCCCCCCGCCCCCTGTGTACACCACCAGGTCGTCTGCGGGCACTAAAGCTCTGCACGTCCGTCTGCAGGGCTCAGGGGGCTGCAGCTGGGGACCCGCTGCTCCACAGTCACCTTCAGCTCACCCAGTCCTGCCCGGAGACACTGCTTTGGGCTCCCCCAGGAGCTGCCCCCACCCGCCTCCCTGCCCCAGGGCCCCACTCAGATGGCCCCACTCACACTGGAGCCGCTGCAGCAAGGCTGGCACTGGGGTCGGCCTTCCTTCAGGGGCCCTAACGGCCACGCCCACTTGCGTAGTGAATGCTTCCCCATGAGAAGGCGCAGAAGCCCGCATCCTGGCCTGATGGAGCCCTGAGTCCTCTGCCCTTGGAATCTGCCCTCCCCTCCCGAAGGTCACCAGCCACCACATCCTAAAGCGCTGCCATTGCACAGCTCAGAGGATCTGCCTGGTGGAAGCCTGGCCTGGGGTGGGTGAGCCCACCAGAGCCCTCGGGGCCCCGCACAGCCGGCCACACACTGTCCTGGTCAGTGTCATTCTCACCAAGGCCTGCTTCCCAGCCTGCTTCCACGACTGAGGCTCTGGGTAGCAGGAGGGGCTGACAGGTGCTGGGGGGTCCCCAGGTGGGCACTGCCTACTCACTTGAGGATGAGGGCCATGGTCTCCTTCCTGTCCTTCCCCTGGAACGGCAGGGACCCCGTGAGCATCTCGAACTGCAGACACACAGCGCAGGAAGGGCGAGTTCAGACCAACAGATGTGGCAGCAGAGAGAGCCCACGTCCCCCATCTGCTCAGAGTCCTGAGGGGTCAGGTCGGCAGAGCCTCGGGGACTCTGCTTCACAGAGCGGCCCGCTCACTACAACTCTGCTTTCCTGGCAGGTGGGTGACGGGGCGGGGATGCGCTGACCCGGGAGACTGGCTCAGCCCGCCACGGAGAAGGGGACTCGCAGTCTGGTTCAAGGCGTGGGAACCACTCCCCGAGCAGCCTCCCGTGTATCTATCTGCCCCACCGGCCAGCACTGCTGAGCCCTGGGGTCCGAGGACCACGCACAGAGACCAAGTGACCATGCCCTGCGAGGCCTCCCGGGGACCAGCCTGGGGCTCCCCAGTGACTCCTCCGGCCCGCGTGGGCCGCAGAGCCGAGGCTCCTCAGCCGGGGACGGGCGTGTGCGTGGGAGGGGAGGGGCTGGGGCGGTGCGAGGTAGCGCCTCCAGCCGGCTGACGAGCCAAACCCGCTCCAGCTCTGCAGCCTCGTTTCTTCCTGGGAGCAGCGCACAAGGTGCAGGCGGGGCACAGCCCTGAAAGCCGCTAAGCTGTTCTCACCCAGCTTGGGACTCCACCGGGTCAGAGGTCAGAGGTCAGACATCAGGCCTGCCCCAGCGCTGCCCAGGCTGGGAGGACAGGGAGGGGGAGGGGGAGGGGCGGGGCGGCTGGCGGGGGCGGGGGGCCACGCCCATCTCTAGCAGGGCAGTGCCCCAGGGTCTGCATCTGCCTGCGAACCCGCGACCTACAGAAAATTCCGGTTTCCAGGCGCACATGTGAACGTGTTGAACTCCACGTTAATGTGCATGACTAAGTGGGAGGCTTTGGTGCTGGAAATAACGGAAATGTTTAACGCAGAAACCACTGCATCTCCCAGACCCTCGTGTTAACCCCTAAGGACGTTAATTAGGTGTAGACCTTTGACTTTTAATGCACGTGTCCCTTGTTTGAACCCCACTTCTGTTTCCCGAGGGTGGGACTTGGGGTGAAAGCAGGAGGCGGACCGGAACTGCAGGGGCCAGGATTCGGGGGTCCAGACACAAGCACAGCTTCCCCGGGTCACCCGGGTCTTGGACACGGCCGGGGAGGGCAGTGTGGGGGCGGCCCTCACCATGAGCACGCCGAAGGACCACCAGTCGGCGCTCTGCGTGTGCCCGCGCCGGTTCACCACCTCGGGCGCCATGTACTCGATGGTCCCGCAGAAGGAGTACGCTCGCTTATCGTGGTCCACGGCCTCCTTGCTGAGCCCGAAATCTAGAGGAGAGACAGCCCGCAGCCTTCTCAGTCCCAGGGGCATGGCCGGGTCCCATCTGTGGGTCCCGCCACACTGGGCTTCCCTCCCCCACTCGCTCTTTCTGGCCCAGCTCCGTCCCGGCGGGACCTGCGCCCCCGGTGCCCGCACCTGCTGTGTGAAGCCTGGCCACTCCTGGGCCACCTTCTTAATCTACCAATGCACGGAAGGCCACGAGGAGATACCAGCCCCTGTGTTTCTCAGTGACCCACGTGAACTCCCGGGAGACCAACCTCTCACAGGCCCCCATTGGAAGCGCATGGGGCCACTGACGGGATGGGAGGAAGGCGCTGGCTCCCTACCACACCTGTGCACACACGCACCTTGTGGCAAAGGACCCAGTGACCACACGGGTGTCAGGGGATGCACCCTCAGTTTCATCACCTATGAAGACAAGGAGTCCTTCCCCCTGTCCAGGGCCACCTATGGGAGCGAGACTATCCAGTGCCCTGGTGGGTTTGCTCACTCCCTGCCTGACTTGCTTTGCACCTGAGTGTGTTGGGGGATGTTTTCAACTTGTGCCTGGCCAGGGGACAGCAGCGGTTCCCACAGGCTGGAGCAGGCAAGGGGGCTTCAGAAAGGCCCCGTCCTGCGGCCCCTGGAACTCAGCCCCATGGACCACTCTGGACTCCTGGCTCCAGAACGGAAAGGTGGCACACGGGTGTTCCTTTAGGCCACCCCATGTGTGGCGGTTTGGGACGGCACCAAGAGTAAATTAACACAGACGGGTGTTATGGGACTAGAGGGGCGTCTCCCACTTGACTGAACTTGGCCTTGATAGGGGAGATGCACCCTGAGGAAATGAAGGTGGGAAGGGAACTCGGGGCTGGGCATTTGTCCTCAGGTCCGAGCGAGCGGTCGCTAAGACACCTGAATCGAGCACCCAGTGATGCTCTGGGTGCCAGAGGAAGGTGCTAGAAGGGTCTCAGGTCAGAAGGAGACCCCCGGGACGTGTGAGCATTCAGGACACACCTGGCCTCTCGACTAACTCACAGCTACGGAGCACCCCGCCATGGCAACAGGGGTTGTCCCGGGCTGGCATGGCAGGGAGGGGGACCCGAGGGGGACCGGCGTCCTCTACACACCTGTGATCTTAATGTGTCCCTCTTCGTCCAGGAGGATGCTGAAAGGCAAGGGGGGAACAGAGGCTTTATCAGCCACCGAGTGCTGGGGGCACGGTGGCCTCAGGGAGCCGTCTCCACAGGGGAGCTGCCTGCTGTCCAGTACATAATTGAGGTAACATTTTACCACGCTTTCATCTGTGCTTTTCAGTGTCACGGAACCTCTGCCCAGAAATGAGCAGCTCTCGAGATTAATTCCTGACTGATCCTAACTGACAACAGAACCCCGTCTCTCCTGGCCCTGCAGTTGGGGTCACTACCTGTAAGGGTGCAGATCCCTCCGACCTGTCCAAGGAGACAGGCCCAGGGGCTCGGGCTCACAGCCGAGAGTGCGGGAAAGCCACCCCACTCAGCTCGCACGCTGCGGCGGATGGGCCCGCGGCGTGCTGCTCCCTCCGCGGGACCTCAGGCCCGGCCTTACGGGTACGTGGCCGTCTGTCTGCACTGGCAGGCCCGTCGCAGAGTCACAGGCAGAGGCTCTGCGTCCTCGTGCGTAGCCGCCACCTGGCTCCTGGGCAGAGCCAGAGGCTTCCCGGAGATGAGCCCGCTGGTTGGGAAGCTGCTTCAGAAAGAACCGTGTGCTTTCCTCGCAGGAGGGGGAGGGGCCGAGAGCCCAGCGAGGAGCCTCTTCCTGCTTCGTTCTCAGCGTGCGGCCTGGCCACCCAGGCCAACGCTGGTGGGTCCCACCAGGCCCCTTGGCACCCACAGGACAGTGACTCAGGACTGAGAAAACCAGTGACGTCACCTCAGGGGTGACCGTTAGGCTAGAAACAGACCCCAAAATGCCCCCTACCTCTCCCCGCCTCATGGGGGCCACTCCCGGGCTGCGCACCAGCCCCACGGGAAAACAGGAGAACAAAACCGGGGATGGGAACACTGTCACCCTGGCGGATTCCCTCTCACTTTAGACTGGCCTAGCAAGCTCTCCCAACGAGGACATCACAGGGCATCGCCGCCCAACATGCTCCGGTCTCATCGGAACCTAGGCCCGGGGAATCGGGTGCTGCCGTCTTTGAGAAAAGCTCCAGGGGAAGCCCACCCGACTGGTCACCAAGGAGTGAGCGTGCTCCTTGGTGAAGCAGCTGAAAGCACCTCTTGAAGCTGGTGGCACCTTGTTGGAGACGTCCCCAGGGCAGGAAGGAATGGGGTGGGGGTGACTGGGAGGTGAGGGCGCACGGCCCACCTGTCCAGCCACGCCTGGGTGCAGGGCCACGGCTCTGGCCTTGCACCCCCCGGGATCAGGTCTTGCGGGCTGGGACTACACTGTGTCATTCGGCAGAAGCCACACTTGTGTCTGGGCCCCTTTTCAGGGGAGCAGGCGGAACCTGCTCACCCCACTGGGACCCCAGTCGGCACGCCGGCACGGCCTCCGTGCAGATGGGGCGCTGCTGCAGCCAGGGGCGAGCTCACTCACTTCTCTGGCTTCAGATCCCTGTAGATGATGCCCAGGCCGTGGAGGTGGTCCAAAGCCAAGGCCAGCTCAGCCAGGTAGAACTTGACGTCCTCCTCCGTGAACATCACCTAGCGAGCGAGAGAACAGACTGCTGGGGGCTGGCTTGTTTGAAGGAAGTCTGCCAGGGAGACCGTGACGCAGCCCCACAAGGTACCGCACGCAGGCCGGTCCTGCCCTGCACAGCATCGCCCCCAGGTCCCACAGTGCTCTGCCCCGGCAGCGGAAAGAGAGGCTCCACTCACTGTCCCGAGGGCAGTGAGGGCGCAAGAGCACGTCCCACAATGATGACGTCACCAGCCCCGAGAAGGGCGCTTGGGGCCTCCTGTCCCCTGGTCCCTCAGGCCCTGCAGGTCACCCGCCTCCGGGCGTTGCTCTGGGCCTACACTTTCACACGAGTGCTTCTGGTGTGCGTTTGCAAGATTTAACGGAAGACTCAGCAAAAGCCTGGCGAGGTGCCTTCAAAAACACGTCAGAACGCGTGTCTTCTCCCCCTCACCTGGCGCCTGCCCCGGGGTTTGTGCAAACCGGTGAGCTGCTGCCCACCCTGGTGGGGGTGGGGGGGTCTACCCGAGACGACACACATGTGGTGCAGAGTCAGCAGGCGCCTGGGGACAGTTGGACAGGGGACACATGGGTGGCGAGGTCACGAGTCGGGGCACCTGGCTTCGGGCTAGAGATTCACACAACTGCAAGGTCGTTGTCTCAGAGGGCATGTCGCCGCCCCGGGCAGCAGTTAGGAGCAGCGTGCACGCTCTGGGGTCGCCTCGGAGGAAGCCAGGTCGGTACGGGGAGCCGTGTTCACGTTCACCACGAGACTCAGGGTCACAGGACCGGAAGCCCAGAGTTCTCCCTCTGGACACAGGCCTGAAAATCGGCTCAAGGCTGCCTGTTGAGCATGAACTTAGCGTGAGGCAGCTTGGGGACTGGATGGTGGCCGGGTCCGGCTAACGCAGATGGAGCACATCCATTTCACAAGAGGATGCTTCCCGGTGCGGCAGGGGCGCGTGCCCCAGTCCCGGCCGTGGCATCTGGGTGCCGTCGCCCCTCCCTCTGGCCTCTGGAACTTCCTGCTCTGCCCTCTACGTTCAACCAGCGCCCTTCCCGGATGGATGTTTCTTTTCTAAACTGTTGGCACAGCTACGGGCTTGTAACCGGTTCTGCTGGCCGCTAACCTCCCCTTCACCTGACTTGGTGCATGAGAACCCCGCTGTGCCGCAGTTCAGGGCTCAGTGGGCAACCCGATGTCTCTACCAGTCCAGGTCCTAAGGTGCAGGTCAGTGCAGATGGGCAGGGGCCAGGCATCTGCTCCAGGGACCAGACACAAACTCTTGAGAGGGACCAAAACACACACATGCACTCTCTCCACACACAGAACACACACATGTAGTCTCCCTGCACAGAAAACACACATGTGCACACCCCTCAGGCCCTCCCTCTCTCTCGGCTGCCGGCCTCCTGGGCAGACCCCGGGAGGCCCTCACCTCCTTGGAGAGCCGGGTGAAGAGGTCCCCTCCCCGCAGGAAGTCCAGGATCAGGTAGAGCTTCCCCTCTGTCTGAAAGGCTGCAGGAGAAGGGAGAGTGAGCGCGTCAGCCTCCCCGACCCGTCCCCACAGCCCTGCAGCGGGTGTTTCCCGGGCTCGGTCTCTTGGTCTCAGACGACACTGTGCAACCTGTGACGCTGGGTCATTTTGGAAACGGGGTCAGGATGGGCTGGAGACAGCCAGCGGGGGCGGGACTCAGAGAGAGGGACTCCATGTTAACGAGTTCTGTTTCTGACACTTTTAAGGGTCTTGAGGCTTCTTCCCTTTTCCTTCCCTCCTCCCTTCTTTTCTAATCACGAAGGGGAAGGAAAGACACATGGCCCACTTGCTGTCCTTGTCCCCACAGTCAGTATCAGGCTCTGGGTGCAACTGCGCTCACTAGCGTCACCCTGGCTGGAGGGCGTCTGGTGCGGACGATGGCTCCGACCACCTGTGGCCGCGTCTCCCTTCCTCCCCTGTGGACGGTATTCTTTACACCCGTCACTGATTCCCCTACAGCAGCACTGGGGGCCCGCATGCTCTGATCACACGCAGCGCCACCGCCGCGGGCTCGCTGCCCCTGTTCCAGGCCAGGGACAGAGCTCGAGCCCCCCAGCCAGGACGAACGTCCAGCACGTAGGGCTGGACACGGGCACGCAGGTCAGGAGAGATACCGCTGCTGCCGCTGGGGGCGCAGTTCGGCGCTGCCATTGCTGTCGGTGGGCGTCTACGATTGCCGGGGGTGTGCGGGGCGGGCCTGGCGTCTGAGCACACGGAGACTCTGTCTGTCTCCTGAAAGCAGGCGCTGGGCGGATCGGCGCCAGGTCACAGAACACTGAGCCCCTAACCGGCAGGCCCTCCCTGAGAAGAGCGTCACCTGCAGTGCGGGTCGGACGCTCTGCCCTCAGCCCGGGGTGGAGGGAGAACCGTTACTGTTCAATCAGCCAGAGGGCGGGCGGGGGATGCGCCTAAAAATCCTGTGAGACGCCCGGTTCTTAACTTCTTCAGAAAGCCCCCCGGGCACCAGTGGGAAGGGCAGGGGTTGGTGGGTCTGAGCCGGCAACCCGGCAGGGACAGGGTGGGCGGGCACGGGGAGGCTGGCCTCTCGGGATGCGACCTCAGGGCCCATAGCTACTGGGTTTCTAGCAAGTTAACACCTGCATTTGCTCCTATTATTTCTGAGAGGAAAAGCTACAGAATTTCCAAACAGGACCGAAGTTTCTAGAATTCTCTGCCCCCCCCCCTGTGGGTCTTTGCTCCCGATTCGAGCAAATGTCACAATTCCCCCAGCGTCACCCTCCCCGGCCTCTGAACCCAGCAGGGTGCCAGTTTCTGCTCCTGCCGCACTTGACTCGGTCAGTGGCTCCAGCCGGGCACTGACCTTGAACATGGCCAGGCCACACCAGCCACCCCCACGTTACCGTTTCAGATGGGAAGATGTCCCTCACGGCCTCTCTGAGGCGGTGACGGGCAGGAAGCCGACGGAGAGGGGTTGACGGCCCTGCGGGGAAGGGGTTTGGGCCAAGCCACTCGCTCGGAGCCTCGGCTTTGTCTCCCGACAAACGGGCGTCACGGCAGCTGCGAGTGGAGGGTGTGCAGCTCCCCCTTTACCAGGCCAGGCCCACAGCGGCCACGTACCATGCGGGGGCGCTCACTGTCCCCGCTCCAGAGAAAGGACCGTTCACCGAAATGCCGGGGCCTCACCCCGGGCTGGGTCAGGAGACGCCTTCTACTTAACCAGGGACCGCGACTGAAGAATAATAAGGATACTAAAGTGTGGCCGCGGCACGTGAGGTTTCCGAGACACAAATAGGTCCCTCGCTCCTTTGGAGAGGACAAACAGGGAGATTCGGCCTCCGGGGAGGGAGGTGGCCGGGGGAGGGGCTTTGTCCTGACGGGTCACTCACCTGTAGTGTCGCGGAGGCGGCCCCTCCCAGGCGGCCCCGCTATTTCGTTCTGTGCCGCTTGACTGTACTCACCGTAGTGCAGCTTCACAATGAAAGGGTGATTCACTTCGGCCAGGATGTCCCTCTCCATCTTCGACCTGACGCGGTCCCGAACTGCGGACAGAAGGACGAAGGCTCTCAGGGGCAGGAAGTGGGGTCCCCGACTCGGAGTGTGAAGCACCGCGCGAGTCGTCTCCCCAGCTTCTCGTGGCAGAAACTTCTAGACGTGTGCACAGGTTGAACCAGCAGGACGACGATCACCCAAACCCTCCTGCAGCTTCCACGTTGCTGATGTTTGCACACGCTGCACACGCGCAGGAACACGTGCCGTGCGCACATGTGTGCAGCACACACACTCACACGGCCAGCGGCCTGTCAGTGAGCGGTGGCACCGGGACACCCGACCCCCAGGGCCGCGCCCCCTGAGAACACGGACGGCCTCTCACACGGGCAGCAGGACAGGCTGTCACCTGACCTCCAGCCCGCAGTCCAGTCCCGCCGCCCGTCATTCACAGCCGGGTTCTCCCCCCCGGCCCAGGACCCGTGAACTCCCACCCTGTGTTCCTTCACTCTGTCCATTTCCTCGCCAGAACAGCCCCACAGCCCAGACCGTGCCTCCCGCCCACGCACCTCGTTCTGGCCGGGACGGAGGAACGGCCACTCTGGCCCCCCTACTGCAAGCCGAGGGTGGGTCTGGGGGCTCTGTGAGGGAGGGTGGGCGTCTCGGCAGATGAGGGGTGCGGGCGCCACCCACTCGCTGAGCTACAAGGCTCGGGCAGCGGGTCTGCAGCCCCTCACCCCGAGGTCCACGCACCCCCATCAGCAGGGCGCCACCTGCGGGTGATGCCCGGGCGCTGAGTGACGTGTGGGGGACCTGGCAGCCCTTCCTCCAGTGGTGCCAGCTCACGTCTGCCGTCCTTGCTTGTGTCATAAGGGTTACAAAATGGTAATTTTCCCGTTTCCGACGGAACTGGACATCCACAGTGAGTTTCCTTCTCTTCCTCTCTCTCTGAGATTAAATCACTACAGACTACAGATTTTGAAAAAGGTTTAGTTTGTTACAACCAATTACAGTGCTATTCTTTTTGGTGGCGACACTGCCCCAAGTTTAGCCATCTGGGAATACAGATGGAATTTGAGGCAAAAATAAACAAAAACGATCACCACTTGAGAACGAGAACAACTCCGAGATTCCCACACGTGAATCGGCTCACCGGGCACCATGTCCTGGTGAACTGCCCCGCCCCCCCACAGGGGCCAGCAGCAAGTCTCCCCACACGGCTGTGTAAGCTTCCCGCCCAGGCACGACCCTCAGTTTGCTGTGACAGGCCCCCCCTGAGGACGGCTGTGATGAAACACCAGCCACAAGCCCGGGCCAGGAGAAGCCAGGACCCTGGGCACCGCCGGCGGGTGCAGAAAATGGAGCGGCCGCCATGGAGGACCGTTCGGTGGCTTCCTTAGACAAGCGAAGCACAGCCCATTATTTTTCATCTTAGAGCTGCTTTCTCTAAGTTCCCTTAGGCTATTTAGGAGCAATCTTTCCGGATAAGTGGACGAGTTAAATTAAAATAATGCTTACCCCGTGGTTTAAAGTGGTTCTCTGAGACCGAGGATTATAAATAGGCTGACCTAGTTTAAGTTGCTCGTCACCCAAAGGTGACAGAGTTTCAGTAAGAATCGACTCCTGAGTTGAAACCGTACTTTTCCATAGTGACTTTTAATTAATTTGTTTTACTGTTTCAAATTCACAGTAAAAAGAGCGTGTTAATGAAATAACTTGGATTCTAGAATATGAAGATACATATGTTATATATTTCAAGAGATGAACAACAGACATCTCCGAGAATGACTTTGTTCCTGGCCCCACTGCAATAAAAAGTGAGCTCACTTGCTGTTGTTTTTAAAAAAGAAGATTTTACGCATTTATTTCTAGAGAGGGTGGGGGAGGGAGAACAAGAGAGAGGGAAACATCAGTGTGTGGTTGCCTCTCACGTGCCCCCTGCTGGGGACCTGGCCCGCAACCCAGGCATGCGCCCTGCCTGAGAATCAAACCGGTGATTCCTTGGTTCTCGGGCTGGCACTCAGTCCACGGAGCCACACCAGCCTGGGCTCTGTTGCTTTTTGAAGTTGAACATGGTGCCCAGGGTGACCCAGAAACTCCACTCCCAGTGCGCCCCTACAAGAATTGGCAGCGGGGCCCCCAGCAGACGCGTACGCACGCATGCTCCCAGCAGCACGATCCGCAGCGGCCGGATGGTGGACGCAGCCCAAGGGCCCAGCCACGGGTGGCAGGTAGAGGACACGTGGCCCATCTGGACGCTGGAGTGCAGCTCAGCCTCCAAGGGGTACGTTCTGACACCTGCTGCAATGCAGGGGCGGGGGAGTGATGCAGAAGGCACACGCAGCAGGCTTCCCCGTCCACCCGTCTAGGAGGGACCCGGGAGGGGGAAGGTGGGCTCTGGGGCGGGGAAGGGTGGGGTGCTGTTTGCGGGGACAGTTTCTGCCCGGGGAGATGAGACCTTCTGGGAATAGATGGGGTGGCATCCACTCAGCTCTGGGACCCCGCTGAGCTGGGTTGCCACTTAGGACCAGTTCAAGAGTCACTGTTCCGTGGCCTGCACGTCACCACAGAGAAAGGGACAGCCGTCCCTCCCACTCCCGGGCCCCCAGGATGGTCGCCTCGTCTTGCTCTGGGAGCTTGGGTGTGGTCTTCTGTGTTCAGGTGCATGCTCATGGGGCCACGCTGGCTCTGCGGCCGTGACCTCGGGGCTCCCGCCACCCCACTCCGTCTGTCTGGGGCGGACCTGAAGCGTCTGCATGAGTCCCTCAGGACACATTCCCACACGAGCTCGTTCCCAGGGACGAGGAACGCCGCAGACCCCCCGACGGCGCCACGCCCGCCACGATGGTGCTGCAGCTCAGGACATGGACACCAGACAGTGGAGCAGGTCACGGGGGCAGCGAAGGGGGGTCTCCACTGCTGGCCGTCCTGGCACAGGTTCCACCCACCGCCACCTGGGGACCACCACCGAGGGGGTCTCAGCAGGGAGAACAAAAACTGAAATCCGTCCACTTGGTGACAGATGCCCAGGGTGCCGGCTGAGGACCCGGAGGGAGGAGAGCAGGCGATGGACGTCTCTCCAAGGTGCGGGCGGCGGGGGAGGCCTGGCCAGTGGCCGGCAGGCGTGCAGGGGCGAAGGGTGGGAGTGTCCTTCCAATGCCATCAGACGAGCAAGTGGCTGCGTGGACACAGGCTCAGCGAGGCCCCAGGGATGGCCTCAGGGTGACAGCCTCACCTAGTGCGTGTGGCCGGGCTCCTTGATCTCCAAACAGCAGTCCAGCTGACAGGGACTGTGGGTGACCACCTTGAGGTGGGTCATCTTCTGGGGAAAAGTGTCTGTTCCATCCCCCTGTCCGGCCCCCACAGCCCAGCCCGAGGACGTGACCAAGAGAGCTGGTGTCAGGGAAAGGGGACCTGGCCCCTCCACCTGTTTGTCACCTCCGTGCAAAGCCCTGTCCTCGATGTGAATCAAGAGGACCCAGAAGCCCTCTGGCACTGACAAGTTGTCATGGAGTTCGCATCTGTGTGGAAGGCAATGACCCTGCTTTGTCGCGTGCTGGTTGGTGGGGAAACCAAAGAACATGTTGCTACAATTGGAAACAGCTCACGCTCAAACTTCCAGGGGCGGGCTGGTCATGGTGGAAAAATAAATCTCTTTCTACCCTGCATTTCACATGACAAATACATCCCAGGTGCATTAAAGAGTTCAGTGTTAAAGAGAAGCAAGCCCCACAAACAGCAACACAGAAAATGCCTGTGTGGACTCTCTGTGTAAGGACAACAGGGACAGATGGCACCATAGACAGCTACGGACTGGCCGTCCCAAAAGACCCAGCACTGGAAGGCAAACCAAAGAACTGGAGATTATCTGAAACAAACAGAGGAAGGGCCGGGAGCCTGAACAAACACTCCTCGTATTGTGTTGAAGACAATAGAGAAAGAGCCCCAGACGGCAGTCGGCAGGGACAGACCCTGAGCAGACGGAGCCTCGTCCGGGCAGCGATCAGCGGGCGAGCCGGAATCCAGGGCGCGGGCCACGATGGATGTAAACAGAAAAACGTTCCAGGCTGTGCTGAGACACAGGCTGGTTTTCACTAACACGCTGCAGGTACTGGTGCAAAATAAGACAGTTTGCACTTCACGTGGACCCTGCGCCTGTGGCCTGCCCGCAGCTCGGAGGGTCAAGGTGAGGCGGTTTCATGGTTTGCTTTGCTCTGCGGACCGTCTGCCCCTCCTGGAAGCAGGGGTGACCTCCCCGAATTCTTCAGTCCCCACGCCCCTGGGGCTCAGGTGAAGGAGGGGCACCCAAGCACTCACCCCACTGTGCAGGGGCCGGGCTCCCTCCCCGGGACATGGACAGGAGGCGCCCTGGGGAGTTGCCCTGGTGGACATGACAGTCAGCAAACCCAGAGCAACCTTCTGAAAGCCCCGCTTTCGGGGATCGGGCCCACCTCTCCATGACACCCCAGCCCCACAGCCCTGACTTCCAGGGGGACCTGCTCCCCTGGGCCCACGGAGAGCTTCAGGGGCAGGACTTCCCGCCCTGTTGGCTGTTTCTCCAGCCACGGGCCTGTTCTGGGCTTGCAGGGGTTGAAACGTTGGCCCTTTCAGTCCTAACAAAGTAGCTCAACAGCCACGGTCCCTGGAAGCCTGGCCGGTGGGAAGCCACTCAGAAGTGGCCTCCCGCCAGGTGGCCTCGTGACATGGACACGGAGCCAAGTGGCTCTGACCCGAGGCCACCTCGCCTCATGAGGGCCCGAGGCACCAAAGATACCTTGGCAGTGGGCAGTCGTTTTATTTTACTCTCCCTTTCAGACCATATTTTGGGAAAACCAGCCCGTGAAGAGCAGAGTATGACTGGTACAACTGGTATAAGTGGCCAGTGTAGAGAGAAGGGGCTTGGGGCCCCCGCCCCACGCCCTCCAACCCACAGGCTGTGCGCAAGTGCATCCACCGCTTCCTGCCTCAGCCTCCTCACCTGCAAAGGGCAGGTGGTAATACCAACAGGGGCGAGAAAGGAGCACGGTTGCAACCGGCTTTCCCTCCTCCCCGGCCCCTGGGAATCTGCAGTCATCCGGGTGCAAACCCCACGGCAGGAGAATTGGCACGTGTTCAGACTTCGGCACCGACTGAAGCTTCTTTCCGCGTCAGTCAGTGTTCTGAGCGGAGACCACTGCGCCCACGCCGACTCTGCGCCTTTTCCTTTGAGCAGGGGTCCCACCGTGCGAACCCCGCACCCGCTCACTGGGAGGCGCTGGCCCCTCCAGGCTTTGGAGTCCCAGGCTCGTGCTGCTGGCCCACACTCCCCAGAACTACCTGCCCCACAGACGGAAGAGGACGAGGGGATGGAAACTGAGTTTCAGAATATTCACGAGTTTACAGAATATCTGAGTGACTCGGGCTAATGATGCAGAGGCGCTGAAGCAAAGCCAAGTTCACAGGATTCTTTGAACCATGCCCCCCCTTCACCAGGGAGGGGCAGCACCATTGGAGTGGCGGGGTGGGGGGAGCCGGTCAGCCCTCCCTGGACCCCTGATCAGGACAAGCCCCACCTGGCAAAAAGGATGGCTTTTATTTTCTCTTAAGAAAATACCTCCCAACTGCATTTCTGGAACAGAAGTAACTAGTCTCCAGCGATGGGCTGTATGGAAAGCTCAAGACTCTGTGATGTGAAGTGAGGTGAGTCTCCAGAGCGGCACGCACAATCACACGTGTTTAACGGTGTTCCGGTGTTTAACTGGACACGGCTTGTGGGCACGACATGCTAGTGACTTCACACAGCCAGGCACTCGGTGCCGGGAGGGCTCGCATGTGAAGCCTCCTGCTTCATTTGTGCCGCGCACCTGAACCACGGGGCGTGGAGAAGATGAAAGCCGGTCTTCGTGGACGCATTTCCCTCGGCACCATCCGCCTGCCAGCGAACGTCTGTCAGTGTTTGCACGCACTGGGCCCGTCCCTGTCCCGACGCACACACTCGTGCGTTTAACCGGGCTGCGCTCAGGCGGGGCGCACACTTCATCGTCTTGGGGTTGTGGGACTGGGTGGTAAACAGGCGTGGAGCTTGTGCGTCCGTGGAGGGTGAGCATGCTGAGACGGACGGACACGTGAGCTGAGAGGTCGCGGTTAATTATTGCGGGCGGGCTGTGGGCTTAGCCACGGGCTGAACCAAGAACAAATTCCAGCTCCTCATTTGAGGAGCCTTCTCTCCACTCCCCAGAGCAGTGAGCACGGCCACGGAGTCGACTGGCGGGAGGTCGTGTGTGAGGGGGGAAGGAACCCCCGTGATTTACAGATGAAAGGAAAGATTCACGGTCGAGGTGCCTACGCCGGCGAGGTGACTGTGGCGTCTGCTGACGGACTGAGCCGGTGCGTCATCTCCAGGAGCAGTGCAACCGTGAGGATGAAGGTCACACCTGCCCATTTCCACTGACCTTGCCTTGGGACCTGCCCACTCAGTGCTATGGGGGGGGGGGAGAGGGTTTTAGAACCCCCCCCCCAACCATGCTCTTCAACAGCTGTTGGTTTTTTCTTTTTTTTAATTTATTTATTTTTAGAGAAGGGAATGGAGGGAGAAAGGGAGGGAGAGAAACACCAATGTGTGGCTGTCTCTCCCACACCCCCTGCTGGGGACCTGGCCAGCAACCCAGGCCTGGGCCCTGACTGGGAATCGAACTGGTGACTTTGCTTCTCAGGCTGGAGCTCAGCCCACTGAGTCACACCAGCCAAGGCTAGCAGGGGTTGGTGTTTTTAACATGATGGCTTCACCAAGATATAAGTTGTATGTCATTCAGTGCACTTACTGAAAGTGCACAGTTCAGGGGTTTCTAGAATAGTCGGTTTTCTAGCTGTCCCCATGGTCGGTTTTAAAGTGGTTCCATCATCCAAACCCCATGGCCAATCAGTCATGCTCCCCACCCCACCCCCGCCCCAAGGCTCCGCCCCCGCCCTAAAGCCCCGCCCCCAACCACACATCTACTGTCTCTGGATCTGCCTTCTCTGGACTTGCAGCACAAGGACTCTGTGACCAGCTTCCTCCACTTCCGTGTGATGTTCGCGAGATGCGCCCACGTCACAGCAGGAGCCAGTGTGTCACTTCTTCACGACCGAGCGCACTCTACTGTGTGGCTGTGCCACATCCGATTTGTCCACCCGCTGAAGGACATTCGGGTGCTTCCGGATTCTGGCCACCGTGCGTCAGCCGGTGGGGCTGTGCACAGCCCTGCATAAGCCTTTGTGTGGACACAGGCCACGATGGGTGACCCGGCAGCTCCGTGTCTCACCTTGGAGCCGGCGCCGCAGTGGCCACGCAGTTTCAGACTCTCGGACGCTCCTGAGCTAACACAGGCCAATTCAACTTTCCATTTCTGAGGAACTCCTGTCCACTGAAGGGACTGCCTGATTAAAACTTGGGAAGAGAAAGACAAAACCTTTTTTGTTTCTTGTACTCTTTCCTGTACATCCTTGTTTCCACACGTGTCAGTACTATATAGGAAATTACAAAAATAAAACAAAACAATTCTTCAAAATGATGTTATTATCAGAACCTTGGACTATTTGGCCAAGTGCCATCGACAGACAGGTTTGCGGATACACTCACGGCTACAATAAACAACACTCACTAGAGAGAGCAGGAACACTTGAGTATCTGCAACAACGTAGCGTATCTGCACCAATGTAGCATATCTGCAACAAGGTAGGGCTCTGAGACGGCTGGACCCAGAGCTTCGCGCACACCAGGTCACCAGGACGACAGGTTAACAAAGTCAGGTTCTAGGCTCTGCCCCTGAGAGACTCTGACTCAGCAGGTCAGGAGCGGACCCAGGAATGTGTTTAGACCATGTTCTCTCCAGAACACATGCAGGCGATTCTGGTGCAGCCCCTGCCCATACAAGGGGGTCCCCTTGGCTGGGCTGCAGCGACACCCTGGCTCCTTTCTTCTCTTTAAGACCCTCCAGATGGGAGCCCCCCACCTCCTAAGTCTCCTTCTGTGACATCATTTGGTTTGGTTGCTGCGTACTCGGCCTGTGTGTTTACCGTCTGTGTCACTGGTCACATGCAGATCGAACTGTGCGTCCCGTCCACCAGCTGGACAGCAAGTGGCTCCAGTGGAGGGAGCGACGCGGCCTGAGCAGGGGTTCTCGGAGGCCCGGGGGTCTAAGGCTGGTGCCCACCGTTGCCTTGACATCCTCAGGTCTCAGGGCCCAGAGGCCTAGCGTGCGTTCCCCCCTTCACAGAAGTCCCCCTCACCTAGGCGGACAGGCTCCCCAACCGACTGGTCCCCCCGCATGCTGGACGGGCTGCCCCCATCGGGTCCACCCCTCCCAGGGTGCAGCTCCCTGCCTGCCCAGCATCCTCCAGACCAGCCGAGGGGACCGCTGCACCCTTTTGCTCCTACAAAGACAGCCCCCACTATGGCCTACTCTGCTCCTGAGAGCGACCCGGAGCGGCCCAGGTGGCTCCATGACCTCCTCCCTGGGGTCAGGGACCAGGAGCATATGTGATAACATGCTCCGCGTCCCACTGCCCTGGCCCAGGTGGCGAGTGTGGCCTCCTCGCTGCTTAGCACAGGGCTCCCTCTCCCACTGTGGGAAAGAGGCCATGATCCGAGCCGACGCGGTGGGGGCTCGGTCCCTGTGCTCCTCGCTAGACACTGGTGAGTGCAGAGCAGATCTTGGAGGACAGCTGCGTGTCCACCTGCACTTAGAACCCGGGCTCTGCTGGAGGGCGGGCGCCCGAGGGCTGGCCCAGGTGGCGGCCCGCGTCACCTCTCTCTGTCGCAGTCACTGGACTCGACAGCCCGAACCACGTGCTGCCTCAGTCTGAGCCCTTGGGCTGCTCTGCCTGCTGCGCCGCCCGCAGGCATCACCGTGACACCTGCTCGCCCCCCCCCCCCACGCTCCTCCTGCCAAGCGGTGCGCACGAGCGGAGCATATGCGGCAGGACGGTATTCATGCCACACGGCAGACCGCGGGCCGTGTGCAGGGACACGTGAAATGCTCAGGGAGATGTTTACACTGTTCATCGTCAATTAGAGAGACGCGCATCAGAGGCACTCCGCTCGGGGACCTGCCAACGCCACGCGGTGCCCCACCGCGGACACGGGCAGAGCAGGAACTGCCCACGCGCACCCCGCCCCGCCCGCGGCCCTCACCTTTCAAGGTCGCTTTCTTCAGAACTTTCATGGCGTACAGCTGTCCCGCGTCGGGACCCGCGACCTTCCGCACCAGGAACACCTGCGGGGAGAGAGCAGGGCCGCTGAAACCCTCGGGCGGCTTTGCCCCTTATTTCACCGGACAAGGGGCTACACGGGGAGTTTAGAACTCCCGATGGGGTAAACACGCTGCAGGAAAACGTAGAATTTTCCCCAACGTCCCAGCTACAGGAAGCGGCCCCTCATTCCGTTCGCGCAGGAGGAATCATGGTTCGTCTCTGGGCGGTTCGCTGGCCGTTAAACCTTTATGTCAGAAGTGACACCACCTTCCTCTGTTTTTTGTTTATTTTTATTTCGTTCTTTATGTTTTATTGTTTTTGTTATTGCAGTTGTCCCGCTGTCTCTCCCTTTGCCCCCTCCCCCATACCCTCCTTTATTTAAAAAACAAACAGACAAGTTTCAAGGGACAGCGCTCAGTCTCCTGCGAAGGTCCCTTTGAGCCCCACGGTGAAGCCCCCCTGAGTCACTTCCAGGCCCCCGGGACAGGCCTGGCTCCCAGGGGAAACTCATTTTTCTGACTCGGCCCTTCCTTCCCCGTGGTTTTACCTTCCAGTAGCTTCCGCGTATCCGATAGATTGGCTTCTAAACAACAGCGAACCCCCTGCTTTGAAACCGGAGACACGGGGGGACAGCGAGCGCCATTCGGGAGGGCGAGGTCTGGCACCGGCCTCTGGGGTGCCCCGGGGACAGCCCCCCGCCCCGTGCGCCCCGTGCACCCCTCTGCCTCTTCCCGTGGGCCCTGCGGTGTGGGGGTCCCACAAGCTCATCCACGTGGCCGGAAGGGGGACTGAGAACCCCGTCCACCTGCTCTGATCGAAAACTGTGCTCCCATGCGCAGCCCGGCGAGAAGTTAGTTTAAAAGATGTCTGATTTTGTGTGAGGAGCTGCACGCAGAACGTCCCTCTATTCTGTTCGGGCTCTAGAAAGGCAGTGGTTGGTGGAGGTGGCCGTTGTCTCGTCTGTTTTTAGAGTTCTACTTTTATTTTGGGAAGAACAGGGAAAATCCACCTGTCGGTGGCTGCCGGCCCTGCAGGGGCAGGGGACCCGAGGAGCGTCAGCAGCGTGGGAAGGAGACCATGAAGCACAGCAAAACCCAATTTCCAAATGAACCCAGCCCAGGCGACCGGCTTTCTCAGCACGGGGAGTCCCATCCAGCCCTGACCTGCGTTTCTCTCTCCCCCTGTCTGTCCCCTCGGGGAGCAGGGAATGTCACGGGAGCAGTGCCCAGGCCACTCTGACACCTCCCCAGTCTCGGAGCTTGAACACTGATTTCCCGCCTCCGGCTGCTCCCGGGCCCCGCACTTCCTTTTCAGATCTGCCGCGTCAGCAGCCCCGTCTAAGGCTCCGGAGGAAGTGTGCAGGGCACACGGGGTGTCGTTCTGAACGGCCCCCGGTCCCCACGTGCCACCAGGATCAGCAAAGGCGCGACCCGACTCCGGGGCAGAACGCTGGGCAGTCCCCGTGACCTGGACCAATGACAGGTCTCTGTGTCCCCAACACGTGAGCTGATTGGACGTCAAGTGACAGTGTCCCCAAAGGAGGACATGGACAGACCGATTCTGATACTGTCACCCATAAAAGACTGACAGGAAAGAGGGAAGGTTTGGAATTTTGGTCTTATGCCTTCTCAGAATGTGAGCACTGAAATCTGCACGCCCCAGGACATTTGGGGGAGACACTCCTACCCACCGGCAGGTGATCACCCCTGAGGAGTGAGGGGAGGAGGGGACGGTCCGTCCCTCAGGGACGTGGGTGGGCAGTGCGCTGACTGCCCTGCTCACACCGCCGGGAGGGTGGACGGCTTCAGGGCTCAGCCCGCTCGGCCCTGCCGTGTGAGCACTGCCCTGGGCACTCTCGCGCCCGTGTCCTGCCGGGCGGGGACGAGGCCCTGCTGGAGGAGAATTCACGCACTGCCCGTGACGGGGACGGGGACGAAAGCAGACAGCCCCAGGCACAGACGCGTCTCTGGCAACTGCCACAGGGATTTGTGTGGTCACGAAGTCCCCAGGAAAAGGACCCAAAGCAGTGCGCGTCATCACTGTTCTCAGATGGCACACTGGGTTTAAAGACGCAAACCAGCCATGTGGGTGACACTCGGGTCAGGAGGGGGCCGGGGGCGCCGTCCCAACCCCGAGCGCCCCCCTGGCAGGCACCCCCTTCTCTTTCTATCCTGTTCTCTTCTTTGTCCTTTCTTTAAACAAAATACCTGCTGAGGATGTGCTTTCAAACCTGCAGGGGCTCAGGGTCAATAACCTGCTCACCGCAGGGACGGAGGAGACGCCCGGGGGACACTAGAGGAGGGACACACGCAGGAGGTGCTCAGGGGCACAGTGTCCGCACTGCGCGGCTCCGTGGGGACAGAGTCCTGGCTGTGGGAAGTGAGGTGTCATCTCCGGGTGTGTGGGGCCTGCCGAGTGGGGGGCGCCGTGAATTCATTCCTGGGGCCGTGGGGCAGTGGGGACGCATGGCCACATGTTCAGGGGCATCTCCACCACATCCCTGTCCCCAGATGTCCGAGTGCCCCGCCTTGAGATGGGGGACTGGCCACAGGGGAACAAGACTCACCCAGAAGGAACTGAAGATGAACTCACCTTCCCGTAGGACCCTTGTCCTAAAACCTTGAGCAGCTCAAATTGGGAAGGGTCAGCCTTTTCGAATCCTTCCTTCACATGGTGGCTGATGTCGATCTCCTTGACAACACCTTCTTCCTGCAAGACAGTGGCACTCAGTGAACACACAGATCAGCAGTGTCCTCGGGATGCATCACGGTTTTGTCCTACGCCGAGGTTACGACTTTGGTCAGCTCAGGTTTGTGCCAAAGATGCCCTCTGCCAGCCGGGAGCCTCCGCTTGGCCCCGTGGATTTCTGTCTTGCCGGCACCACAAGGAGACGGAAAGGGACTCTCCGCGCGACGGGCCCTGCTTCCGAACACCTGGGGCATCCGTTTGGACAGGGGCAGGCCTGCCTGGAAACTAAGAAATGAGGGGCCCCTGACAACTCGTTCCGCCATCCACACTGCTGCTCGGAAGGGCCGCCGCGTGTTCCGCACACAGAAGCAGCCTGTGATGCTCGGGTACGTTCCTCCTTCTCAGTCCCACTGTCCCTGACGTTCCGGCCACACTGACTACAAAGGACGGCTCACTGCCATCGCAGAGAGCGTGTGTCGGACAGAAGCAGGGGTCTCAGCTGCCCTGAAAGAAGCCCCCCCAGCAGGAAAGAAGCCCGGTCTGGGCTACGTGCGTCACTGACAGAGAGCACTGGGCATCGCCCCGCTGGACCGTCATCCAGTGACCGCGTTGCACGCCCTCCAGAGGGCAGGAGGGTCGACCTGCTGGGAAAGCCCCCTCCGTGGGGCGGGGCCTCAGCAGTTCCCTTCGCCTTTTAAAAATTCCGATGATTAGAGAGAACACCCTGACGCCTCTCCTCCCACGATCACTCAGCATTTTCGTAGACAATGGTTTTTTCTCTGTGAGGATGTGAACACGACCCCGGGGGACTCCGCTCAGGGAGGCCAGGAGGTGGCAGGGGCGCAGGAGACAGCTGCTCTGGGCGTCCTATTCAGGTGAAAGTTGGGGCGGGGGTTGTGTTGGAGGACCCTCCACTCCTCCCCGTGGCTTCCCGGGACCACAGGGCCCCTTTGGCCCCAGGAGACTGGGCAGCTTTTGGAGGGAAATCTCTCCATTTGTAACAGGAGAGACAGGAAGGGGGGGCCTGGGGTGCTCTGTGTCACCTCGTTTTCCGTGGAACAACTGTCCCTGGTGTGGCTGCAGGAGACTGGACTCCCCACTTAGAACACGCGGCTGAAGGCAGCTATTTAAAATGCTCTCCCAGTTCCCCCGGACGCCCACGTGCCCTCCTCCCTCCCACTCCCCCGCTGAAGACAGAAATGGAAGATTCGTCAGTTGAATAGAACAATACACCCCCTGCCTGTTAGTGCAGCACCCGCCCACCCCACCCCGCCTGGGGCCACCCCTGCCGGCCGCCCGCCCTCTGCACCAAGGCCTCCCCAGGCCCAGCCCCTCCGGAAACAGGTTCAACCCCGCAGCCGCGGTAACACAACAGCCACGTTATAAAAAAGGCAGTTAGTCTCCCACCCACACCTCCCGGGGCTTTGCTCTGGCCACGTGAGCTCGGTCACACTGCTGAGTAAGGGGGACACTCAACCCCGAAAGGCAGGGTGGGAGAGAGAGCGTGGCGTCAGCAGAATGGCCCAGGAGGCAGGTGACCTGGGACGAGGGCTCTTCACCTGCCGGTCCTTCCCCGGGCAGTTTTACAGCCCGTGTGTGTTCCCCGAAGATTTCCCCGTCATCTGTGTCCTTCGGCTGCTCTCTCTGGCAGTCTGGAGACCCCGAACTGGGGTGCTGGGGTCACTGGACCTGCTGGGACACCGGAGGGGCCCCCCATCTCTGGGAACCTGTCATCAGACAGGGCTGTCCGGCTCTGGCCAGTGTGCTGTGCCCAGCACCCAGCACCCAGCACCGAGCCCTGGAGCCTCAGGTCGCCCTGCGCCACTCGCTGTGCCTAGGGACGCCTTTCTAGGGACATCGGGGTCAGCACCCCCACACCTCGATCCCTGCTCCACCCATCCCCCCAGCTCCACGGCAGAATTCACCTTCTTGGGCCATCGCTGAACATTTCGGACCAGAGGCTTAGACATGAGTCTCCCAAGGTTTCAAGTTTTACATAGATTCTCGCTGTCAGTATTTAGAGCAAAGGCACCCAAAGCACACGCTAAATTTCATCTCCCAAAACAGCATCACGCGGGCTTTTTCCTGGATAAATTGCAATGCAGTTGATGTCTCATTTATTCGATATATTTTAAAAGATTTTATTCATTTGTTTTTAGAGAGAAAGGAAGGGAGGGAGAAAAAGAGGGAGAGAAACATCGACCGGCTGCCTCCCGCACACGGCCCATCCAGGGAACAGCCCACAGCCCAGGCAGGTGCCCTGCCCGGGGCCTGAACCGGCGACCTTTCACTTTACGGGACGAAACTGAGCCATGCCGGTCAGGGCTCATTTTCATTCAGATCAATACGGTCTTTAACAGCAAAGAATCTCAACTATCCACAGAAAAAACCCCCAAAGCGTCACAGTTGAGATTTTTGAGTTCTGCACGCACACTGACATTTAGACTTGAACTCGCCTGTGGATACTTTGTTCTGCTTTTCCCAAGAACTAAAAAAAAAGAAAGAAAGAAAGAAAGCAAAAAGCTCTGGAATCCGTGCTGACCACAGGGCCCGTGTGCCGAGAAAGGAAGGAGGCGGGAGGAGCGCGCCCGCCTCTGACCGGCGCCCTGGTCTCCGGAGGTGCCACCGCTGCGGCAGCAAAGGGCGGCTGGGGACGAAACGCCACGGTGCCTCATTCTGGCAGAGACGTGTTTCTGCTCTGCGGGGCAGGTCATTCTATCTAGAACTCTGTGGATTTGGATGCCACTCTCTTAAGAAAATACAAACAAGCAAGCAAAATAAAAACAATGACACTGAAACAGAGAACAGGGGGACAGCGACAAGAGGGGACAGGGGAGGGAATTTCGGGGGGAAAAGGGGAGGGATTTAGAGGAGCTAGTATAAAGGACACATGGACAACCACTAAGGGGGGTGGAAATGGGAGGGAGGTGGGGAGCACGGGGTGGGGTGGGCTGGGATGGGAGTAAAAGACAGAATACTATACTTGAAAAATAAGTAAATTTAAAAAAATTAAAAAAAAAGAAAATACACTCTGCTCCTGAGGCCTCCACAGAGAGCGCTCGGCACCCGGTTTCTAGTAAAGCTCCTGTCAGTGGGTTTCTTTCGGAATAACGGGGATTTGGGGGAGAGGCCGGCACCGTGGCTGGGCTTGCTTCACGAGCAGGGACTTGAGAAATGTTCCGATGTGAGAGGGGAAAACTGGAGAAATGAGTTGCTTCAAGGGCGTGCGTATGTGACAAAACCGTTTATGACGATGAATTTTTAAGTGCTGATAAATGTGCCTGAAGTTCCGACGATGGTGGGGGTTCTGGGCAGGGAGACAGCAGCTGAGAGGCCGGTGAGTGGCCGAGACGGGACGGACCTCGGCCAGAGGGGGCGAAGCACGGTGTGCGCTCCTGTCTGCACCCAAGTCCCCCCGGGCCACATCTCTGCTCTGGGTCATCTGCTCTCATGTCACGGAAAGGAGACTTTAAGTAAAGTAAGTACACGTTTAAAGTTGGGAAATATTCATGACAAAGGCATAGAAAATAAAACCTGGACGTGTTGGATTTTGTGCTGAAAAAGGGGGAGAGGTCGTCCCAGCAGTCACTGACTGCCATGTAGGACGTCACTTTCTGGGCAGATTGTGGGGACCTGAAGGGGCCCAGGCACAGGTGCGCCTCCTACACAGATGGGTGAGTCGCAGGGACCTGTCACCTGTGCAATGTGAGGCCACGAGCTCACCGACCCCAACGCTCCAGCTTTGTCACCTGCACTGCAGGACAGAGCGAGCTCCACTGTCTTCTCCATGGCCTCTCGGCCTTTCCTGCAGACGTTCCAACTTGTGCATTGAAACCCTCTGAAAAGGCTATTTTACCCAGTACTTCTAACTGTGTTCAGCGAGAAGCCTCGCCACACCTAATCCACGGCACTGCTGGAAACAGCAGCTCAGGAACTCTTTCCACGTGGACAGGACTCCAAGTAGCCTCTGCGGCCCCTGAGGGTGGCAGACGGGAGCCGACCCCCCATCCCCTTCTGGGAGAAAACATCCTGTCGCCCCCGCACCCCATCACCATCTGACTCTGGACTGCTTGAGGGTGCGGCTCTGTTACCAGAGATGCGGCACCACCACAGGACACGCACTGAGCGCTACCAGGCGCAGAGTGGGTGCTCTTTGCGCATGTGACCAACGTAAGGAAAGAAGCACCAGACACCTGAACCACAGACTCCAGGAACAGGAAGGGGCCGCCTCCCCGCAGACGGGCTGGTGGGTCCTTCCTGGGAACCCGGGTGCCAGGCCGCGGCCTGGACACCGTCCTGACAGCAGGACCAGGCTTGGCCGCACGCTGAGCCGGCCCCAGGAAGGTGCACGGAAGCAGTGGCCGTGACTTCCAGTGTCTGCTCCGCTCCTCAGATCGCCGTGGTTGCGTCTTGGTGAACATGTCTGCGGCCACCGGTGCCAGCCATCGGGAAATGAGGTCACAGGACTTGTCCACTCACTCACTGCCCAAGAAACTGGTTCTGCAGGAGTTTTCTTTCCACCTCTAACCGGCTAAGTGTGGGCTGAGCCACTTCAGATGGGCCACTCCCCACGCGTATCAGTCCACTGGTCCCACTGGGCACTTGCGATCTGGACAAGGTGGCTTTATTCAAGAATAAGTCCTCCGCAAGCTCAGGACCCTGGGGAGCAGGAAGGACGAGGTGCGGGCGTGGAAACAGGAAAAGCCGGGGGAGATGCCGGATGGGCCACAGCCTTGAACTCCAGGAGCAGGGCCGCCCGGCCTGGGTGTGCGGGAGGAGGCCGGTGCGCCGCCTGGGAGATGGTTGGAGCTCGACCGGCAGGCACGTTCCACACGATGCCCGGCCGGGTGCAGCAGAGGTTCCGGAGGAAATGTCTGATGGGCCCAGGAGCACCGTTTTCCCCTTTCTTACCAAAGACGAACTCCGCAGCCTGGGGCTGTTGCCAAGAGGCTGCACAGCGGCAGTCAGTGAGGCGGGCTGCGGGCTGAGGGGGGCTTCTACCCGCAGAAGGGTCGCCACGG